GGGGCATGATTCCCCTTGGTAGCTATGATCTCAGCGATCCAAAACGTCCTTGAATTGCTGATCGTAAAAGATCAACAAAACTCGCCCACTGTTACAATACAAAATATCTAATTAATAAACTGCATAGATTCAGCCTGCTTATAATCAGTTTCAAAAATGTTTAAGATAGGGTGGACCGCTCTAACTCACCTTTACTTTTCTGTAGCCCTTTACATGTACATTTTAGCATAATAAAGCACTTGTTGTTTGTTACCTTTAATTTAAAATAAGTAATTGGCAAAATTCTCATCGATCTTTGTTTGAATTACAGTGAAAACAAGACCTTTGTATATATGTTCCCTATAGCCGGCAAAACGGCTGGACTGAATGGGCTAAAATTTGTTTAGGGGACACAGGGGTATCTTGGGGGTAACTAAGGCTAAAAATCGATTTTTTTTCTATTTTTTTTCAATTCCACGGGAAACGCCGGTCACTTCAGCTCGTTTATAATAAAGCTCGTCGCTCATATATATATTTTATATGGCTATAGTCGGCCAAATGGCTGAATCAAAGGGGTTTACATTTTTAAAGGAAACCCATGGGTGCCACGGAGGTAATAAAATTTGCCAAATTTTTGTTAAAATGTCAATTTAAAATAACGAACTTTAGTGAAGATGTTTGATTTATAATAACATTAGTTTTTACCTAAATGTTTCCTTCTATGTAAGTTGGCAAGGGTTGAATTTTCAAAACAATTTGTTTTGAATTATTGCAAGTTTGAATTTAAAACACTGTTATTTTGGTTCGCAGTGTTATAAAGTTTTTTGGACAGAAATTTTCTCTTTATCGTGAAGGTTCCAGCCTTTTTAGATTTAACTTTGTTCCGAGCTTTAAAAATATAATTTAAAAAGGCGAACTATCTATCCAAAAAATTTATAACACTACAAACGTCGTGCTAAAATATTAGTGCTATAGGTAATGCAACGTTTGTGTACTTGTCCTATTTCAATGGCTATGCAAATCCGGGAACCAATCAAAACTTTATAGCACGATGATTACTTTATAGCACGTTCATTATGAAATTCACGATGAAGTGAGGAAGAATGCTAAAGTATACAATAGTTTCATTTTGAAACCTTTTTATTTACATCTTTAAAACTTACTTAAAATACAGTCTCTAATAGTCCTAAAACTAGAAAATGACTATATTCTTGTACACAGTTTCAAAAACTATAAATAAATTAACTTTAAATTGTTGCAAAACAATCAATTTTGTTTGAAATATATACTTTATCATTATATTTTCTTTTAATTATGTCATGTATCTTAATCGTGGAATTTTTTCTTCATAATTTCATCACAAAAGATTGTCGTACCTTGAGATAAAAACCTGTTAACTTTTCCTGATATTTTAAAAAACTCCTTCAAAGTTTTGAAACCTTATCAAATTTTTATTTTCTTTAGTTCAATCAAAATTAAAAATAAGATGGCAATACGAAATGATTTCTTTATTTAGAAAGTTTAATTTGTACTTTTAGATATGCTGTGGAGAGAATTAACCATAACAAAGATATTCTCCCCAAAACAAGATTATCAGCTCAGATAGAGAAGATTCCACCCAGGGACTCCTTTCATGCATCAAAACGAGGTAAAGAGGTTTGGATGTATTGTTTTGAAATTTTGTGAGGTTTGGATGAATTGTTTTCAAATTTGGTGAGGTTTGTATGTATTGTTTTCAAACTTTTTGAGGTTTGGATGTATTGTTTTCAAACTTTGTGAGGTTTGGATGTATTGTTTTGAAATTTTGAGAGGTTTGGATGTATTGTTTTCAAACTTTGTTAGGTTTGGATGTATTGTTTTCAAATTTTGTAAGGTTTGGATGTATTTTTTTGAAATTTTGTGAGGTTTGGATGTATTGTTTTCAAACTTTGTGAGTTTTGGATGTATTGTTTTCAAACTTTGTGAGGTTTGGATGTATTGTTTTCAAATTTGGTCAGGTTTGGATGTATTGTTTTCAAAATTTGTGAGGTTTGCATGTATTGTTTTCAAACTTTGTTAGGTTTGGATGTATTGTTTTCAAATTTTGTAAGGTTTTTATGCATTGTTTCCAAACTTTGTGAGTTTTGGATGTATTGTTTCCAAATTTTGTGAGGTTTGGATGTATTGTTTTCAAATTTTGTAAGGTTTTAATATATTTTTTCCAAATTTTGTGAGGTTTGGATGTATTGTTTCCAAATTTTGTGAGGTTTGGATGTATTGTTTTCAAATTTTGTAAGGTTTTAATATATTTTTTCCAAATTTTGTGAGGTTTGGATGTATTGTTTTCAAATTTTGTAAGGTTTTGATGTATTGTTTCCAAATTTTGTAAGGTTTTGATGTATTGTTTCCAAATTTTGTAAGGTTTTGATGTATTGTTTCCAAATTTTGTGAGGTTTGGATGTATTGTTTTAAAATTTTGAAGGTTTTGATGTATTGTTTCCAAATTTTGTGAGGTTTGGATGTATTGTTTTCAAATTTTGTAAGGTTTTGATGTATTGTTTTCAAACTTTGTAAGGTTCTGATGTATTGTTTCCAAATTTTGTGAGGTTTGGATGTATTGTTTTGAAATTTTGTGAGGTTTGGATGTATTGTTTTCAAACTTTGTGAGTTTTGAATGTATTGTTTCAAAGTTTGTGAGGTTTGGATGTATTGTTTTCAAATTTTGTAAGGTTTTGATGTATTGTTTTGAAATTTTGTGAGGTTTGGATGTATTGTTTTGAAATTTTGTGAGGTTTGGATGTATTGTTTTCAAACTTTGTGAGGTTTGGATGTATTGTTTTCAAATTTTGTTAGTTTGCATGAATTATATTTTTGAGTACACTTAACCAAATCAAAATTTGCATGTTTATTATGGATAGGTTTCAAGTTTTGAAATTATTTATTTAGTTTGCCATCTACTGAAGTCTGGTGTAGCTGCCTTATTTGGTCCTGAGTCTGGGTCAACTTCTAGTCATGTTCAATCCATTTGTGATGCTATGGAGATCCCACATATAGAGACTAGATGGGACTTTCTTATCAAGAGAGACGATTACTCGATAAACTTGTATCCAAGTCCAAAACAGATAAGTATGGTAAGCAAACTTCTCGATAAACTTGTATCCAAGTCCAAAACAGATAAGTATGGTAAGCAAACTTCTCGATAAACCTGTATCCAAGTGCAAAACAGATAAATATGGTAAGAAAACTTCTCGATAAACTTGTATCCAAGTCCAAAACAGATTAGTATGGTAAGAAAACTACTTGTTTAACATGTATCAAAGTCCAAAACAGATTTGTATGGTAAGAAAACTACTCAATCAATGTGTATCTAAGTCCAAAACAGATTAGTATCGTAAGAAAACTACTCGATCAACATGTATCCTAGTTCAAAACAGATTAATATGGTAAGAAAACTTCTCGATAAACTTGTATCCATGTTCAAAACAGATAAGTATGGTAAGAAAACTATTTGATCAACATTTATCCAAGTCCAAAACAGATTAGTATGGTAAGATAGCTTCTCGATAAAATTGTATCCACGTTAAAAACAGATTATTATGGTAAGGAAACTACTCGATCAATGTGTATCCAAGTTCAAAACAGATAAGTATTGTAAGAAAACTTCTCGATAAACTTGTATCTAAGTCCAAAACAGATTAGTATGGTAAGAAAACTACTCGTTCAATATGTATCCAAGTCCAAAACAGATTACTATAGTAAGAAAACTACTCGATCAACATGTATCCTAGTTCAAAACAGATTAATATGGTAAGAAAACTTCTCGATAAACTTGTATCTAAGTCCAAAACAGATTAGTATGGTAAGAAAACTACTCGTTCAATATGTATCCAAGTCCAAAACAGATTACTATAGTAAGAAAACTACGCGATCAACATGTATCCAAGTCCAAAACAGATTAGTCTGGTACGAAAAATACTCGATTAACATGTATCCAAGTCCAAAACAGATTAGTTTGGTAAGACAACTACTTGATCAACATGTGTAAAAGTCCAAAAAAGATAAGTATGTTAAGAAAACTACTCGTTCAACGTGTATCCAAGTCCAAAACAGATAAGTATGGTAAGAAAACTTCTCGATAAACTTGTATCCAAGTCCAAAACAGATGAGTATGGTATGAAAACTTCTTGATAAACTTGTATCCAAGTTCAAAAGAGATTAGTATGGTAAGATATCTTCTCAATAAAATTGTATCCAAGTCCAAAACAGATTAGTATGGTAAGAAATCTACTCGATCAACGTGTATCCAAGTCCAAAACAGATCAGTTTGGAAGAAAAAACTACTCAATACTTATATAATATCAAAATTAGAATTTTTAAGTTGAAAGCACATTAATATATTCTTAAATGCTAAATATATTTAAGAATATCGGTTTATTTATTTTAAAAAATGTGATTAAACATCGACAATACTAATAGTCTTAATAGATTAATAAGGGTTGATAACAAGTAGCCATTAGAGAGGGAATACTTTTTGCTTTAATATTGTCGGTGCATCCCATTCCTTATATGATTTGGTTTGAAGAAAGTGGAATGTTGGCAAGAGTCGTATGTTCATATTGTTCTAAAGTTTCAATAGAATAATTCACTCTAAAGATTCCATCTATTATAATAGGACCAATTATAAAAGTTGGCATGGACTCTTCTACTTAAACTATTCTTCTTCTAAAAGCTACAAAGGGGGGTTTCTTAAAATTCTTAAAGAATTAGGGTTCAATGATTTAAAGTTAAGCCAACAATAAAATGAAAAGTTTAGACCTAACAAAGATATCAGTTAGACATTCATTCAGAACAATATCTACATTTTCTCTAAAACTTGATTCTATAGTTGGGTTGGATTAATGACATTATTTCTGATGTAAGAGACTGTATATGACGAAATTTTAAGAGTAAGAAAACATTGAAGTCTGAATTTTGTTTTTATATATTATTAAAAAGCAACGAAAAAATGATTAATTTTAAGGTAGAAAACCCAAGAAATCTTTTTTTGTTGAGACAAGAATTTAGAGGGTGCTGTTGTGAATCAGACATGAAATGAAGGACATTTGAAATTATGTCTACAGTGTCTTTAAATCTTCTTTTGATATTTCTAAGTTTAAGTTGTATAATTCTTAGTATCAACTTGTGTTTATATTGTTGATTGAGTTGGTTTATCATATTCTTATTTTATTATTATTCCTTCAATATAGATTGATAACTCCTGATTTCTGGTCCGTATACAGTATAGTATACTTTCTGTATTCATAGTTCATAACCTTCATACTTTATCCGTAGTTCTAAGTTCATCACTAGGTATTGTGAGATTTTGTTCATAATCTTCATACTTTAATACTTAGTTCTTGGTAAAACACAAGATATTGGGAGATTTTGTTCATAACCTTCCCACTCAAATACTAAGTTCTTAGTTAAACACAAGATATTGGGAGATTTTGTTCATAATCTTCGCACTCAAATACTTAGTTCTTGGTTAAACACAAGATATTGGGAGATTTTGATTATAATCTTCACACTCAAATCCATAGTTCTTGGTTAAACACAAGATATTAGGAGATTTTGTTCATAACCTTCACACTCAATTACTTAGTTCTTGGCTAAACACAAATATTGGGAGATTTTGTTCATAGTCTTCACACTCAACTCCATAGTTCTTGGTTAAACACAAGATATTGGGAGATTTTGTTCATAATCTTCACACTCAAATCCTTAGTTCTTGGCTAAACACAAGATATTGGGAGATTTTGTTCATAATCTTCACACTCAACTCCATAGTTCTTGGTTAAACACAAGATATTGGGAGATTTTGTTCATTATCTTCACACTCAAATCCTTAGTTCTTGGTTAAACATAAGATATTGGGAGATTTTGTTTATAATCTTCATACTCAAATCCTTAGTTCTTGGCTAAACACAAGATATTGGGAGATTTTGTTTACACTCTAAGAAATCTCAAATTTTCATCTAACAAAATTTGTTGGAGCACCGGACTCAAATACACCTTAGTAGAATCATTCGTCAAATTTTCTTGAATGTATTTTCAGTCGCCTTAATTCAAAGTTTGTTACATGATCTATCAACCGGTGTTTGTCCGCTCGCTGTGCCGCGCCTCCATATAATTATCATCTCACAAAGTTTGTTTCATGTCGATTCAACCAGCGACACTGCGCGGGTTAAAAATTAGCATGCGTCAAAATTTGTTGGATGTCCCTTCAACTTACTGCGCAACTATGTAATCATTTGTTATATGATTATTCAGCTTTGAATCTAGACCCGTCAAAAGAGGTTGTTACAGGTGGCGCCACCTATTCTCTAAATATTTGTTTTAACTAGATTCAAATTGTTTGTTACATAAATATCCGGCTGTTATGTAAAATTTCAATTTTTTTATACAATTTATTAGTTTTTAAAACGCATAAATCTGCAAAAATGCAATTGATAAAAACAAAAATTTAAACATCATAAGTTTCAAGTTTATCACATTTTTTTATAATACAAATACATGAGGCAGAAATATAAGATCTTAATACAAATCTTTAAATTGTAACATGCAGCATAAGTTTTGCTGTTTACAATACACTTTATTACAATTCAAAGCTTAAAGAACTGGACATCAATTAATCACCAATTTAGACAACATTTGATTCTTGTAGAAGTAGATTCTGCAGTCTGAATTATGGAAGATATGGTTTTGCATTGATACTCTCTTTCAAGCAAAGCATTGAAAATGCAAGCATTAGTTTGAGAGAGTGTACAAAGGCTTAAAAAAGTTTTAATTTTGTTCTTCCAGTTTCTTGGAGGTTTCCCTGTAAATCTTTTTGATATCTCCAAATTTCCAGATCGAATTGACATAGGTACAAGCGCTGTCGGCTAACAGACTAAACTGTCACTAAGTGACTAATTGGAAAGTCAGCTGATTCTCCCCCTCCAGCCAGCCGTGCGAGCCGTGCCAGCCCGGCAGATGGTTCAACGTTTGATTGATCATAAATCAAAATTTGTTTAATCTTACACAAACTAAAATATCGGCTAATTACAATGAAAGAAAACTGTAACATGAAAAAAGAAAGATGTCATATAACAAAGTTTGACACATGCTGAGAGAACAATGTGTAAGCTATTAACAAGTTTTGTTAAATTGTAAATTTGGAAAATATTCAACAAAATTTGAGTAATGAAAGAAGAAATTTGAAATATGAAAGAAGAACTTTGATGCCTGATGCTAAAGACTAAAATTGCATTTTTTAGAGTGTATAATCTTCATACTCAAATACTTAGTTCTTGGTTAAACACAAGATATTGTGAGGTTTTGTTCATAACCTTCACACTCAAGTACTTAGTTCTTGGTTAAACACAAGATATTGGGAGATTTTGTTCATAATCTTCACACTCAATTACTTAGTTCTTGGCTAAACACAAGATATTGGGAGATTTTGTTCATAACCTTCACACTCAAATCCTTAGTTCTTGGTTAAACACACGATATTGTGAGATTTTGTTCATAACCTTCACACTCAAGTACTTAGTTCTTGGTTAAACACAAGATATTGGGAGATTTTGTTCATAATCTTCACACTCAAATCTTTAGTTCTTGGTTAAACATAAGATAATGGGAGATTTTGTTCATAATCTTCACACTCAAATCCTTAGTTCTTGGTTAAACACAAGATATTGGGAGATTTTGTTCATAGTCTTCACACTCAACTCCATAGTTCTTGGTTAAACACAAGATATTGGGAGATTTTGTTTATAATCTTCACACTCAAATACTTAGTTCTTGGTTAAACACAAGATATTGGGAGATTTTGATCATAATCTTCACACTCAAATCCTTAGTTCTTGGTTAAACATAAGATATTGGGAGATTTTGTTTATAATCTTCACACTCAAATACTTAGTTCTTGGTTAAACATAAGATATTGGGAGATTTTGTTCATAACCTTCACACTCAAATACTTAGTTCTTGGTTAAACACAAGATATTGGGAGATTTTGTTTATAATCTTCACACTTTAATCCCTAGTTCTTGGTTAAACACATTACATTGGGTTGGTTTTAATCATACATAATTTATTTAAGTGGGCAATACAATTTCAATTTTACAAAATTGACGTTCTACTGTTATAAAGAGAAATAAGATCCTATGATAGGGCATATTGCCCCCCCTGCACTTAAAGAACTTAATACTTAAAGTTTGAAGTTTTGGTGTAGATAATAATAGTATACCCCCTAGTCTGGTGCAGGCATGCTTGAGTGATTAAAGATGAGAGAATATAACGTCTAGAAGATTTTATTAGATTATATATAATCCTTATTAACCTATCTATATATATATATCTATAATATAACCAGGCGAATATTCCCAAAGGGTTACCCACAAATAATGACACCTAAAGACGACTAGAAACTCTTACATAATGACGATTACAAGGTTAGACCAAATCTTCTGCCTTGAAAACAGTCTAATTATTTTGCAAAAAAGAAACAAGTTTACAGTATTAATTGATGTAAGGAAATCTCACCCTTTGTGGGTAACCCTGTACAATCTGCATATCATATTAATATCTAATATTTTGGCACCTCAGGCCTCAATAATTCCACGTTTAATGATTTTTCCAATGAGGTAACAAAAGAGATAAATGTAGACAAGGCTGTAAAAGGGAGGGGATAATGTGACACATGCACCCCCACGTTTAGATCCAATAAAATTGAAATTTTTGCCCCCAAAACTTCCAATCAAAAGGGCCTAAAGGTTAAAAGTAGGTTTTTATTATTATTACTTTTCATGATCAATAAATTTTTCAAAATAGAAACAATTGTGCAGCAGTGCAGGGGCATTCACAGGAATTTTGCCAGGGGGGCTATCATTTTTTTCTTTCTATGGGGGGGAGGGATCAGCACCCCCTGGAGGCTAAAACCCCACTGGGAACCATAGGTTTTACTGATCTGGGGGGGGGGGCATGCTTCATGCCTCCTTCCCTGTGTACGCCTGTCGCCTCTGAGCAACAGTAATTTTTAAAATTATAAAATATCACATTCTGTTTACTCACAGAACAGAGATTATAATTTAGAAGGGAAATTAAACTATCCCTCGGTATGAATTTTGTCAGTCCCTTTGAGTCTGAAAGAGAGTTCAAAGTGTACAAATCATGTAAATGTACACAAATGATATGCAATAGAGTACATTAATACAGTATGTTCCCTAAACCATCCATTTCATTTTCTAAACATGTTTTTTACTGAAAAAAAAACATAGTAAATTGATTTCTTTCGACGTATGCATAAAAGGTTGTCTGAGAAAGGATTTAGAGAAAAAATGAAATAATTTTTATGAATTATTTAATCTATGAAAAATATGTTCCAGGGCCCACAGGGTTATCATAGCACACAAAAATGTTAAGTACACCTGTACTCTGCAGTATGGAAACAGTACAACAAACTGGCCGTTTTACACTTTTTACACTTTTTTACACTCTACTCTACTAATATATTCTTTTTGCGTTTAATCTCTCTGTTATTATAGCTACTAACGCCTTTTGTTCCTAAAAAACAAAATATATGAAATTAACTTTGAATTTACCAGTATATTTCTTTTCCACATGTTTACCAGTGTTACGGTTTGTTTCAAAGAAACAATAATTTATAAATGCCGAAAAAGTTAAAGATAATTAACAGTAAACCCTGTTGTACTATTGTGAACATAGCGTACAATTGTACACTGCTCAAGCTCAACATTCAGTCACCGTTCATTCTATTCAGGGATTTGTTACAAGAAAGTATTAGGTTGATACAATTTTTAGGCCGATGGCTGCGGCTAGGACAGACTATGGTCCGAGCGCTGTCTTAATTTTTAATCTCAAGTTTCTGAAATTCACAAGTGACTTGATACATATGAACGCGGCCACAACTGAAATTATTAACTTTAATATAGACAATGCAGATGAACATTTCAGAGAACAATTTTTGAACCCCCACTGCCCCCCCCCCCCCTCCTATCAAATTTGTACATCATTTTTAACGATTTTTAGATATTTTTTAAAAAGAGACACTTGAATAAAGTTGGTCATGTGGCTGCAGTGCCCGGCCCCCTAGCCTGTCCTAGCCCCAGCGTTCGACCGCTAGCCTGGCCTAGCCGCAGCGCTCGGCCCCCTGGCCTATCCTATCCGCAGCGCTCGGCCTAGGAAGTGTCTTAACCTAACCTAACCCTAAGTAGATACTAATTTTGTTGATAATTGTTGAAATTCAAGGTCTGTCTTAAGGCGCAGCGCTCGGCCCAGAAATTGTCCTAACCTAATCCTCAAATAATACAAAATAAAAATATTTTCTGGTTGAAAATAGTTGAAATCTAAGTCATTATATATAGAAGGGGGGTGGTCCAAAAATCCTATACTACAGGACGGACACCCTGCATCCTATCAGAAAAAGTATAGGCTAAAAAGAATAAGACTTGTCATACATAACTGGAAAGTCACTTAAATTATTACGATTACGGTACTTTTAAGGAGAAATTCAAATAAAGGAATGTTAAAAATATGTAAATTTATCATATTAAAACTATAAAGTTTTCAAGAAGCATAAAAGAGGAAACTTTTCTAGACAAAAAGTTAAAGAAATCTCCGGAAATAAAAGTTTGTGATATTTATACAGCTAATCTTTACAGCCTTGAGATTAGGGATGGGCAACGATTTGAGGTACGGTATTAAACATTTAAAGATTTTAGACTTTTAAGAGGATCCTTAGAATTCTGAAATGTTTTTCTTAATTCAAAATGTTTCTAGCTTTCTTTTATTACTTTATGCTAACTTTTTACTCTGGCCAAGATATTAACCATATTAATTTTTCATAACAATTAGGAGCATTTTCTTGATCGGTTTGAAAAATGATTTTGGTTAATATTGTCAGTCAGAGAAAAAATAATTTAAACTGATAAAAGCAAACCTATTTAGCATCAAGGAACTATACAGGAGAATTCTCCTTGAACTCAGATATACTCAAATTGTGTACTGTACTCTGTGGGAGGAATGTAAACAAACCCAGTGTCCCCACAGAAGTTGAAGGGAAAGGACTAAAGCTCAGATGTGATATTACAGTCCAACAAAAAACAAGTTGATATATCAAGTTAGAGCAAATACTTATGATTTATGGCTTTCTGGTTAATATGGAAAATACTACAGCAGTATATTCTTATTCCACCCCTTGCGCTCTGTTTCCTCAAAAGTGATGCGTTGCCCCTGAATTCTTTGTTTTGGTCTCCCCCGGCCCACTGCAGTACACAGATTTGACGCATCAGATATGGCGGATCCTGGTCTATATATTTCTTGTTTAGCATAAAATTCTAAAACAGAATAAACATTTCTGATTATTTGGGAGCGCTTTTAAAACCAAAATACCTAGAATGTTTTTAAACATGCCCTTCCCTAGTTGTGAGGTTGTGAGAGGGCATCTAAAACCCCAATCTTTTTAGAAATTAAATCATTGCACAAATATAAAAATAAAAAATGGTGGTTGAATGTTTTTTCTTCATTTTCTAGAGCTACGTTAATCCCAAAAATGTTTTTGTCGAAAGAAAAAATTTCCAGAAATTATCGATACAGTTTAAAAAAGAAAGTAGTCCGACTCTTCTTGTGATTAATGTAAGCAACCATTGAATAAGATGCAGGAAATGATTCTAATTTCTGGAATATATTAAGCTGATTTATCAGACCAATTTGCATTTTACTGGGTTTATCTTGCTTGAAAACAACATGCTAAGGGGAATATAGACGTAATTTCAAATGATCCCCCAATTATAAAATGGTACGTCAGATTTACAATTTACAAATTAGCTCAGTGCTCGTTTTTCTTTCATAAAAAGTTATAAGTTTTGTCAATTTCCTTCCTCGTCTCATCAAAAAATCATATGATATTTATGTTTTTCTGTATTAGAAAAGCTGATTAAAAACTAAAATAAAGTCGCTTTAAAATCTGTATTGTTAGGCATATCTGTCTCTAGTCAAAGTGTTCGGCTGGAAACATTTCACTATTCTCTACGAGGATAGCTCTGGACTTATGCGATTACAGGTTTGTATTTTTTTACCTAAACATCATTATTTCATTATTTCATTACATTTTTTAGATTTTTTCTCGTGTCTTCATCAAACCCAAAGATAATTAAGTTAGTAATTTCACAACAAGTACCACCTGCTTGCCCCCCCCCTGTTTTTAAAAATGTACAAGGTTGCGTAATTTCTTCATATTCTTTTTAATTATCCTGTCCTAACCGTACCTGGAAGGAAAAAGTTGGGGGGGGGGGGGGTCTAAAAGATCCCATTTCGTAGGATTAAGCCATCATTATCTAATAAACCAAAAAAGAATGCTTTCTTTTAGAAAAATAAATATTTTTGTGCAGGAGCTGTTGAAATCCCCCACTGAGACAGATATCAAGATAGTTGTCAAACAGCTAAACTTCCAAGATGGAAACAAGTAAGTTATAAAATTAGATTTAAAAAATAAAAATTTAGAAATATTTAATCTACTCAAACCAACTTTTGATCATGACGGAATTGTAGTTCAAATTATTCTCCTAATTTCCTAAGGAACAAACTGAATTATTTACCTTATTTAGAGTAAAAAATTCATCAGTGTACAATTTCTTGAAAATTTAGTATAAACAAGGTTGAAAAGTATAAACAAGGGTGAAAAGTTTACACAAGGTTGAAAAGTATAAACAAGGGTGAAAAGTTTACACAAGGTGAAAAGTATAAACAAGGGTGAAAAGTTTACACAAGGTGAAAAGTATAAATAAGGGTGAAAAGTATAAACAAGGGTGAAAAAAAACTTTTTTTTAATGTCCAATTTTTCATCTTTAAAAATCAGATCTTAAAAAATCATTCCCCCCCGACAAATATGTACACCCCTGACTCTTTAGAATTTTATGTAGTTTATTGTTACCCCTGGCCTAGTGTTTTACTTGAGATAAAATGTGGTGTTTTCATTAACTTAAGTATTAAATGAAAGTGTACAATTAGGAAGCTTTTAGTTCAATAATGTTTACTGCGGACACTAAAATTATGGTCTGTTTTATGTTAGATAAATTATTATCGAGCTGATATCATTTGATTTTACAATTGTTTTGCAACTCACTTCGACTTACGGTGAGACCCATAATACTGTGGAATATGAAGACGACATTTAAGCATCTGATATGTATTTGATGTTTTTATAAAGCAAAACCTCTGTACAAGCAGCTTTAAAATCAACCATGAAGTAAAATGAGTCTGTGTACACTGCACAAGTGCTGCGTTTCATATTAATTACTTATAATAATAACTTGAGTCTAAAGGTCGTCTTCCTATTCCACAGTTTTATAGGTCTCACTGTAGATCAAGTTATTTTTTACAGAAATTAACCTGTCACGTGCTAATTTACATAACAAAAAATTTGACGATGTTTGTCAGCTAAACCTTATTTTTCCAGAGAAATTTTACGTGAAGTAAAACAGAGTGGAGAAATTCACATTGTGCTTGATTGCTCACATCTGAGGTAGGTCCAGAAATTCACATTGTGCTTGATTGCTTACAACTGAGGTAGGTCCAGAAATTCACATTGTGCTTGATTGCTTACATCTGAGGTAGGTCCAGAAATTTTGTTTCAAAAAAGTCAAATTTATGAAATTTCAGGAAACCTTCAGATTAAAATAGAGAAGGTTTAAGAAATAAATCTATTTATTCTACGAATTATAGAATTTGAAGAAATCTACGAAAGATTAAGTTTACAAAATGGATTCACTTTGAGAAAGAGTTCCTAACATGTTAATCTTAATATCGAACCCGTTCGAAATAACAAACATTTTGTTAAAAACTATTAACATAATTTTAAGGACAACTCGCATATCTATATGACACTATCAATCAGTTCGTAATTTCGGGAATTCTTTTTTAACACGAAAAAAATATCAAGCTTATTTCACTTGAGGACTTAAAAAAATATGTTTATATTATGTTTAATTGAAAATAACAATTCTATCCACTTGCACGATCTCTGCAGTAACTACGACCAGCAGAAAATATTATGGTTTTTATTTTTCATTTGAAAGAATTGGAAAGATTTGAACAAGAAAAAAAATGGCAACTAAGCTGGCACTTGGCAAGTCTAAAGCAGTTCAATGCAAGAGCAAAAATCCAGAATCGATACATAACGAGCAAAAATGCTCGCTAACTATTATTATAAAATTCAGCGCTAGGAAAAATGACAGAAAGAAACCAGCTGTTACTAGCCTACAGTTGAGAATAGCTACAGATTACAGTGGTTCCTATAAAGGATGAGCCTGACACATGACTTTTAACTTTGAAGATATGAGATACCAAGGTTAAATTAAGTCTTCTGTCTTGGATAAAGTCTTTTATCTCTTACCAAATTAATTGGCAAAGAGAGACACAATTTAATAGTTGCTGGGTTTCACATGAATATAAGGAAACAAACAGTATAAATTTTGCACAGAAGTCTCATTCTTTCTGGGTTAACCTGTAGTTTCAGACATTATAGGAGCTCTGTATTATAGTTTAGAATACATTTACTAACAAATTATATGCTTTCAGGGTTCAATCCCTATTAAAAGAAGCTCAAGTAGTTGGTATGATGACTGCCTACCATAACTACCTCATAACTAATCTGGTAATAGTATTAATGTTTTTATAACAAAGATTTGTGATTTAACTGCACTTAGAAGACATTTTACCTTTTTTAAAAATCGCTCAATTTAAATGGTAAAATCAGTAAAAACTTTAGTTTTTTTGGAGTACAATGACAAAATGCGGCTTGAAAATCAACAGTTTTAAAAAATGTTTATGGTTTGTTTAAAGGGACAGTAAAGGAAAAATGAAAGGGGGTATAGGCTAATCACTTTAGCTCTTGATCTCGACCCATGAAAGTCATATCTGATGTTCCTGTCTCGAGAAATTGATATAAAACTGTGTCAAATCTATACGAAAATTAATATATATACAATTTTGTATAAAAGTAGTAGGTTTAAACAGATCATATTCAGCAAATAAGCAACCAATCTGAAAACGATGATATCCCAGAGAAAGCTAATTGTAAATTAGGTTTACTTTTATATTTGTTGTTTCTATTTTCAATAGATTTCATTCATAATATTATTTTTACGTCCGTATTACTTGACCAGAAATTCCACCTATGGCAGTGCAGTAAAGTGGTCACGTGATACAAGCGGAGACACATGACCAGTATACTGCTCTGCCATTGGTGATAGTTCTGGTCACATGATTTAAGTTTCAGATTTTCAAAATTTTACATATATGAATTTTCGAATAATTTTAACACAGTTTTATATCAGTTTCTCGAGACAGGAACATCAGATAAAACTTTCATGGGTCGCTATCAAGAGCTAAAGTGATTAGCTTTCAGCCTATACCCCCTTTCATTTTTCCTTTACTGTCCCTTTAAACTGAAGTGTTTAAAAAAGTATCCAATAAATTCAAAAAAAATTTTAGATAATTTTTTCCAATATTGGTGCATTTTTCACAATTTGCATCTTACAATCAGGGATGTACTTATCATTTAATTGGGGGATGTTCAACTCATAGTAAACAACTAGGGGGTTAAGCTTTAAAAAGGGGGACATTATACTCTCCTGTCTTTTAAAAACTTGTTATTAATTATTGATTTTTAGGATCTGCATCTTGTAAACCTAGAAGATTTTAAATATAGTGGAACCAACATTACATCCTTCCGTCTTGTGGATCCCAGTAATCCTGTAGTACAGAGTGTAGTTCAGTAAGTAATTATATTACAGAATATGCTCTTTCTTTATAGTAGATCCTAGTAATCCAGTAGTACAGAGTGTAGTTCAGTAATTCAGTAATTATATTACAGAATATGCTTTCTGTTAATAGTAGATCCCAGTAATCCAGTAGTACAGAGTGTAGTTCAGTAATTCAGTAATTATATTACAGAATATGCTTTCTGTTTATAGTAGATCCCAGTAATCCTGTTGTACAGAGTGTAGTTCAGTAAGTAATTATATTACAGAATATGCTTTCTGTTTATAGTAGATCCCATTAATCCTGTGGTACAGAATGAAGTACAGTAAGTAAGATATTACAAAATATGCTTTCTGCTTATAGTAGATCCCAGTAATCCTGTAGTACAGAGTGTAGTTCAGTAAGTAATTATATTACAGAATGTGCTTTCTGTTTATAGTAGAGCCCAGTAGTCCAGTAGTACAGAGTGTAGTACAGTAAGTAATTATATTACAGAATATGCTTTCTGTTTATAGTAGATCCCAGTAATCCTGTAGTACAGAGTGTAGTTCAGTAAGTAATTATATTACAGAATGTGCTTTCTGTTTATAGTAGATTCCAGAAATCCAGTAGTACAGAGTGTAGTACAGTAAGTAATTATATTACAGAATATGCTTTCTGTTTATAGTAGATCCCAGTAATCCTTTAGTACAGAGTGTAGTTCAGTAAGTAATTTTATTACAGAATATGGTTTCTATTTATAGTAGATCCCAGTAATCCTGTAGTACAGAGTGTAGTTCAGTAAGTAATTATATTACAGAATATGCTTTCTGTTTATAGTAGATCCTAGTACAGAGTGTAGTTCAGTAAGTAATTATATTACAGAATATGCTTTCTGTTTATAGTAGATCCTAGTAATCCAGTAGTACAGAGTGTAGTTCAGTAATTCAGTAATTATATTACAGAATATGCTTTCTGTTTATAGTAGATCCCAGTAATCCAGTAGTACAGAGTGTAGTACAGTAAGTAATTTTATTACAGAATATGCTTTCTGTTTATAGTAGATCCCAGTAATCCAGTAGTACAGAGTGTAGTTCAGTAATTTCGTAATTATATTACAGAATATGCTTTCTGTTTATAGTGGATCCCAGTAATCCAGTAGTACAGAGTGTAGTACAGTAAGTAATTGTATTACAGAATATGCTTTCTGTTTATAGTAGATTCCAGTAATCCAGTAGTACAGAGTGTAGTTCAGTAATTTCAGTAATTATATTACAGAATATGCTTTCTGTTTATAGTAGATCCCAGTAATCCTGTAGTACAGAGTGTAGTTCAGTAAGTAATTATATTACAGAATATGCTTTCTGTTTATAGTAGATCCTAGTAAAGTAATTATATTACAGAATATGCTTTCTGTTTATAGTAGATCCCAGTAATCCAGTAGTACAGAGTGTAGTTCAGTAATTCAGTAATTATATTACAAAATATGGAGTTTCTGAAAATCACTTATGTGTTTCTCAAAAGCGTTGTGGACACATGATTGACCTATTTTACACCAACATTTAAATGCCAAGGTCTTCAAAGAATTACTAGTGGTGCGGGATCTATGATACCTTACCAGTCAGCTCCATTGTTTACTGTCAATTCTATCTAAGCTTACTCCAGGTCCTTATTTTGATTTAGAACATGGATGTTGGGGGAGAAACGGTTTCCTGGTCGTAACTTTCCGGAAAACATCCTTATCAAGGTATGTAATCTAGGTTTTCAATGGAAGCAAATTTTCCCCTAAAATTGCTCCCGAATTCAGGTCAAAATGTGAAATTTCCTAGACAATTTTTAATGCTAAGACGTGAAAAATGGCTAAATTTAAGGTAGTATAAGTATCAGTAGTATTTTTCATTTGGTCTTTTTGGATTTCTGGTAATAACCCATGAATCCATGGAGCGATTTGCCTCAAATTTTGATCTTGGATATTGGCAGAACCATGGGAATATTCGTAGTTTGGTTTAAAAAATCTAAGTGGAGTGGGTTTGCTTGTTTTAGGGAAAATTCCAGGTAAAAGCTGGGTTTCCTTAACCTAGTCGTATACATATTACAATTTAATCAACAGCATTTTCTTATATTTAGTGTAGAAATAACTTTTTTGTTCTGAAGAGAATTTTGTTGAAATGAAATGCAGAGTATAATAAAACATCTTTGCAAAACACTAAAGATAAGATTATGCAGTTTCAAATTTCTTAGCTCTTTTATTATCAGGCAAGTGGCACAGTTTAGTTTACTGGAACGTTTTTTAAGTTTTTTAAATTCTAACGATCAAAAATATGTATTTTTATGCAAACCCTAGGAGGATATAGAAATGAGTATGAAGGTAAAAGACAGTTTAAACCAATGTACTAATGCAAGGAAAGTTATTTCAGAGGTGTATGCATTTTTTGTACTGCAGTGTACTGTCTTTGGGCGGAAAAGTAAACACGGATGTCGAAGCCTGACATGAATCTATTTCACAAAATAATCTATGAAATATTTTACAAATTCCGCCCAGCTAGAGAACTGGTTTAAAAATGTACGCAGAGTATACACAATGGCAATTAACAGTATTAACTTTCCTTGCATTAGTACCTTGGTTTAAACATTATTTAATGCACTTTCTTAAATATAGATTTATTTTTTTTTCTTACAGAAAAATGTATAAAATTTTTCAAAGGTTTTTTAATTTTCGAAATATAATATTTTTCTTTCTTTCTACCTAAACAAAACAAAAACATAATTTTTAAGAAATCTTGAATTGTTGTGAGTTAAAATGCTAGATCTGGATTAATTCTCCCAGAATTGGCATTGTAAAATTGTAAATTTCCTGAGCCTGAAATTTAAAAATTCGGGAAAATACGGCTCGGGTCTAAGCTGGTGTTGGGCCTTATTTATGGTTGAGCTTTTGGATTCAAGCTGCATCTTATTTTCCACAGAGTTGAGTTCAAAAAACCGGTTTAATATTCTATTTGGCGGATTTTCATGGTAGGAATTGACGCATTCTGGGTTTTTATGAGAACAATACTCAAAATTGAGCCTTATTCTCCACTAAAACCAACCAAGGTCAGTTTTATTTTCATAAGCCTAACTCCTTAAGTCGAGCCGAAGATCTTGTAGCTGTCAATCTCGCGACGAAAGCTGTTGTAGGAGTTGGGTCTAAAAGTCAGGTTTAAGAAATTATGGCTTAAGTTTTTAAATTGCGGGCTCTGGATTAATTATTTCCTTATGTCTTATTAGACTGAAACTGCTCTTATGTATGATGCCGTCCATCTGTTTGCCAAAGCTCTGGATGAGCTAGATCAATCCCAGGTAATAAATAAATTAAAACTCTATCCTAGGGAATTGGGGGGGGGGGGGATATATTTTACTATCCAAACTTTTTTTTCAATTTATCTATCGCAAGTTTTGATTGATTGTTAGCTTGATTGATAAATCGATTGATTGATAGATTATTAAATGCAGTAACTGGCAATTTATGGTAGTTAAACTGAGAATGCAGTATTGTGAAGAATTATTTTAGGATTCATTTAAGACATATTCAATGTTTTCATGATGTATAATTACTGAGTTTGACCGCAAAGTAGACGTTCAAAATCATCCATGTGGGTGGTTATGTTTTGAGAATCGACTAAAACTGTGAATAGAATTCTAAAATAAACTATTTAGATATTTAGGAACATATTTCTCAATTGAAATTTTCTCAAATAATCATCATTAGAATCAATTATTTCTTTTTCATTAATATATTGATTTTCATGTTCTTTATGAATTTGTTTGCAAATTTCTTCAAATTCTTCAAATGTCGTCTTTACAATAAAAATTCCAGAAAATCTGCAGAAAATATTTTTAACAATGAGACATTACAGATCCATCAATTAAATAAGATTACTTATTTTCGACGATAATGGTAAATTTTTATTTTCTCAACCTGTTTATAAACAATTAATTATTTAACTGTCGAATTTTCACTACATTTTTTGTCATCGGTTTTTTAAAAAGCGATTCTTAAAATAATCCCATAAGAATGAACAATCTATGAGGATTTTAAAGTTTGGAATTTCACTCTTGCTGAACAAATTTGCAGCGTAAAAACATCACATAGGTTTCAGATGATACCTAAAAAAATTCTCTACAATACTTTTTTCTCAGTTCAACTACCATACACTGCCGGGCACTCCTTTTAAATTGATTAATTAATTTAATGAGGGATGATTATTTGATTCATTAAGTAATTGATTGATGGAATATCAGATTGATTAATTGCTTGATTGATAGATTATTTGATTAATTAGTTCATTGATTGATGGATTATTTGATTGATTAATCGATTGATTAATGAAGTATTAGATTGATTACTTGATTGATTGATTGCATATCCAGGTGATCACAACAAAGCCTTTGAGTTGTCATGGTATGGAAACCTGGCAGCATGGGAACTCACTGGTTAACTACATGAAGCTGGTGAGGAGGATTTTAACTTTATAAATAAAACTCTACCAAATTCAACCCCTGCAATTTCTAAATAGAATTGTCTGAAAAAGTATGAAGAATAAAAAGGCTATTATACAGAGTGTCACATATTGTATAAGATTATCTTAAACCCAAAATAAAAATATAATACTCTAAAAACCTAGCATTTTTATATTAGCCTTATTCAATTATTCAGAAAGATTCATTCTTCATAAATCATCTGATTCTTAGTCCCAAAAATATTAATTTATACCCATTGACGATTTGATATGATCATATGATATGGGACACCCTGTATGCAAACTAGATTAAATAACCCAACCAGTTTTAAGAATCAGTTTAAAAGGATAGTTTTAAATTTTATTGAATTGTTAACGGTTTGAGTGGAATAACGTAACTTCATGAATCTGTATGTGCACTACGCGATTTGGCATAAAGTATTGCAAATCATTTTCTCCTTACAGACGCAACAGATAAAAGCACAACTAGTAGCGATCAAACCCAAATTCAATTAGGAATCAGCTTAAACCGCCTTCATTATTCTACTTGCACTCCCTTTAAACGTATTTATAAATATATCCATCATTGTATAGTTATGAAATTAGATATTATTCCTGTTTATTGCTGTACAGTGTGCACTGTGCATGTACAAAATGGGCATGCCACCTTGTGTTCAAGGAAAAGTATTTCATGTACACACCCATGTATAGTGTACACACCGTCACCCATGTCCACAAGATTTGAAAATCTAATAATATACTACATATCTTTTTTTCAACAGAAGTGAAGTTAATTTCTGGGAGGAATGTACACAAAACTGAGTTTATTTTTATTCCTTCCAGAATCTGCAGTAGGATGTGATTTCTTAAAACCTCCGTTTCGTTTATGGAACGTTGCCCAGCACCAACTACATGGTTAAAGAAAATATAAGCATAAAGAACTTAATAATTACGCTAAATGCAAAAATGTTTACAATTTAACTATATATAAGGTTGAGATGGAAGGATTAACAGGACAGATCAAGTTTAACTATATAAAGGTTGAGATGGAAGGATTAACAGGACGGATCAAGTTTAACTATATAAAAGTTGAGATGGAAGGATTAACAGGACTTAAACTATATAAAGGTTGAGATGGCAGGATTAACAGGACGGATCAAGTTTGACTCCCGAGGTTTAAGAACCGATTTTGAACTTGAGATCGTTGAACTTAAGAAGGATGGGTTGCAGAAGGTAAAGAACAAATAAATAGTATTTAGCATTGGATTAATTTGGTGGTTATTTCTGATGGAGACTTATTATCCTTTTATTTAGTTATTTAGTATGCTGCCATATTTTTAGTTTTTCTTGATTACATCATTACATGACAGGTTTTAAAAAAGTTGTTGCAAATATTTTTCATATGTGCAAAAATATAGGTGAATGTCTTTTTATTGTGTATTGTTTATTATCTATTGCGCAAAATTCTTTGCAAACATTTTTCAGTATTTTTTAAAAACATTTTTATTATTTAATAGTAATTTTAAAAAGCTCAAGATTTTTCAAAAATTTGATTTGCAACTTTTTTGGCTTACATATTTTAATGCAAATTTTTTTTCACATTTTTATCTAATATAATCTAATAATTTTCCCAAAGTCATTGATAAAAACTTTTCATCTTTTTTTTCTAAATGTTTTTTACTTTACTTTACACTTTACTACACACACCATGGTTCAATCTTTTAAACTCTTATAATTTTGGAAATCAATGGAACTTTTCCGATCGATTGATATCAATTGGAGATAGGGAGCATAAAAACTGAAGAAGTTAATCCAGTTTAAAATTTGACGCTTTGAAATTTTTGAGGGTGACAAAAACTTTATGTCTGGTCTAAGGACAGCCTGCTGTAAGTCAATTATCCATATAATAATCATTATATAAAAATTCTTATAATAATAAAATCTATTGAAATAAATGTGAATGCAATGATATTTTTTTCTTTTACTTATCACAATGACAATATCAATTTTCAACCAAGCCAAAATGACGAATTTCAAACTATATTAACTTATTCATTAAAGGTGCTTCACACCTTTAATTGATATTTATTGTACAAAAATGTTCCATAGATTTTAAAAAAAGATTTTAAAATTATTTAGATCGAACCATTGTGAGTGGAACACTGTATGTATTGTATATTCTTCTGTAGGTTGGGGTTTGGCATGATCAGTTTGGAATTCAGTTTTCCCGAAACTTTACGGAAACCTATTCAGAAATCGTTGAAAGCTTGCAGAACAAAACTCTGATAGTTACTACGATAAGGGTAACAGTTTGTTATATTTAAATTAAAGGGACTTTGAATGTAATTTTAAGTGATCTTCCATGCAAAGATGGCAACGAAGGATTCACAACGGTACCATTGAAACTTTTATCTTATTAATTATGTAAAAGAGATGTCGTCGTTTTTTAGATTTAAAGGTGTTCATAATAATCCAAATAAACTGCATGCATTAGAAATGCGCAAGTAAACTGAGCAACCACAATTATGAATTATTAGTTTTCAAAATAAAGAAAATTAATTTCTAATTCACACTTGATCAGACATAGCTTTTAATGGTACCATTGTAAATCGGACATTGCCATAATTGCAAAGAGGGTAATCCAATTAAGGGGAGTTAAAAAAATGAAAGGAGTATACAGTGACATTTTTGAACGATAGGCTTTATTTTCATTTTAATCTGATGATTCTGTTCACGAGAATTTCATCAAAACCTTTCTGAACAGACCTTAACAAATACGTTAGAAACCTGTTAACATTTTTAAATCACACTTACCACCAATTCTAGCTTGCTAATCCCTTTACCTTTGCATATTTGCAATCTGAGCTGAGCTGACAACTTTAGAATGGATATCGAGAATCAATGTTTGATCTCCTCTTTTAATTTATCTGAAGACTAATTTCATTTTACGTTAATAACCAGGTAATTGCCTAAATTGAAACCAATCAGATGTCGATTTTAGAAACTAAACAGCTAATCAGAAGCCGAGAAATTTCAAAATTTTGGCTCGCAATGAATGAGAGAATTCATATTGGTTCGAAGACAGCAGGGCTATTTACAATCAGGATCAGGGTTATCAGGGGTATCCAATACAAGAGTTTTCAGTTCTGATCAACCAAATTTTTGTATGTTACCGAAGTTTTCAAAAATGTAGTCTGCGGTCTTTGAATTGTTAAAACATCGAGCAAATTAAAAATTTTTTTTTCAAATTCAATGAAAAAAAAAACTATTAAACTGGAACGATATAACAATTTACATGAACTGAAAGCAATCAATGTGTCCTGCTTGAACATTGTTTAACCCCCCCTGACATAATAAATGGTGCGCAAAATTTCAAATCTCCCGGCTTCTGATTGGGTATTCCGGATTCTGCATACACCACTCTGATTGGTTTAATATAAGAAACTCTCCTGGATACAAACTAAAGATTGAATAATTAATCTCCGATATCCACAAATCCAAGGGTTGCAATCTGATGTCATAAACCTAGGAAATATCAAATATCAAAGGTTAACAGTACACAATCAGGTTGAAATATTAGGGAAGAGACAATTTTCCATTAAACTATTTTAAAACCCCTTTTTTTGGCAGGTTTTGAATGCATTTTATATTTATATAGAGAGAGAGGTTAGGGAGCTGTGGAGATGATTAATGGTTTTCTTTATTTAAATTCTCATAAATCCAAACAAACCCTGATTAAACTCATATAAATACTGTTTAAGATATTATTAACTTGAACAATTTATAGTTGCTTAAAGGGACTGTAAACGATATTTCAAGTGTCTAGAAAACCTAAGTAAATAGTTTAAAGGCAACCGTTTAGAATCAGACAAACTACTCTACAAATTGAGGTTTATTTGAAACTAGCTGAAGGGCCCGGCGTTGCCCGTTGAAAATTTTTTTTTAAAAATGTTTTTAAAAAATATCGTTTTTTTTCGCCTATGACACTCCCCGGCCGCCCATGAGTGTCCACAAAAAATTTCAGCCCAATCGGTCCAGCCGTTTGGCTGGCTATACGCAACACATATATATATCACTGGCAGCCGTAGTACATTGAATTTCCGAGTCGGGTCAACCTTTCCGGACCCAGTTTGTACTGTATTGCCCGGACATTGGATAAATAAGCAGACACTCAATAGGACTAGCCGGTGCAACAAGGATGACGCGGTCAGCCTTTAGACTGAATTTACTTTTATTAAAGTGTCAGAGGGGCGTAATATACAGATATGTCAGATTTTCTGACTTGCTAAACTCGTACTTGAACCAGATTCAAATTTAACTGTATTCCTAAGTTCTCAACTCTTTTCTGGTTGCACTTAAATTTACGAACAAGGTCAACTCATTTTATCCGATTAAATTAGTTCTGTTAATTCAAAAGTTTTAAGCTCTGTATTTTTTTTTCAGTCCCCGCCGTACAGCATGTACAAGGAATCAGCTGAGCGCCTGGTAGGGAACGAGGCTTTTGAAGGAAAACATCCTTTTTAGAATAAATCATCATTTTTTCAAATATTAAAAAATTGAATTAATCTAAAACTTTGATTATCAAGTACTTCTCTGTTCTTGGCATAAATAAAGTATTTTTTAGTCTTTTTATTCATTTTCAATTTCCTTCAAAAGTAAACTTGATTTTATTATCCCCAAGTCAGTTTATTTCTCTTTAAAAGTCTATTTCAAAAGTAAACTTGATTTTTTATCTCCAAGTCAGTTTATTTCTCTTTACAAGTCTATTTCAAAAGTAAACTTGATTTTTTTTTATCCCTAAGTCAGTTTATTTCTCCTTAAAAGTCTTCAAAAGCTCAGCCCTCTGATCTTCTCTTAAATAAAATATTAGGTCGTCGTTAGTATTATTCTTAATGTGGGTAACCCTGTAATATGTCTTTTTATGAATAGAGAAACTAACTGGTAATTAAGAAATGATTTGGTTTGCAAATATATGCATTTCTTGTTACAAAACAAAATTATTAAGGTTTCATTTGCAAAACCTGGGATTTATTATCCTAGTAGAATACTTTTTTAATGTTTTCTTGTAGTAAATTTTTTGGTAAGATATTTGACGTATATAATAACAGATTAAAAGTTCACTTTTTCATTGGTCCAGTATTCTTTATTTTCTGACAATTTCGCTAAATGAAACTTAATTATACATTTTTAAGTTAATCACTTTTTGTTCTGTAATAATTTGTTTTATTAATATTTGATTTTTAAAACGTTATTACTGAAAATTTTTTTTAAATCTAGATATTTTTTTACGTATCAAGGTTATTATGGTTTACAAGATTGTTAATATGGATTTAACACAAAACTTTCTTACGATGTTATCATGTACATACGTTTATAAAACAATAAGGTCGAAATCTAATTTTTACAGATACTTTTATTTTTCGTTTTTTCATGTCTGGATTGATGGTAATTTTATATTCAAGTATTGATAAAGCAGCAGTTCGAGAGAAAAAACTACATTATGCATTAAAGGATAGCATTCTTTTATGAAATCTGACTGGGAGATACTACAAACACAGTGTGTGTTATCTCTTATTGGAAAATGCTACAATTAACAGTGTGCATGCTTTCACATAAACATACACGGGAGCGAGTTTCCCTTTTTACTTTAAAGAAAATTATTACTGAAAATTAAGTCTTCTAAGAGTTACTTATTTTTAGAACATTTGAAAATTAATCATCCCCTCCCCCCTTCAACCTTACCTAGACCCTTTTTGTTCTTTATCCCTGACTTCTTTAATATATCTAGGTAATATAATCCCAAGCATTTTCCACTATATTCATCCATTCTTATTGAAAGCTACAGGGGTGTATAATTTCTAAAAAATAATATTCAATTCCCCCCCCCCCCCTTTATGAAAATCATTTTTACCCCAGAAGTTGTGTACATGCCTTTTTTTAAGGGTTTTAATTCACTGAATTGGGTGAAATAAATGATTTTTAAGTAAAAAAATTTTGTTAAAGAAAGAAAAAAGAAGCTTAATATGTCTAATGTTTTGATTTATTTTTGGCTTATCCTTTAAATATCACCAATACATCATTTACAGAAATAAAATTCAAAAACACTAAAACAATTCCGTTGAAATAGTTTAGGTTTATAAAATCTTACGAATTAAACGAGAATTTGTGATTTTTAGTATTAAATTTCTTAAAAGCATTGAAACCATTTGAAAATCAGGGCTTTTCTTACAAAAAAATAATGCTTTTCATGTCTCAAACTGATAAACTGATTTATTAAATAAATTATAGATTGAAAATTTACAAATTAAAATACCAAAAAAAAATATATCCGATTGAAAATCAGTTTTTTTTCAGTCCTGCTTTGGTAAACAAATGAGTAATAATAAACTGTCTGACATCTCTTCTGTTTGTTTTCTATCTTCAATCTGTCAAATAATGTTCAATCTTTCCTCAGCTCAATGTGCTCCATTTGTCTATATAAAAACCTAACAATATATATATCAGATATGTATATATATGTATATATGTATCATGTTTAGAGTTTAATTACACCTTCAAGTGGGTGGATGATGGAGCATATGGATATAAGAATATCATGTTTAGAGTTTAATTACACCTTCAAGTGGGTGGATGATGGAGCATATGGATATAAGAACAAGGAAACAGGAGAATGGAACGGACTTATGGGAGAACTATTGTCCCAAGTAAGCTTATTATTATTTCTTAAATTAAAAGATGAGAAACACATTTCGAAAGATATTTAGTCTTTGCCACAAACTCGCATTTTTTAATCCCTATATCTTTGCATGGTGTAAACCCTTGATATTTCAAACTTTGATTATTTAATCTAACAGAGTTCATAGTTTGAAATATATCAGATATATGACCATAGGTTGCCAAGATATAGGAATTAGAAAATCAAAGATTTTGTTGATGACTCAATTCCTTAAAACTATTACAATATGCAGATTGCAGATTACTATTACAGAGAGCTTTCAATAGAACATGTTCAATTTTTAGCTATGGTGGTAGGCGATACTATCAATATAATAAAGACGACTTTTATTTAAGTTTTAATTGTTAACGAGCTTTTTTCATATTACAAGTTGACAAGTAATTAAAGAGAATATATTTTAATTTACAGCTTCTCTTTGTTTCCATGTTTTGTTTATTCATGCTGTTTAAAGCTGGATATAAATCAAAATTGAAATCAAAAGTCGTCTTTTTTATATTGATATAATCGCCTACCACAGTAGAAAAATAAAAATCTATTAATATATCCTTGAATTTTGACCAGTCGAAGGTTCCTTGTAAACAGAGGGGCCATACAGTCCATTTAAATTCTAAAATTGAATTTTAACTTTACAATTCATTCAATTGTTGAAAGTTACAAATTGTAATAAGAAAGTACCTAACAAGCTGTAAGTTGGCAAATATTACAATTTTGATTTAGCATGATTTTATCGCATGATCTCATTTATAGATTTTTTATTTTTTATTATTTTTGTTATTTTTGTTATTTTTGCTATTTTTCCAGCCTCCTATCGCAGATTTAGCAATAGCGGACTTAACAATTACCTCCCAGCGGAACAATGATATTGATTTTACTATGCCGTTCATGAAACTGGGTAAAATAATATTTTTAGTTGGCATTTTTAGAAATAGATAGTTTGTGCCGTGTTCGAAATGTGTATGTGTACTGCAATGTGTTTACATTCCACCCACCTCTAGAGATGGGCATCGATAATGTGAACGAACAACAACGAACGATTTGAGAACTAACGAAATTTTCTTAAAAGTAAAGGTGTTGTTCAGAAAAATAACGAAAGATGTACAAACGATTTGGATCGTTCAGAGGAAAAAAAAATAAATCGTTTTTTTTAAAGCGAACGATTAAAAACCAGACGATTTAAATCGTTTTAACGAGCTTGAAAAAAACGATTGCTTATTAATAAATGAACAAATGTTTCAAAAGATTTAAAAAAAAAAACATTTTTAATTGAACAAACGAATAAACAGGGTTGTTCACGAATGATTAATAAACGAATTGCAAAAAAAACTGAAAGACTACAACTGCTTAAGATGTAACTGCAATTAGTGCAATGTAATTTTTTAACATAATCCCTTAAACTGCAGTACACTTTGTGTCAGCAATGTTTTGAGTATTCCTGTTTAGATGTTTTTATACTATAATTTGTTTTACCATTTTAATTAACACTGCATGTTTTAGATATTTATACCACACACAAAAACATAATGGTCAAATATTGACAAAAAACAAAGATTTTTTTGATTTTTTACAAAAATATTGTTTTCTTATTTACATTGAAGATTAGAAAAAATATGGTTTTGACACAGTTTTCGCGAGACTAATATCTTAAGCCCAGGCAACAGCAACAAATAAAATGTACAGGTAAAACTTAACATTATTTTATCATAAATCTGATGTTTCTTAAAATAGAATTTGAAAAACTAACAAAAAAATCTATTTATAAAAAAGAAACCTTTAGTTGTTAAAGGTTTGTAGAATATTTTCCTATTTAGTTTTTTTTTAAGGGGAAAAATAATTTCAATGTCGTAAAAAAATTTTCCAATAAAAAATTACCTCCCGAAGTTCTGATTGGAATAAGGACTAAATCATAAACTCTGTTCTATTACTATCTACAGATTTACAAATAAAACGAACAAAATCTTTTTTTGTTCACCAACAATGCCTCCATAATATGTCCATTTGATAAAAGGTTGATGTAAAACTAATTTTTCGCAGTTTTTGTTTAGCTTGAGTATTATATGCCATAATTATTGTGCTTTTAAACTGCTATTTAAATCTTTTAATGAAGGGCTTTAACAATAAGGAAAGGTCATTTAAAAAAAAAACACGTATTTTTCCCCCTAGAAAACACGTTTAGGGGAATTTAAAATTGAAGAATGTTCCCCGAAAAAAATGCTTGAAATTAGACAATCTTTCTATTGTTTTCAAATGTATTGATACATCTTTAAAGAGTAGACTAATATGGAATTCAAGTACAGATTATATCAAAACCATGAAGACGACTTTTTATTTCAGTTTTGATTGCCAACAAGCTTTTTCGAATTACAAATTTTCCAGTAATCAAAGAGAAGCTATTTTAATTGACACCTTCTCTTTACTTCAATTTTTATGTGTGTCCATGCTGTTTAACAGCTTAATATAAAGCAAAATCAAAATCTAAAGCAGTCTTCATTGTATTGATATACTCGCCTACCACTTTATGACAAGGCAAACGGACAGGGATCGCCCTTTTAAGAATTTTGTTGTCCTTTTTTGACAATCCTTTTTAGGGCAATCGTTTTTTGGACAATCCTTTTTTGGACAATCCTTTTTTGAACAATCCTTTTTTGGACACTCCCTTATTGGAAAATCCCTTTTTGGACAGTCCTTTTTTGAACAATCCTTCTTCGGACAATCCTTTTTTGTACAATCCTTTTTTGGACAATCTTTTTTGGACAATCTTTTTTGGACAATCCTTTATCGGAAAATCCTTGTTTGGACAATCCTTTTTGGGACAATCCTTTTTTGGACAATCCTTTTTTGGACAATCCTTTTTGGGACAATCCTTTTTTGGAACAATCCTTTTTTGGACAATTCTTTTTTGGACAATCCTTTATCGGAAAATCCTTGTTTGGACAACCCTTTTTTGGACAATCCTTTTTTGAACAATCCTTTTTTGGACACTCCCTTATTGGAAAATCCCTTTTTGGACAGTCCTTTTTTGAACAATCCTTCTTCGGACAATCCTTTTTTGTACAATCCTTTTTTGGACAATCTTTTTTGGACAATCTTTTTTGGGACAACCCTTTTTGGGACAATCCTTTTTGGGACAATCCTTTTTGGGACAATCCTTTTTTGGACAATCCTTTATCGGAAAATCCTTGTTTGGACAATCCTTTTTGGGACAATCCTTTTTGGGACAATCCTTTTTGGGACAATCCTTTTTTGGACAATTCTTTTTTAGACAATCCTTTATCGGAAAATCCTTGTTTGGACAACCCTTTTTTGGACAATCCTTTTTGGGACAATCCTTTTTGGGAAATCCTTTTTGGGACAATCCTTTTTTGGACAATTCTTTTTTGGACAATCCTTTATCGGAAAATCCTTGTTTGGACAATCCTTTTTGGGACAATCCCTTTTTTTGCAAATTCTTAAATTGTTCAATTTCTAAGCTTGTAATTTTCATATAAATAACTGAAGTCAAAAAGAACTTTCATGAAGTTTATACTTGTAAAAGTTGTTAAATGTTCAAATATATATGTGAATAAATATGTATATATACAGCCCTGAAAAACTGGAACACTTTGTATGGAAATGTAATACTTTTAATTCAAACAATATATGAATTCTTGTTCTTTCAGCTATTAAAGAGAATAGGAAAATGGGGCTGTTCTTGGAAAAATTATTTAAACATTTTAATATTTTTTTTTAACACGATGATTCCAACATAGCAGATAAATTTAAACTCTATATAAAGATGTTTCAACGTTAGCCAACTTTTTAGATTAAATATTAGAAAATTAAGGAAAAACTTCTAAGAATCCTTTTGGGATAAATTACATAAAAAAAACATGTTTTGCTAGGTTTCTAATATTTAGAAAAATAGTTTTAAGATGAACCTAACGAATTTATTTTTCATCAGGCATATCTGTTTTGTATCAGGCTCCACGGATAGTTCCTCCAAAACTATTTTCATTTTTAGACCCGTTTAGGTAAATAAAATCAGAATTTTTTATATCACACATTTTGTAACAAACCAAACTTATCAGAAGTCAAAACTTTTGGTTTGTTAATCTCGGGATCAAGCATTGATCTCCATCTTATGCAGATCTACGGATTAATCTCCATCTTATGCAGATCTACGGATTAATCTCCATCTTATGCAGATCTACGGATTAATCTCCATCTCATGCAGATCTACGGATAAATCTCCAGCTCATGCAGATTTACGGATTAATCTCCATCTCATGCAGATCTACGGATTAATCTTCATCTCATGCAGATCTACAGATTAATCTCCATCTCATGCAGATCTACGGATTAATCTCCATCTCATGCAAATCTACGGATTAATCTCCATCTTATGCTGATCTACGGATTAATTAAATTCCTCTTCGGTATCCCATGATGGTCAAATCCTGCATGAATAACTGTAATTGATCACTCAAATTTAAGTGGTCACTTGCTACATTGAATACCGAGGTCAATGAGTTCATGGTTAAGAATATCCAGACAAAAGTTGCTACATTGAATACCGAGGTCAATGTGTTCAAGATTTAGAATATCTAGACAAAAGTTGCTACATTGGACACCGAGGTCAATGTGTTCAAGGTTAAGAATATCCAGACAAAACTTGCTACATTGGATATTGAGGTCTATGTGTTCAAGATTAAGAAATCCAGACAAAAGTTGCTACATTGGATACCGAGGTCAATGTGTTCAAGATTAAGAATATCCAGACAAAAGTTGCTACATTGGATATCCAGGTCAATGTGTTCAAGATTAAGAATATCCAGACAAAAGTTGCTACATTAGATACCGAGGTAAATGTGTTCAAGATTATGAATATCCATAAAAAAGTTGCTACATTGGATACCGAGGTCAATGTGTTCAAGATTATGAATATCCATAAAAAAGTTGCTACATTGGATACCGAGGTTAATGTGTTAAAGATTAAGAATATCCAGACAAAGTTGCTACATTGGATATCAATGTGTTAAAGATTAAGAATATCCAGAAAAAGTTGCTACATTGGATATCAAGATTAAGAATATCCAGACAAAGTTGCTACATTGGATACCGAGGTCAATGTGTTCAAGATTAAGAATATCCAGTCAAAAATTCTTATCGCTGAGCAAAGGCATTCTGGGCTGAATTGGAATTGAAATGCTAACATTTTAATCCTAATATTCTTGAAATCTGATATCTTTAAGAATAAATATTTTTTTTCCCCAACATTACCTCATTCCGCCTTATAGAAACAAATTCAATTAATCAATCAACATAAATTGACTAACACTCCTGTAACAGACAATTTAATCAAATCAATAAATCAATGATCGTGCATGTGACAAGTAATAATGACAACAATGATAACTTTTGCTGTCATTCAAAGAAATAAAATGATCCAACAAATCATTGTTTATTTACTTTCATACTGCGTGGTAAATATTTTTTTTCCATTTTCTTACATGTTTATAATTCAATGTTACATGATGTATTATATAAATCACATGTTGGTTACGGTATTTTAGTTTTACATTTATTATTTGTGATATGGAGATATGTTTTCATTAGACCATAATAAAGACGACATTTTTTATCAGATAATCTGATATCGTAGACGTTTAATATTCAAAAACTGAAAACTCGGCAATATCTCATAGTTATTTCAAATATATCAAAAGGAATTGAGTCTTTGCCACAAGCTCAAATTTTCGAATCCTTATATCTTTGCCATCTAATGACCATTGATATTTTAAACTTAGATTATTTGATCAAACAGAATAAACAGTTTAAAATATCTCAGGTCTGAGAAATTGGACTGAAAAGATATATGGATTAAAAAATCAGAGTTTCTGGCAAAAACTCAATTCCTTTACCCGATATTAGGCTGCAAATATATAATGAATAGAAAGTTAGAGTGTGTTCACTTTCCGTTGAGTTATGTCAATTCATTCAATGTAGGTAACTTGGATCGAAAGTAAAGGTTTACTCATTATTTATCTTACATAGCTCATAAACTCTTGAAGCTTGTGAAAGTATAATACAATTTTTTCGCGAAATTCCCAATTTATCATTTGAATCTGACGGGACTTGAATTTCACATGAGTAATTCTCTAATCTATATATGTAACCTGAGCTGAAAACTTTAGAATGGTGGATATCGAGATCAATGCTTGACTTCCTCTTTTTCTTAATCTCCAGATTAAATAATGCTTGTTCTCCTCTTGTTATTTATCTACAGAGCTGAAAACTATAGAATGGTGGATATCGAGATTAATGCTTGATCTCCTCTTTTTCTTAATCTCCAGATTAAATAATGCTTGTTATTAATCTCCAGATTGATTAACCGATCGGGATTAAGGATATTCCATTCAATAGTTTTTAGCTCTGAGCTGGGAACTGTGATTGGATACTCATAATATTGATCGCTTGATCTCGAAATCCAATGTGGACACTTTTAATTACAGGATTAATGCTTAATCTCTTTATTTCAGTTATTTTCCCAAGGTACGATTACCATAAGAAATATTGATTAAAGATTAAATTAATCTGCAGATTAACAAAAGATCGAGATCAACCATAGATATTCGATATTCACAATACAGGACTAGGAGTTCCCAGCTCTGATGTCATAAACCTTAAACATTAATATATATTATAATAATATTAATATACAAAAATAATATAAAAATGGTGTTCGGCACAAGGTTGCAATATGTAAGTTTCTTTTTATTTTAGTTCTACAGTTTGGATATATGTTGGAGGAGCATACCTTCTAGTTTCTCTTTCACTGTTCTTTGTTGCCAGGTAAAAAAGTTTTTGTTTTGTTTTTTAAATTGAAATTGAAAATAATGATTATCAAAGTTTTTTCCGTCAAAGTTAACCTTCATTTTTGTAAGTTTTGATAATTGGTCCAACCTTGCACTTTTAAGTAACAGGTATCTTAGCGTATTTATAGACTGCTAAAACATCAGAAATGCAGATGATAAAATCTGATTAGAGCTGGTAACTTCTGTTTTGTGAATATCTAGATCTATGCTTGATCTCGATCTTTTGTAATCTGCAGATTAATTACCCAGTGAGTAATAATTTTAATCAACAGATCAAGTATAAATCTTCAAGTTTAAAAGTTCCAATTTTGGTAGACATGTATGATTAAACATTACTTTCTGTTCACTTTTTATCAATGTTTACTCAGTTGAAAGAAAATGTGGAAAAAATAGATATTTTCGTGTTTTTACCAAATCAATGAGAATAATTCAAGCGTAAATTTTAAAGTAAAGTTTCGTGATCAGTTGTAAAATAAAATTCTTAAAATTTTGTTGTAGTCAGCTTTAAAAATATAAACTTGATAAAGGTTGTTTCAAGTTTAAAGGGAGTGTCTGGCTTGACATGGTAGTTGAAATGAGAATGTACGATTGTGGAGATAAACTTTTTAGAATGCATTTAATACCTAAGAGACGTTTTTATGGTGCATATTTGGCAGTTGCCTGCTTTCTCTCAAGTAGAAAGGACCAACAATGCAGTCCCAGAATTGCAGCTGGGGAAGCGCTGAGTTTAGTTATGCATCTTGTATCCTACAGGGGAAGCTGGACGCATAGATTAAAACAAAACTTCAATCTTCAGCTTGGTGCACTGAAAGAGGAGTTTAACCCCTCGTGGGAATACAAGCCATGCACAATGATACTGGTTTTTTACTCGACCAGATGTGAGGACTGGACTGCCATGGAAGATACCTCTCAAGAGAGCTTTCAGGGATCACAACTCCACATTTTGCATATGGGGTGAAGTTATGGGTAAATTTCTTAATTCCCCTAACTGTGAAACAGTGTAAAATGAAGGAACACAGGGAGAAATCCCCTATACCCTTCTTCCTGCAAACCTCCTTATCTCTCTCCTACCTGCTCCACTACTTGATGTTAAAAGAACTATTAGGAAAGGCCTTAAAGTGTAAAAAACAAGAAACAAGAAGCAAGAAGAAAAAATAAATTGAACAGAAAAAAGTGGAAGGGAAATCTCTTGACAGTAGAAGAAAGAAGAAGAAAACTTTGAACAGGAAAAATCAGAAGGGGATTTGCGCTTTACACTATCTATTTTTTTCACCGATAAGACAACTACACAGGATGGCAGACGTCCCATACCCCCCCCCTCTATGTCCTACTCGAGATAAAAAACTGGAAAATGTGTAAAAGCCCCCCTCACCCCTATCCCCCATCAAGAAAATTTTATTGAAAGTGTGTTAGCCAGGAATGCAGGAGCTGACACAGTAACATGACTGAAGCAAAATTTAAAAACAAACAAGGGAGAGAGTAACCTTGCCACTCTCAATATATAGAATATATATACAGGGCTCCAAAAAATAGTTATGCCTCTGCTATTTGGCGAGCTGCAGAAAACATCCAAAAATATCATTTATTTTTATTTTCAAAATTAGCCAAAGTCTGATTGAAGGATGGACATGGAATGGACGATCAAGAAGAAAGAATGAAAAGTTAAAAACGGTGCATATTTGGACAGAAAAAGCTTAAATTAAAAATTTAAAATCCTCAAAGATATTGGATTGTTCATTTGGGAGGGATGATTTTGAGAATCGTTTGTTTTAATTATTCAATAACGACAACCTTTTTTTAAAATTTTTAAAATGCAAAAGGATTATTTCTAGGTTTTAAAGCAATCGGATATGCCTTTTTTAGCAAATAGTTCTGATGTTTTTTATTTAGGTTTACTCCAATGGAATGGGTTCTGTTAGATCCCTGTGATAAAGCTGAGGAACCAGATATAATAGAACAGGTTAGTAAACACTGGGTGTTAGATCACTGTGACCACGAAAGATAAGTAAAAAATTGGCTTCTGTTAAATCACTGTGACCAGGAACCAGATGAAATAGAACAGGTTAGTGAACCCTGGGTTCAGTTAGATCCGTGAGATAAAACTTAAGAACCAGATAAAATAGAACAGGTTAGTAAACCCTGGGTTCTGTTAGATCCGTGAGATAAAACTTAAGAACCAGATAAAATAGAACAGGTTAGTGAACCCTGGGTTCTGATGGATCCGTGAGATAAAACTTAAGAACCAGATGAAATAGAACAGGTTAGTAAACACTAGGTTCTGTTAGATCCCTGTGATAAAGCGCTGTTTTTTTTCTTAATAGAACAGGTTCGTAAACACTGGGTTCTGTTAGATTCGTGAGATAAAAATTAAGAACCAGATAAAATAGAACAGGTTAGTAAACCCTGGGTTCTGTTAGATCCGTGAGATAAAGCTTAAGAACCAGATAAAATAGAACAGGTTAGTAAACACTAGGTTCTGTTAGATCCGTGAGATAAAACTTAAGAACCAGATAAAATAAAACAGGTTAGTAAACCCTGGGTTCTGTTAGATAAAACTTAAGAACCAGATAAAATAAAACAGGTTAGTAAACCCTGGGTTCTGTTAGATTCGTGAGATAAAACTTAAGAACCAGATAAAATAGAACAGGTTAGTAAACCCTGGATTCTGTTAGATCCGTGAGATAAAACTTAAGAACCAGATAAAATAAAACAGGTTAGTGAACTGGGTTCTGTTAGATCCGTGAGATAAAGCGCTATTTTCTCTTAATAGAACCCCCTGTTTTAAGAAAAGTACCGGCATGATGCAACTAAGCCAAAGAAAGAAATTGACAGAATTGATCACGTTTTAAGATAGATGAAAGACGAAAACTTCCTCATAGTTAATATTGTGAATCGGACCTTCCATTCCTTAAATGAAGGGGTACTTAAATTTACTTGAACTGCATCCCCTTGGATAAAAGATATATTAAAATACTACAAAGTTAAATCCTATGATGCGGATATGTTTGCTCCGGTTGGTTTAGCGTGCATTGACAGGTAAATTTTGATCTCTTATATTTAAATCAACAACAAATGTTTGTCCTTCAATATCACCCCCCCCCCCACACCCCTTTCCTTATCCATGTGTTTTTATGGGAAATGTCGGGAAAATACTTCATCAAAAACAGAGTTTCATCTAATTTCCGGGAGTCGGGGACATGTCCTAGATCAGTCTTCGGTTCTCTTTAATCACACAATTATTACCGAGTTAGTGTATTTATCCTTCAGATGCAAATCATAATTAAAAGGGAGTGGTCGCGAAAACTCAGAAACCCTTTTATCAGCTTTTCACGATTGATAAAGGCCCCCATTAATCTTTTGTCTTAAATAATGATTTAATATTATTGCAACAACCTAGTGCGAAATTTTAAAGAACTGACTTTTTTCTCCCAAAATGAAAACATTTTGTAATTGTGAATTGTGGTGTTGAAATTTGTTTTGATAGGTTTTCACTTTTTGTTTAATGGTGAGGTTTACCTACTCAAATCATTTGGTTTATAAGGACCTACTCAATACATTTGGTTTATAAGGACCTACTCAATACATTTGGTTTGTAAGGCCCTACTCAATACATTTGGTTTATAAGGACCTACTCAATACATTTGGTTTATAAGGACCTACTCAATACATTTGGTTTATAAGGACCTACTCAATACATTTGGTTTATAAGGACCTGCTCAATACATTTGGTTTGTAAGGCCCTACTCAATAAATTTGGTTTATAAGGACCTACTAAATACATTTGGTTTATAAGGACATACTCAATACATTTGGTTTATAAGGACCTACTAAATACATCTGGTTTATAAGGACCTACTCAATACATTTGGTTTATAAGGACCTACTCAATACATTTGGTTTATAAGGACCTACTCAATACATTTGGTTCGACTTTAAGCTAAGATTTTATACCACTTTTAAGAAGTTTTTATGCCACTTATGGACAAGATTTTTCAACTCTGCAAAAAGTCAACTTTTAAAGTCGAGTTTTAGTCGACTTTAAGAGTCGAGTTTAAGTAGTTTTTTGAAGTTGAGTTTAAGTTGAGTTTTTTACCACTTTATACTTTATCATTTTACCATACATATATCTCAATTTTTTTCACAACCATACATAGTCATCCATTTTAACATTTATTCATCAATCACTCATCATTATTCAAACACAAACATACCTCACTCTATACATATACTGCGTTTTAACCCTATCTCTGCTGGGGTACTTGAAACCCAGGATATGCTGGGGGGGGTCAATTTGACCCCCCCCCCTCTAAATCCCATGTTTGATGTCCAAATATGACAAATACATCATTGGAACGTTCTTGTGCTCTACTTTTAGAATCTGCAAAAAAATTTGCAAATTTGCAAAAATTTAATTTGTTATAGCAAAATTTGTTATAGTAAAAATGTTTGCAAAAAAAATTTGTCCAAAAAATGAAAAATTATACATTTTTGAAAAGCCCTTGACCATGCCATTTCAAATATGCAAAAATTTTTGCAAAATTTTAAATAACCTGAATTTTAATTAAGAAAAACTAAAAATGTGCAAATTTCTTTTGACAGGTTGTTTGCAAAAAATTTGCAATTTTTTTTCGCAAAACTTGTGCAATTCGTTTCCATATGTCAAAGGCTTTCCAAAAAGCTAAATTTTATCAAAATCTGACAAGTGGAAGTGGGTCAAAACAAAGATTTAGTTTGTTACAGGAAAAAGCAGTCATTCAGGCAGTGTGCCTAAGGACTCAGGCAGTTAGTATTAAAGACCAGTTTTAGGTCTAAAGAGAGGGCTTTGGGTATGTTGGAAAAGTCAGAAAATTTCAACAGCCTCAGACCAATACTTTTTGAGTTATTTAAAAAAAAACTACAGGGGGGGGGGGTCAAATTGACCCAGGAATAGGGTTAAGTTATACTGTGATCTCGGTTTTAAATCTTCAAAATTTTCAAAGTAAATGTACAGGCAGCAAGTTCCTCTATAGTTTTTGATCTTTACCCTTCACTCCAGTTCACCTTTATTTCCCATATTTCTGTGATTAAGATAACCAAGTTTCCCATTCCATAATTTGATACACTGTACAAGTACAGTTTTACACTTTGTGTGTACTGTTTACAACTCAAGTAAACAAAAATGTCCACTCACATTTAAAAAGCTGAAGGAAAGCTTTTTTGTAAAATGAGGATTTTGAAAAAATTTAATTCTGAGTCTGAAATAAAAAAAATCTAACTTGCATAATAACTTGAAACGCAGTTCATTTCTTTTTATAAAAAAAATTCCCAATTTACTGACATTAAGTAAACAGAAAACGTCAATTTTCTAAATATTGCTTTTTTAAAAATATTTGCGTTTTTGATTAGTTCAAAACTGGGATGAAAAAATAGACTTTTTTACGTCATTTTATTCCAAGTTTTTGACTAGTTCAAAACTGGAATGAAAAAGCCAACTTTTTGATCCAAGATTTTGACTAGTTCAAAACTGGAATGAAAAAGTTGACTTTTTTATGACTTTTTGTTCAAAGTGTTTGACTAGTTCAAAACTGGGAAAAAAATATGTCGACTTTCATATTACTTTTTATTCCAAGTCTGAGGACCTAACCAATACATTTGGTTTGGTTCTGAGGACCCACTCAATACATTTGGTTTGGTTCTGAGGACCCACTCAATACATTTGGTTTGGTTCTCAGGACCTACTAAATACATTTGGTTTGGTTCTAAGGACCTACTAAATACATTTGGTTTGGTTCTCAGGACCTACTCAATACATTTGGTTTGGTTCTAAGGATGTACTCAATACATTTGGTTTGGTTTAGAAGGACCTACTCAATACATTTGGTTTGGTTCTTAGGACATACTAGATACTTTTTGTTTGGCTCTGACGAATCCCTAATACATTTGGTTTGGTTAAGGACATTTGACTTTGTTTCAGGAACTGTATGTGAATCATTGCCTGTGGTGGGCCTGGGCAACTATAATGTGGATGGGATGTGAAGTGGCCCCAAAGTGAGAACTGCTTTTTATAAAAGGATACAGTGGGAAGCATAAAACTCTGTAATAAAAAGACGACTTTATGAACTTTATGAACCAGGGAATTCAGATTTTTTTAGTGTAAACAGAGCAGGGAACTTTAGAATTAGATACCTTTAATCCCGACTGCTTATTGCGAATATCCAATTTGGACACTTTTAATTTCTTGCTTGATTCAATCTATTTTGGATATAGTACAGAAAAATCAAAAACCGGTTTTCAAAATTAGTGAGTCTCTCCCGTTTTTGTATATTAATCTTAAATGGCGCGCAAAATATCAAATTTCCCGGCTTCTGATACTCTAACTTATTTCCCATTGTTTTTACGAATATGTACTTACAACCCCTATCTCTTCCCATAGCTCAAAAATATTGGTTGAATTTCATACACTTTTCAGGATACAAGTACAAGATTAAGTTAGTCTTGATATTCAGAAAAAGAGAGGATCAAACATTGATCTCGATTTCCACCATTCCAAAGTTCCTAGCTCAGATCCATTTCACTAAACAAATGATTTAATAAGTTACTTAAACAACCATTTTCTTTTTAACAACATTAAATCCACTTAATTACTGCTTTTACTGTTTAAATGCCACTTTAAATTACGCTTACATTCTTTTGAAGAAAATCTATTTTTTGGTAAATTTCCAGAATAAATACTTTTAGAAAACATTCTGAGCTGAAAACTTTAGAATGAGATATACTTAATCACGATCGCCTAATCTGATTATCCAATGTACACACTTTAGATGTTTTTCTTAATCCTCTTTTCGGATATTTCTACTGTATTAAAGTTACGTAATTGATAACAATTACAGATACAATTTGCTATATCGATTGGACTAATAACCGATTGAATTAAAGTCAGCTATTCACAAACCGGCTTTTAGAGCATTTAAACAAACCTAAATTTAATCATGTTAATATGAATTAATTAAAAACATATTTTAGGACTATTGTCATTTTGAACGTTAGTCTTAATGAACATTAGTCCAAAACTTACGTTCGTTCAATCGATGTTTAGTTCAATTGATATGACACCATCAACACCAGAAATCAAAACCGGTTTTTCAAAACTTAACAGTACATGTTAACATGACAGACACGCTGATTAGTTAATTTTTTTAACTTCTTTCTTGGATGTCGAATGAGTTTTAAAACAATCTTGGGTTTAGTAAAACCATGAGTTTAAGTATTAATCTTGATATCCATCATTCTAAAGTTTTCAGCTCTGAATGNTTAATTAAAAAAAAACTATTCAACTTATTATTTTAGAGCAATGTCAACTCGAATGATGGCTGGAAGTTGGTATCTATTCACCTTAGTTATGGTATCTAGCTATACAGCTAATCTAGCAGCTTCATTAACAGCTGAAAACATGGTCTCACCGATATCCACAGCTAAGGTGAGATATCCAAGTTATCCTCAGCGTGATATATCCTGTAATCACAGCTTTGCTATCCATGTATCCACAGTTATAAGGTGAGATATTCAATATCCATACTCCTTATCTTAGGTGAGATATCCAAAATCGACAGCTTAGTTTAGATATCCGGTATCCAAAGATTGAGTGAGAAATCCATTTAATCCAATATACAAAGCTAATGAATGATATCCAGTATCCCAACCTTAGGTTTGATATTCAGTATCCCAAGCTAAGATTTAATATTCAGTATCCTTAGCTAAGATTTAATATCTAGTATCCAAGGCTAATGAATGATATCCAGTATCCCAAGCTAAGGTTTGTTATCGAGTATCCAAAGCTAAGGTTAGATATCCAGTATCCAAAGCTAAGGTTGAAAATCCAGTATCCAAGGCTAAGGTTTGATATCCAGTGTCCCAAGCTGATGCGTAATATCCAGTATCCCAAGATAAGGTGTAATATCCAGTATCCCTAGCTGAGGTGAAATATCCAGTGTCCTAAGCTAGGGTAAATTATCCTGTATACAAAGCTAAGGTTAAAAATCTATTATCCAAGGCCAAGGTTTGATATCCAGTATTCCAAGCTAAGGTGTAATTTCCAGTATCCCAAGCTAAGGTGAGATATCCAGTATCCCAAGCTAAGGTTTGATTTCCAGTATCCAAACTTAAAGTTTAAAATCCATTATCCAAGGCTAAGGTTTGATATCCAGTATTCCAAGCTCAGGTGTAATATCTAGTATCTTAAGCTAAGGTGAGATATCCAGAGCTGGGAAGTTTTGGATTGGATCTGGAGTTGGCTATCGCCCCGTTGATGGCTAAGCCACAGAATGAATTTCAGAGGTGAAATGTATTCACAATTTAAGTAAGATTTCCAATATTCAGGATCTGGCGCATCAGACTAGTATTGAGTATGGATGTGTTCAAGGGGGGTCAACTTGCAGCTTTTTCCAGGTAAAATATCAGTAGGTGACATATTCTATTGACATATACAGGGTTACCCACACAGAATGAGACTTCAGAGACGACTTAAGGAATTTTTACTGTATGTTTTCATATATTAATGACTTCTTTTCTTTGCTTCATCAATTAAGTCATTTAAAGACTTTATTCAAGACAGAAGACTTAATTTACATTTTGGTTCATCCTATTTAAAAAGTTTCAAGTTGTCTTTATATCTTCATCTTTTGTGGGAAACCCTGTACATAACAATTCTAGAATAAAAGTTAGATTTAGCTTTCAACAGTTTTCGTTTAAATCTTCTTCAGAAATACTAAAGAGAAAAAAAATGATTTTCTGACACCAAGCTTTTTTATTAAGAAGAAAGATCAAACATTTGCTTCACAAAACTGATCTTTCAGCATTTTTAAAAATAAGGCCTAAAAAATAATAAATCCAAGACAAAGATAAAAATGAATTTGTATCAATCATTTTTTTATACATTTGCACTATTTTGATCATTTTTCTTTAATGCATATATTTGAAGAATATCCAAAAATGTATGAAGTGTTTTAAATTCTTAAAATGTAAACAAATAATATTTTGTGAAAGAACAATTTATTTTATTTAGAACTCTGATGATAGTTCCTATGCGATGATGTGGAACTATATGGTCACGCATCCAACTGTATTTTCAAGGTTCAAATACAAGGGGACATGCAAAGGATTAGACTTCAAAGACGACGGAATTTATTTAGTCTTGTTTTTTTTTGCACTCAGGGTTCTTTGCCGCTGGAAAATTGTATTTTTTTCTAAATATATATTTAAAAGAAATTATTCCAGACATACGACTTAATTCCAAATTCATATCGTCACATTAAAAGAGTCTAACCCTTCTATAACGGGCCCTGGAATATCTTATCCACAACTACCTTTTGGGCCCTGAAATAACGAAACATAAGACTTATCCTTTCTTGGTAACCCTGTATGTTATTTTGTAAATTATTTCACGGAAGTAACATAAACTCTTTCTATTTAGCAACTTTGCACCTTAGAGAATGTGTCTGGAACAATATGAAAAATAAAATATTGACGGATGTTAATTTTTTACATATGATTATAAAAACATTTTTCAAAACTGTTGTTTTTAAATGTGAGCGCGATAGAGTCAAAAATAAAAGTGCTAGGGCTAAAAACGAATATTTTAATGTTTAGGTCAAACCCTGAGGGAATAGAGAGAGTTGTTACAACTAATGGAGGCAAATATTCATATTCTAAACAAGGATTTAAACATGAAACTTCAAACTTTCAGATTTATTCTAAAACTTTTATTTTATGAAATTCATTCTTTGTAGTATTACAAGGCTTTTAGGGCACTTCGTGCTTCTTTTACGCTTTTAAAGTTTTAATATTGACTGAGCCACCTTTTTCTCTGTTTACGTCTTAAAACTTTAACATTCTCGGATTTTTCTATGAGTACTGAACTGGGAACTTTAGAATGATGGATATCAGGACTAATGCTTAATCCTCTCTTTTTGCTAATCTCGAGACTAACATACTCTCGAGATTATGTTAGTCTCGAGATTAATTATTAAGATCAACAAAATTGATCCTAGGAGCGCCAGATTTGTTCGTTTTCTTGACTGGAAGGGCCTTCAACTTAATATCTCACACATTTATTTATTAATACATTAGTTAAAATTGGTTTTTAAAAAATGTCAAACATGACACAGCTCGGTCAGCCCATGGATACGTTTCGGCGGCTAGGAGCGCCGTCCCCCATTTCATTGAATGATGAGTATTAATTTACAAAATGGCCGACAACAAATTCTTTATTTGTTAGAAATTGCGGTGGTCTCTCATTGCAGATAAAATTTGTTTTCAAGGCTGTCATTGGTCAATACAATTTACGAAATATATTCCTGCACTCTCATTGGAGAAAAAAATGTACGGATATCCAAAGAGAGAGAAAAAGAGTGGATTAATGACTAAAACTAAAAGTTTCCACAGTGGATATTCGGATTAAGCAGTCGGGATTAAAGGTTATCCATTCTTAAGTTCCCAGCTCTGGTGAATTTCAAATATTTCTGAAAATTTACATTGTTGAGACAAAAATAAATATTTTTGACCGGACAGAAACCTTTCGTAGACCCCTGGGGTCATTTATAAAATAAAAAATAAAATAAAAGTAAAAGGGGTCATCTATAAGTCAATAAACAAGAGAAAAATATATAAGATATGATATGGATATGGATCTAGGATATGCATTCTTCATGGAATCTAGTTCGATAGAATACCATATAGGGATTATACAAATATATAAATCTCGAAGATAATCCGCAGATAAAACCTTTAAATATGTTAAATAAAGGGAAGGTGTAAAGGGTGGGGGCGATTGCTTCTTGCTGGGAATGGTGAAAAAATGTTTTCCCATTTTGTTCATGTATATATTGTTGTTTTTTGTGAAAATCTGTTCTTTTACAACTATGTAATGCAAATTTACAAAATTTGATTTTAGATATATTCTATCTCGAAAAAAAAAACACTTGTAATATTGTAAACCAGTGTTGTATGCCCTAGAGGGGGATATTTAACAGTTTATGGTGAACACCAAGGGGAATCGGATGCAGAGGAACTTTTAATCAACAAAAAGTGCCAGGATTACAGACCGGAGGAGGGGGGTGGGGATTTTGTAGATATCTAGATTAGGTTGGGGAGGGGGGATAGTCCCTTGAACAATTATATATTGTAAAAATTACGCCTGTAGTCCCTTGAACTATTATATATTGTAATATTACGTCTGTAGTCCTTTGAACAATTGTATATTGTAAAAATTACGTCTGTAGTCTCTTGAACAATTATATATTGTAAAAATTACGTCTGTAGTCCCTTGAACTATTATATATTGTAATATTACGTCTGTAGTCCCTTGAACAATTATATATTGTAAAAATTACGTCTGTAGTCCCTTGAACAATCATATATTGTAAAAATTACGTCTGTAGCCCCTTGAACAATTATATATTGTAAGAATTACGTCTGTAGTCCCTTGAACAATTATATATTGTAAAAATTACGTCTGTAGCCCCTTGAACAATTATAAATTGTAAAAATTAATTCTGTAATCCCTTGGACAATTAAATATTGTAAAGATTACGTCTGTAGTCTCTTGAACAATTTTAATTTGTAAAAATTATGTACGTACTCTGTAGTCCCTTGAACAATAATGTATTGTAAAAATTACGTCTGTAATCCCTTGAACTATTATATATGGTAAAAATTACGTCTATAGTCCCTTGAACAATTTTATATTGTGAAAAATAATTTTAAAAATGATGATTCAAGGTTGGTGGAGAACTAGACCAGAAATCCTATGGAATAGGACTCCGAAAGAATTCGCCATATTTAAACCAACTGAACAGGTGACGCATAGTGGGGTGTCAGGNGAAAGTGAGTTTACATCCTAAAGAAGTGTGGATGTATAAGTCGTAATAAGGTTGCATTGAAGCTTAGATTATTTGATCTTACAGAATTAGTAGTTTGAAATATTAAGGGTATATTTTTCGGGTCCGGATCCAGGAAGCCAAAATCTTGCGGATCCAACGGATCCGGATCCTAAGCACTGGTTTTCTGGTTCTCAATGTTTTAATTCCACCAAACATCTGATATTGTGCCAAGATTGTTTCCAATGTTAACTCCTGATAATAATGATTTGAAATATGGGAACAATTTGAACAATTTGCCAATTCCATTTTGCAAAATTTGCTGATCAAGTCTAGACTATAGCTCTCATATTTAAATCTAAGGGATTATACACAATTACAATTCGGAAGCTGTCATGAATTTGGACTATGCGCAGATGTACAGGATGTCCCAATAAACATGGAAATTCAGTGACGAATTCGATATCGTCTTTTTAAATAATTCTTTGATTTAGTATAGTGATACCTACTGAGAAAGCTGTAATCTGTAAGAGTTTCGTCTGCTGCTATGGTTACAATTTGATTGTTTATGTTTTGACTGCTTAAGGGTGCACTTAGAAAAACAAGAAAAGTGCTGTATACAAACAGAGTAAACTTGTCCGTATTCACTGTTCATCTTGCGGAGACATTATAGACACAGCTTTGCAGTCTTTTACCCTTTTCATAAAATAAACTCTACAAGATATAATTATTCAGGACTATTTTGTTATTACAAGATATAATTATACAGGGTTATTCTGTTACTACAAGATATAATTATACAGGACTATTTTGTTATTTCAAGATATAATTATACAGGGTTATTCTGTTACTACAAGAAATAATTATACAGGGCTATTCTATTACTACAAGAAATAATTCTACAGGGCTATTCTGTTACTACAAGATATAATTATACAAGGCTGTTCTGTTAATAAAAGATATAATTATACAGGGCTATTCTGTTACTGCAAGAGAGCGGTGTTCTTCATAAACTTAAGATAAAATGGTGGAAACAAAGAGGGGCTAAAAATTGTGAGGTAATTGTTTTAAAAATTTCTTTTAAAAATGTTTTATTTTTTTATGAAATACTAGCTTTAGAACCAAACTTTTCCTGTAGCAGTCAATCTATTCAATTTAGAACTTTCACACTAAGCTACCGGGGTTCTACCGTACCGGGTTCCACAATCAAAATTTGTAGCAAATCGGTTGAGAGATTATGGTGTTATGATCTGACGTACTAATAAACAGACATACAAACACTAAGAAATCAGTGTCCGAATTTAATGAATTTAAGCCGCGTCTCAAATCCCCAAAAACCGGTTTCAATTGAGCGCCGGCTTAAATCTTGAAAAAATGAATACAAATTTAAGTGGAACCACCAAAATTTTAGCCGCTGCTTAAATTTAAACCGCGGCTCAAATTCTTTAAATTCGCCCTCAGACAATTTTGTTAGGATCTTCATATTATTTTGTTAGGATCTTTATATTATTTTGTTAGGATCTTCATATTATTTTGTTAGGATCAATTCATATTATTTTGTTAGGATCTTCATATTATTTTGTTAGTCTAGTATAAATATTTGCTTTGAAGCAACATTAAATACACTTAAGTATTGCTTTAAAGTCGTCTTCCTTTTTCGGAGTTTTCTGGTTATCACTGTAACAAAATGACTTCTATGTGAAATCAATTGATTATATTTATATATATAAATATCTACCATTGAATATTGATGTTTTCAGTGGTGCATTCGTGGTTCTAATGGCCGGACTATTTGGTGCCATGACTGTAGCTTTCCTAGAGTTCCTTTGGGTATTTCGTGGAGTCTTTGCACAAAGAAATGTAAGTAAAACAATTTGTTATGGTTCGACAAAATGACTCCTTTTGTTTATCAAAATGAACAATTTTGAGAGTTGCTTGTCATAAAACCTTAGAAAACAATAAAGTTAGAAAAAAAGGTTTTTAAATTAACTTTTGATAAAATGTTTAGACGGATATTTTTGGAAACTTAAAGAATGAGGCACTTTGCAACTTTGGCCGAAGAGGTAAGAGATCAATTTTGTAATCTATGTACAAATGATTCCTCGAATTTTATTTCTATTTTAAATATTTTTGAAAAATGTCAGTAAAAACAAAACCTCTGATCTCTAAAACTGATAAGCTAAAATCTTAGTTTTTACATCCATACGATCCATCTTGCAGACCAGAGATGTAAATTTTCTTTAAATTATTTTCCCTCTTATCTTTCCCCAAAAATTTGGTACAATTGCGCGTAGCCTTATACTTTTCATTCTATTCTTTGCTAAATTGAAGAAAATTATGATTTAAAAAATTAATAATCGGACGGGTGTGGGGGGTGAAATTATTAAAATGAAGTACTCCTGTAGTAGTTACAGATAGTCAATATTTATAGCTGTCCTTATTCCAGCGATTTTATCTGCATACCAAACAAATACACCAAGTGCATTTACAGTTTTACATTTATTTACATGTGTGTTCATCCTCCGTGCATTTACATTTTACATTTATAAGATATTGGGCTTTATAGTATACTTAACAAACTAGCTGAAGTGCCCGTGAAAAAAAATCTAATTTTCAAGCCTATGTGACCATTTATCCATGGAATACTTTGGGTTCCCTAAACAAAATTCAGCCAAATTGGTCCAGCCGTTGGGCCAGCTATAGCTGACATTTAAATATGTACATATATTTGTTCAAAGAATTTTGACTACTGAGGATCGTTTTGAGACGTGAAACATTTTGTTTAGTAAAATTCTTTTTTAATAAAATGTGAAGTTTAAAATATATAAATATATGTATATATATATTTATGAGCGAAGAGCTTTATTATATAGATTTGGCTTCTATAATTGTTGCTCTGAAAATCGCCATTTTCAAAAAATATATGTCGACATTTTTTTTCTGGTTCAAATTTTTAATTTTGAGGATACATTACAAAGATGGGCCCGTTTTGACGTTTATTAGATACAAACAGATAGACAGGCAATTTATTTATATGCAGAGAACGATAGACGTTGCATTTTTTTATTTTAATGAACTTTTTTTGTAATTAATGAAGTTAAAAACACTCCCCCACTCTCCTTAAAAATGTTTATTTAATATTAAAAACAACTTGGAGAATATTTAATTTTTAATGTTTTTGTTCTAAAAATGCTTTTAATTTATAGGACTCAAGCAAAATCTGGGTTCAGATGCAAACAAACATCCTAGAACCGGTTCCCTAAGATCTAGAACATTTGATGATATATCCAGGTATAGAAAACAAGCATGTCATAAATGTAGAAAAATACATTTTTTTTCATTATAAACAGAACTGAAAACTGTATTTGATTTCCTTAATCCCCATTGCTAAATTTCGATAGGCACTGTGGCCAATTTTTTAACATTTTCGGCTAAATTCTCTCTTTTTGGATATTCCTGCTGGGTTCCGACCAATGACTGTTCCCTCATTGATTTCTTGGCTTCTGATTGGTTTCTGAAATCGAGGAGATCAAGCATTGATCTCGATATTACTTTTCTAATATGTTCAGCTCAGATCATGTATTGAAAGAGAATTTAATAAAAATTTGTATTGGTTACAATCTTTAAAAAAAGATTTAGGACAATATAATATAGGGAAAGAGAAGTGGGAGTTTATCAATCAAAAAGATAATTGAAGTTGAAAGAGATAAAAGCATTTATAGTTTTAGATTGAAAATCCTGCTTTTTAAATGTTATTTCACAAAATTCGGAAGAAAAAAAGTTGATAATGCTTCTGAGATTTATTATCATCTTCTAAGCAAAAAAGGGACCGAGTGTAATTTTTAACAGCAACACTTTAACCGACAAAGTTATTTTTGTCAAAGTTTCTAATGTAGTTCTTTAAACACAAATATGACGTAGTACGTCACCTTGTCATATAAAAGGGAAAATCTGAATTTGTATCCCGTCAATGGGACAGAATTAGGGCTTCGACCTATCAAAATTCCGTTGACCAGAATTGTGCGGAACATCGCGCAACTGTTCGGTGTTCACAAATGGAGTTTAGTTTACAGGGCTCGCAACCCTAGATAGAATCCGAGAGGGGAGGGGCGGTACACATGATTGACATGTTACATGTTCAGGTTTACTGATGAAAACCAGTCTGAGAAGGAAGGAACCCCTCCCCCCCTCCCTACCCGTCCCATCCCCCCTTCCCCCTCAACCACCAATATCCTAAACCCCTTAAACACTAGCCAGGGGATAGAAGGAACTCCTACTCCTGAAGTAGGGCTGCTAGGTCGACCTGAAGGAGTACATCTGCAGCATCTACTGGAACGAGGGGGCGGCACTCCTCCACCCCCTCTGCAATATATCAGGTTCAAACTTTTAGGACTTAAAAAGTTATCAAACCATATCAAAATTTTTAAATATTAAACTTTTGAATTTATAAACGCAATGTTAAAGTTCTATTTCGTTTTGACGCGGATCCGGATTCGGATCCTGGAACTAATTATCCATATTCAAAGTTATGAACATTTCTGTAATATCAACTTAATTTTTAAGCAAAGGAAACATTTATAGATTTTTCCCTTTCTTTTCTTTTTAACACTGATGTTAAATTTCTCGTTAGTCTACTGTTGATTTTGTATTTTAGAGTAAAACATTTTTAGTAGGTTTCGGTTGATATTTTGTCTCTCCGTGATTCTTCATTATTTTGTGGATGCCATTCCGGAACCAATGTTCCATGTTGCGGATCCACTGTTGAGGATCCGGATTTTAAGCACAATAATAAAACTATTCCTGTGCAGGAAACCAGCCTTGAAGCGCGGGAGTTTACTTGGACAAGCATCATTAAAGGGTTCCCCTGCTACTGCAAGGAGGGTAGTCGTACAAACAGATAGGATCAGTAGCATTAATTAGAAGGGTAGTCGTTCAAACAGATAGGATTAGAAGCAATAATAAGAAGGGTAGTCGTTCAAACAGATAGGATTAGTAGCATTAATTATTGATTTGGAGGGTAGTCATTTGAACAATTAGGATCAGTTGTAGTTTTTTTTTACAACAGTTAAGAAATCAACAAAGAGAAAAATCTGAATATGGTATAAAGACGATTTTTAAAATTAAGTTTAAATTGTTTCATTTTCAAAAATACTTGAAAATACAGGAATTGCTATATTAAATTTCGTTCTTCAAACTTTTCTAAATTTTATTTTCAAAACTTATGATCAATTTTACAGCTTTATAGTTTGAATTTCTTGTATTCTTTCACTGCGAGGGACTGTAGGCATGAGTTTAATTAACCTTTCATATAAAGTGAACCATCCTATATTTACAACGATATCCTTTAAAAACCTCTATCGGATCAATAATATGATATTTTGATTGCTAAAATGTGTTTACAATTTTCTCAACCGTTTTTGTAGCAAGGAAATTTTTTTTTGAGAAGCTACAGTTAAAAATAATTCACTTGTCATGAATATGTCACTCATTCTTGATAAATATTTTGTGAACCGGAATTGCCATTCTACAAAAGGAGAGTCAATTGAAATTGCCTGGTTAGTCCCTTTTATACACCTTTTAGTAAATGATATCCCGGCCTCCTAACCCTGTTGGTTAGGCTTGATTGAATCAGAGTTAACTCCTATCCCAATCCTACCTCTTGGCCAGGTTTATCCTTTACAGTTTACGACTTAACCCTGACTAATCGGATTAAGCGGGGATTTAACTTGAAAAAGCTTTCAGGATTCTCAAACCAGCATCTTCACCCTTCAGCCCGGAATTTATTGACTAAATCCTTTTATAGTTTCACACAAAGGGAATTCTATAATTAATATTCATAATTTGGAAGATAAAAGGTTTTCAGCTTGACATTCTTTTATTTACCGATATTTAACCTTTTCCATCTATCTCAACATAAACTTTTGTTATCCAAGGATGCATCAGTTTTGTCACTTCCAGTTTTAGCCGGCACAATAATTGCAAAAAGTTAAACTTTTTGTCCAACCGTAATCAAAGTAAGCCAAAATAAAATATGCAATGTTAGAAAGATATTAAAAAGATGAAAAATCATTTTCATTCTCACTGGATTGTGCGGCTAGAAGGCAATTTTTTAAGGTTTTTTTTGAAGGGGGTGGGGCCATTTCGAAGAGGTTAAAATCGTTGCAACCCCCCAAAAGGAGAGGTTAAAATGTGAACTATAAAATTTATCAAAATAACGTTATATTTCTACTATCTATATATACTACTATCTATCCTGGTCTAATCAAGAAAATTCTTTTCATAAAAAATGCTTTCTTTATTTCATGTTGAATATTATATTAGGAGAGCCCATACTGTTAGAAATATAGAAAACAAAATATTGTTATTTAGGGACTGTAAGCGTAATATCAAGTGACTCTCCATGGAAAGATGGCATTTTCTGGTTTAAATATGATTTAATATCCTTGTTTTTGTTTCTTTAAAATATTATCTTTCTTTTCTCTGCGAAAGTGACTTGCGCATTTCTTGCGTTTAAGAAGCAACGGAGGTATTTACAGAATTAAAACACTTCCTTATTTTTGATCAGATTAAGGTTTCAAGGGTACAGTTGTAAATCGAACATTGCAATATTGGCATGGAGGGTCACTTGAAATTACGCTTACAGTCTTTTTAAAGGTCAAAATATTTTTTATTTTAAGAATCTGCATTATATTACTTGTATTCGAATGATAAAAATGAAGCATGTTTTTTTCTTTTTTTTTCTGTTACACCATTTTTTTATGGCAATGCATGAAGAAAGCAACATCAATATTTGTTTCTACTTCGTATGTTTTATTTGACATATTGTGATTTTTAATTATGTTATTATGCTTAATTCTGTTATTAGCATGTTTAGTTTTTTGTTGCATCTGTATAAAAAATTAGATTAAAACTATTGTAATATTTGCCAATGGAGTTGTATTTATGAATATGTCTATTACAACCGAAGATAACGATTATAATAAAAAACGTTTAGAATAAAAAATAGTTGTTCCTACCAAATTATTGTCTTATCGTTTCGTTTTTCGTTTACATAAAGCTTCAAAATATTATATCTCTGTTTGTTTCGTTTGTTTTATCTAAAAAACAAAGTTTCGATATTTTTTAAAAACTGAAAACGAAAGAAACAATATCGTTTTTTATCGTTTTTAAAAACTGAAAACGAAACAAACAACATCGTTTTTTATCGTTTAAAAAAAATGGAAACGAAACAAACAACATCGTTTTTTATCGTTTTAAAAAACAAGAAACGAAACAAACAACATCGTTTTTTTCGTTTTTAAAAACTAAAAACGAAACAAACATCGTTTTTTATCGTTTTTAAAAACGATGGTAATCTCTAGTTATGACTCATGATAGAATTTGACTTAACATAAAATGATTTCCAGGTAAGATGAGTTATCCTGAACATTTTGTTATAAAATTCTAACAAAATGAAAACTAGCTTTAATTTAATAGTTCATTAAATATCAATAATTTAATACTTTTCTTCTTGATATTTCAGAAAGCAGATTTAGCTATAGCCGACCTTACTATTACATATGAGAGAGAACAAGCAGTAGATTTCTCAATGCCATTTATGAACCTGGGTATTAGGTAAGATTAGAACTACAGACATTCTAAATTCACAACAGTACCCTTTAAACCTTTCACTGATCATCAAGGACAGAGAACTCCGTGTTGTTATCTCATAAATGTTGTGAAAAAAGCTGTAAAATGAAGTTTATAATAGCATACTGTGTGAACTCAATTTCAATGACGTCACAGCGCAGTTTTCCAAATTTCGCATGAGAATATTCATATTCTGCTCTTTCTAGAAATTAAATGTTAAATATAAAACAGCAGTACAAGTATTTCTGTAAATAAATAAGGAAAAGTATGTCATCCTTAATTGATCAAAGGTTTAACGGCCACCTTTAAGTTTACAAATATCGTACAGCTATATCTGTACACTTATATCTATCTCTGAGCAGTTCTCTTTTCCACAATCTCACACTTCGTTATGTAAATTTGTTATGAGATCTGCTTTCTTATTTCTAATCAAGCCAAATAAAAACAATAATTGTTCTACTTTTAGATATATCATAAAATATTGTATAAAAGTAAATCTTTAATAAGCTTGTCATGCACGACCACTTAATAAAATACGTTAACGTGCAGTCAGCGGGCAGAAGCGTCATATATGTATGTTTGTACCAAAGAGTGTGTGAAAGTGATAACGAACCGAAGTCGTGTACTGTAGGTATATACAGTACATACTAATCTCGGTATTTGTACAGTCTAGGAGAGTACAGTTATTATTGTTAATTGTTTAATTAAAAATAATTTTAGTATACATATACATATATGTATGTTTGTACCAAAGAGTGTGTGAAAGTGATAACGAACCGAAGTCGTGTACTGTAGGTATATACAGTACATACTAATCTCGGTATTTGTACAGTCTAGGAGAGTACAGTTATTATTGTTAATTGTTTAATTAAAAATAATTTTAGTATACTTGCAATATATTATTTATATATTTAAGTCAACACAATGAGCTAAATTTTCATTCAAAGAATATAATTTAACTGAAGTTTACGATAAACTACTCGTTATTCAAGCTTAATTATAATCGACGACATTGTTCTGCAATTTTTTTACTGTAGTCATGTTGTGTACCAAAAGAGTGTGCGTGTGTGATAATGAACTCGTCTGCAAAGCAGTGCGACTGACTTTCTCATGCCAGGCCAGCGCCATTTCCCTTCCCTTTATTCTTATTCTCTGCGTGCAGTCGATTAAAAACAAAATCACATGCTGAAAATTATATTTGTACTTTAACAATAAACTTAAATTATATTACAGAATAGTCTACAGTCTTAATTTATATTTCAGTATTTTGTACAAAAAACCTCAGAAGCAACCCCCAGAGCTCTTTTCCTTCATGCAGGAAAATACAATCAATATTTGTTTTTGGTTAAAAAATCATTAACTGTATAGAGAAAATTTTCAGGGGGGAAGATTTAACTACTTTCTTTCCAAGGGGGGGGGGGCTGAGCATCTAGTAACATCCCTAGCCCCCCCCTTGTTTACGCCACTGAATTCTCAATTATTTCATAAGCAAAGGAACTGAGTGTTTGCCACACACTCAAATGTTCTCTGTCTTCGCAACCTTATGGCGTAAACCTTTGATATTTCAAAGTTAGATTATGCGATCTAACAGAATTCATAGTTTGAAATATCAAAGGTCTATGACAATGGGTTGCTAGGATAATGAAAAAAATAATAGTTTGTTGCAAACAAACACTCAATTCCTTTTTTCTTTAAATTCAACTTTATCGCATTATCATTCTGATCATTGTTAATAAACAAAATATTGATGTTGACTACAGCCGTTGTCTGTGGATGTTTGGATCTATATGATATTTGCTTATCTAGGGGTCTCTCTACTCCTCTTCATTCTAGCAAGGTAGGTGCGCGAAGCGCAAATATTTGTCTGCTCCCTTGGACGTGCAAGGGCGGGGAAAATTATCAAGAGTCTCTTCTATACTGAGAATTGGGACGTCTTGGTTTTCAATGGCTGGATTTATTTTAAATCATTAATAAAATCCATATAATTGTGGCGCCCCTGGATTCCTGGAATGCAGTACACAGCATATTCCATACTTCACATGTTATTGTTTAGATTATGATATACTGCATCTAGTATAAATACTGTTTTTGATAAATATATATTCAGTCAGTTTATTTGATCTTATTCATTTGGTCTTATTCATTTGGTCTTATTCCTTTCGTCGCTACATAATCATGTTATTTGAATAGGTTTACTTTGTTTTTCTTACGACTCGTGCTTTGTGAATAGCCCTGTTGTATAAAGATACTTGCAGTATTTGTGTCTAAATTGTATGACTATGCTTGTTTAAAGTCAATTGCATTTCCTTAATAAGAACATAAAATTTCTTCAAGTTGAAAATAGAATTATAAAACTGANCCAGCCAGTCAGCATTCATTCAATATTTAATATTGAGAACAATTTCACAAATGCAAGAATCGGATTGAATTATCCAGACTTATAAAAACTGATTTTTTTAATAAGAAAGAACTTCATTAAAACTATTTCTGATTTGAAAATGTTACTGAACTTCCTATTGGGATATTTATTTCTCTATAAGGAAGGTTAGCGTTTGTTTTATCCAGTATACGATATAAAAACTTCATCAAATATTCTGCTTAAAGTTTAGTTCTGACAACTGAAGTAGGTCATTCGACAGTACATCGTTTTCTGTACGTAAATATACGCTGAGCTTCCTTACAGGAAAATAAAGAAGGGGGGAAGTTATATTAACTGCCGTTTAAAATCTGAAATATTTATAAGCAAGTTCAGTTTTCGGGTTTGATCGGTGAAATATACAGTGTACCGGAACGAGTCATTCCAAAATAAAAGGGACAATTTTTTGACACTTACTTACTCTTACGATTTGGCTAAAATTTTGCACACAATGTAATGTACGAAAAAACATGTTTTATTTTACAAAAATTTGTTGGGGACCTCCGGGGTTTGAGTTAAAGGGCAGCAAAATTTTGAAAAAATGGAAAATTTGGGGGGAAAAAAGATTTTTTGTTTTTATTAAAAAAGTCAAATATTTTTAATTAACTTAATGACCCATACTAATTCTTAATAATTTTAGATTTAGTCCGTATGAATGGGATAACCCCCACCCATGTATAGAAGAGCCAGAAGTTCTGGTAAATGAGTTTAGGGACTGAATTTTGATCAATTTGAACTGTCTACAGCCGGTACAAATTTGAATCATCAATTCAAATTCTTTCTTAATCTTTACCTTTAAATTGGTGGTTTAAATTTGAATTATCAATTCAAATACTTTCTTAATTTTTATCTTTGACTTTGAAACACTGGTTCAAATTTGAGCCGCCATTAGATAGCTAATTAAGCGACGTAGCTCAAATTCATTAAATTCGGTCACAGTTTGTGCAACTCCATGTGGTTTACCATTGGATCTCTCATGCAGCAAGGAAGTGATATATCACCAAAGTAAGATCTTTTAAGAAAAGGATTATAGCAATCATTAACAAAAATTATTTACTTAATTAATCAGTCAAATTGTCCAAATATTTGATAAATATTTCTTTAACTTAAATTATTTAATTTTAAAAAAAAGTTTTATTTTTTAGGAAAGTTTCATTTAAAGGACGTAACCAGAGATACAGGGTGTCCCACGAAACATGACAGTTGGTAAATAGTTTCAAATGTCTTCTTCCACAATTTGTTAAGTTGTTTGATACCAAAGCGAATAATAAAAAATATTATGTTGCATTCATAAAATAGTAAATTTGATTTAAAAGTAAAACATATTTCAGTAAAAGAATTTTTTAACGAAATAAACTGCGAAAAGTATTTAATGTATAATACAGTATATGGAAGAAGACATTCAAAACTATTCACCAACTGTCATGTTTCGTGGGACACCCTGTAGGTTACTGTAACCCTTTCATTTCACAGTCTTGATCATTAATGACAGAGATATGCTTATGTTCTGACTGCAGAATATATTGCCGCTGAACTGGCCAGTGCTCACTGTTAATCAGCACTCAATTTTCAGATCAAACACCAATGATATCTCATCGGACATGAACTGAAATTATGTGCAAAGTGATATAACTTAGTTTTTAATGATTATCTCATGACATTTAAGATAGTTTTGGAATTCATAACTTTTATTTTCAGATCTGTCTCTACCCGGATGGTTGCTGGGATGTGGTGGTTCTTTACATTAATCATGATTAGTTCATATACAGCAAACCTAGCAGCTTTTTTAACAGGTTTAGAATCTTTTAAATCATGCAGCAGAAGGTTGGAAACTTTTGAATTAGAAAAGCAATGTTCGGAAACTTTAAAATCAGAAGAGCAAGGGGTGGAAATTTTAAAATCAGAAGAGCAATGGGTGGAAACTTTTAAATAAGAAGAGCAAGGGGTGGAAACTTTTAAATAAGAGAAGCAAGGGGTGGAAACTTTTGAATAAGAAGAGCAATGGTTGGAAACTTCGAAATAAGAAGAGAAAGGGGAGGACACTTTTAATCAGAGAAGCAAGAGGGAAAAAAATTTAAAAATAGGAAAAGTAAGTGATGGAAACTTTTAAATCAGAAGAGTAAGGGTGGAAACTTTTAAATCAGAAGAGTAAGGGTGGAAACTTTTAAAATAGAAGAGTAAGGAGTGGAAACTTATAAAATCAGAAGAGCAAGGGGTGGAACAATTTAAATTAGAACAACAAGGTATGGCAACTTTAAAAGCAGAAGAGAAAGGGTTGGAAACTTAAAGATTAGAAGTGTAAGAAGTAGAAACTTTTAAACAGAAGAGTAAGGAGTGGAAACTTTTATACCAGAATAGTAAGAAGTGGAAACTTTTAAACCAGAAGAGTAAGGAGTTGAAACTTTTAAATCATAAGAACAAGGGAGCGGAAACTTCGCTTATTATGATTAAAAATTATAAGATTAACGGGAGTGGGTTGACTTTTAAATCAGAAGACACTTTTAAACCTGTGGAAACTTATGAATCAGAAGTTGTATTTAACATATTTCTGGTTCATTCGCAAAATCAAGAAATTCATAGCGATATTTTATAACAAAAAGAAAGAAAAAATAGTTTTATTTTCTTTATATTAGTTGAGAGAATGGAGTCTCCTATCGAATCAGCTGATGATCTTGCTAAGCAAACTAAAATCAAATATGGCTGCCTGGAGTCAGGATCAACAAGGGCATTCTTCAGGGTAACAACTCCATACAATACCTTACATATATAAAGTAGTAATCTCTGTTTGTTAGTTTTTATGGTCGATCATAACTCATAAAACCCTGAACCGATTTGCCTCACATTTTGATTGGGGAACTAGGGACAACCACGGGAATGTTCATAGCTTTAAGATTCTAAGTTAATTTGGTTGACCTTTATAAGGGAAAAATCGCTTAAATTATAATGTAAGACCATGCGCGGGTAAACGGAGGAAGTAACTTGGAGTAACCTGGGCAACGCTGAGTTCCCAAGCTAGTTTATATAATAAAGCACATCGCTAATAAATATATATCTATTCATATATATATATAGGTCCTGTATAGCTGGCAGAATGTTGGACAAAATTGCCTGACATATTTGTTAGGGAACCAATGTGTATCCCGGGGGTGACATTACTAAAAATGTTTTTTTTAATGGGCAATTCAGGTCACTTCATCTGAAATCATTAAATACCAAAAACGCGGGTAAACGGTGAAAGTAACTATGACTATGGAGGATAATATAAACGCCGGGCACTCTGTCTTATTGTAGATAACCATTTAATCCTTCATAACATTAAACCTTTTCAAAAACTTTTTAATCTTTAAAATTTTAATAACCTGTATATTCTTCAGTTTTTTAGTTCATTGAAACCTGAACATCTTCAAATATTTATGTCAAAACTGCGTAAATCCAGATATATCTTTCGAGATATTTAAAAAATGTTATTTTTCAATTAGACTGAAAATATCTCTAAAAAAATGACAGATTCATAAAAAAGTCCAAACATCTGTGAAGTAATTTTTTACCCGACAAGAATACTGAGGGTTTGTAAAATTCTGAAGAACTTATAAATTTACCCTTTTTATTTTATGTTTTAGGACTCGAAAATCCCAACATACTCCAGGATGGCTTCTTTTATGGAGTCTCAGAAACCAAGCGTCTTTACTAAGGAATTCTTCTTATTAAGTTATTTTATTTCCTGCAAAGGATGAGGTTGTAAAGACGACCGAAAACTCGTATCCTTGACGATTCCGAGGTTAAATTGTTGCACAATTTCGTAAAGATCTTTGTTTGTATTTCGTTAACTTTTTTGTGTTAGTGAATTTTGCGAAAAGAAGCGAAAGCGATGCGGAAATTTCGCATTTTTGGCGAAAAAAGCAAAATTTTGACAAAGCATAAAATTTTAATTTTCGCATTTTTTATTTCGAAAAAAGATTAGCGCGAAATGTTGTGAAGAAAGCGAACATTTTCGCATTTTTGCGCAATTTTCCCTGGAAACCCTAGTTGGGTCACAAAATTTATCTTGGTCTCCCTGTACTGAAAAACAAACCGATTTTAAAATCTAAATAAGAAAAAAATGTCAGAGTAATAATGAGGGTGTGAACAGAGTTGTAAGTTCAGATGAAACGTATGCTTTTCTCATGGAATCCAACTCTATACAATATCAAATAGGAATGCAAACTTATAAAATTGTATTTACAAACAGAACACAAAAACAATATTCAATTTATTTTGAATTGCCAGAGTAATTTATACCTTATATTCAGTGTTTCATGGACTCCAATCCACGTTCCCGCTTAAAAAATTTTCCTGGATTTTTCGGTTTTGCGTATTTTTAGGAAAACGTTTGGTTCATTTCAAATAACTAAGGTTTTTGGGCCCTTTTTTCACTTTTTAGGGACAATATTAGCTTTTAACTGTTGGATTTAAAAGAATTTTTGGTAAAATTTTCTCAACATCCTTTCAAGTTAATTGTAAATTATTATTTTTTACGATTTTCCTAAGTTTGGATTATTTGTTTAGAAAGAAACTGTGATTTGATCCAAGTTGGTGGATTATTGGATTCCAAAGGATATGGGATTGCTTTCACTCCAGGTACATGAAGCATAATACTCTTCTATAAAATAAAGCTCTTCGCTCATATATATATATATATATTTATATGTTATCTACAGTTGGGCAAACGGCTGTACCGAATTGGCTAACATTTTTTGAGGGAACCCATGGGTACCCTGGGGTAACTGATGCAAAGATGAATTTATTAAACAGTTAGAGTTTGAGGCAAGAAATGAGTTCTAATTAGTAAAAACTACAGGAGTATCCTTTTAAACTGTAGAAGAAAAGACACTTGACTCAAGTTATGCTTATGATGTTAAATAGTTCCATGAACGTAAAACATAGCAATTGTAAAGGCTTATTTCACGTAATAATTTGATTATTAGGCTACTGCTAATCTATTTGCTTTATAATAACAATATAAAATACTTCTAAGATTGCATAAATTTCCTCTAATTTAAGGGCTCCATATGTACATTTACTAAGTGTAAAATTTAACATAAGATTTTACATAAAATGCTATAAAAAATTAATTCTAAATCCGTCCATTTTCTCCTCTTCTCCTTTATAAATAGTTTACACATTGTAATCATTAATGATATTTGGTAAGTGGTACATTGTTATAAACCATCTTATGTTAATGTTTATGTTGCAATGTCTCAAATGACCCTATCTTAGGGTTAAATAGGAGAATACAGATTATTTAAAACAGAAACTTCATTCGTATCGATTTACTGCCTTTTTGGTTTTTTTTTCTATGAGATCGAATCTTATCATTCTTTTTTGTGCATTTTTTAATGTTTTTGAAATGATTTTTTTAAGCTCAAAAAAATGTTTTTTGCCTTTTATTTCGTTACATATAAATCTATGTATATAGAGTTGAAATCTCTGTTTGTCTGTCTGTTTGTATGTCCGATCATAACTCAGGAACCCCTGAACCTATGTGCCCCAAATTTTGATTTGGGAACTCGGGAGGTCCAAGGGAATGTTGTAAGATTCTAAGTTGAGTGGGTTGACTTTAAAAGTGAAAAATTGGTTTTCCGGTATAATCGTTCAAGTGCGGGTAAACGGCGGGAGTAACTTTTTGTAACCTAGGCAGCGCTGGGTTCCCAAACTAATAAACAATAAAGTTGTGCACATCGAGAATCAATATTTATAATGCAAATATGATAAATATATTTAATATTATCACGATAGGATATATTTATCTTCTATTGTATAAGCTGAAATCCATCCAGAATTCCTGAAATGATAAATTGATAGGACGGATCATTATCAGTATTGTATTTCATTATCAGAGATGTTTGGTACTTTCCTTAGCGGCAACTTTACACTTACAGGGCAGGGGTCATATAATTCCCAAAATAGCTGATTTTCTCAATCCCAAAATAATTTTTTGCCCCCAACTTTTATAAAAATGCCCCCAATTGTAAAAAAAATGCTCCCAATTAAAAAAAAAATTTGCCCCCATTTCTTTCAAATTTGTCAATCACAAATGGGATTGAAAAAGGAATTTATGGACCCCTGTTGCAGGGGTATTTTTCCAAGTGGAAACTTACCAAATGTTCAATTTCCCAAGCGGAAACTTCTCAAGTCACAGCGCTCGGCCACCTAGCCCATCCTAGCCGCAGCCTGCAGCGCCTCGGAAACCTAACCCAATCTTTGAGAAGTTGCTGTTTGGATAATTGCTTATTTGGGAAGTTGCCAAATTGGAAACTGTCACTTGGGAACTGACCCTTGGGAAAATGTTCTTGGGAAAGTAATTAACATCTTTTCAAAAACATAGAATTAACACTGCAACCTAGAGACAAAGTGAAAGGGCAAAAGAAACAAAAAAAACACTTCACCAGAGAAAGTTAGATGTGTACACAAACATAGTTAAGTTCATATATCTACCTTGAAGATTCAACTAGAATCCTGACCTAAAATATTTTTGGGAAATATAACATTTTTGACCTTTTTTAAATTTCGTTGTTTATTTTAGATTTTTACATTTTTTGACTTCGTAGGGAAACAATGAAGTTGTTTCTTTTCATTGAATTTAAAAATTCATACTTTACGAAAATCAAACTTTTTTTTGGTAGGAATCCTGCATTTTTTCAAACACAAATTCTTTTTTTTTGAAAAGCTATCGAAGAGAAAAAAAGAAATTTTCAAGTGTCAGAAGTGCAAAAAAGGTGGCCTGCATTTCCATAGTGAATTTATGGGTCTAAAACAGGAAAATTGGTGAAATTCGCATAATTTTGTCCAAGAAAAATTCCTTATATTAGGATTTAACTTTTGAAAAAGTTTTTTAGTAGTAAATGTTTGATTTGAATCTCTAATGAAAGGCTAAAGGTAAACTTATGGTCCCGGTATTAAGTCCTTTCAATTCAAGTTTTAAGCTAGACATAGTTTTAGCCTAATTGAGGGTTTTAAGCTAGACATAGTTTTAGCCTAATTCAGGGTTTTAAGCTAGACATAGTTTTAGCCTAATTCAGGGTTTTAAGCTAGACATAGTTTTAGCCTAATTCAGGGTTTTAAGCTAGACATAGTTTTAGCCAAATTCAGGGTTTTAAGCTAGACATAGTTTTAGCCTAACGTCGAACTCACTTTGGAACTTGAAATTTCAACCATAAATGAAGATTTTTGGTAATTGCTATATCATACTTTTTTATTAAACAATATTTTTTCAATATTGAGGTATATCATCACTTAACGCTATTTTTGACGAATTTTGAATTAGATACAGTTTAACACAGAACTTTGGGGACATCAAAAGAATTTATACAATGGCGTCTTCTCAACTTACTGATAATTAAATTCTGTATATATATATATATATACTTTTTAAATTAAATATTTTAAACTTTTCCCACATTTTCATGGCTATTTTTTTCAATTACTGAGGTTTAGGTAAAATAGTAAAAACTCATTGAAAAATTATCAAGACGACATTATATAGATTCTTTCAACGTATCCAAAGTTCTGAGCTAAACTGTATCAAAATATAGCTAAAAATCGTAATAGGAACCGAATGTACTTCGTGTAAGTTAGTTTTACATGATCTAGGATCTCCATATCGAATCCCTATCTCCAGTGCTATCCTCCAGCTACAAGAGGCTGGTCGTCTTCATGTGCTCAAGAACCGTTGGTGGAAGCAGAGACGAGGCGGAGGAAAATGTGACGTAAGTCAATTTGTAATTTTAACTCATTTTTTAACCCTATCACAATGGGGGGCGGCCACCACAACCATCCCCCTGGGATTTTTTAAATATCTCTAAAACGGCTGATAATAGAAAGTTAAAACTTCTTCACTTTTTCTACATCATAGTTGTGAAATAATTTTCCATTGGGTATGTTTGAGGACAATTAAATGGCGGGTCGGTGTTGCAAAAAATAATTAGTTAAGCCATAGGGCTAAAATCCATTTATTTGAAAAGCCCTTGAAAAATTGATGTATAAATAAAATGTGTCGCATGTTAATATTAGTCAAAAGTAAAAATAATTATTCACAATTTTTCTACATACTTTTTGATTTTTTTTAATCCTCCCTGGCTCCCTTATCTGAAAGTTAGAGGTCTAATTAGAAAAGTGGGACTAGGGACATGTATCTCCTGCCCTATCTCACCTCTAAGGGCCAAATCATTGAGTCCCCCCAATCTATATTAGACAAAAATAGCCCAATCGGGATACTGCCAAAAGTCAATCTCCTTCAAGGGAGGGAGGCGTCCAATTTTCAGGAAATGGGACGTCTATCCCTCCCCACCCTCCTCTATGCCGCCTCTGTCCTCTACCATCAAATGAAAGATTTTTGTTATTTGTTATATATTCCAAAAATTCCTTTTTTTCCAGTGTTTGTTTTAGATATTCTGTTAGTTATCTTAATTTTCTTTCAGTTCGTTCAAGAGATTGTAAGCGTAATGTTTAGTGACCCTCCATGAAGAGATTCCAATGCCCGATTTACAACGGTACCCTTAAAATCCTTTTGTGATCAAGTATGAATTAGATTTCCAATATTCATGTTTCTGTTCATTTTAATTAGGGGTTCTCTGCAAAAGCGACAATATTTTCCAGAATATTGATTAGATTAAGGTGTCAAGGGTACCGTTGTAAATAGGACATTCCCATCTTTGTATGGAAGGACACTTACATTTACACGTACAGTTCCTTTAACAACATAGACTTGATCTTGTAGTTTTCTGTATTTAGATGGCATTGAAGAAGGATACAGCTAATGAACTGTACAGTCCCTTTAATAACATGAGCTTGATCCTGTAGTTTTCTGTATTTAGATGGCATTGAAGAAGGATACAGCTAATGAACTGTGCAGTCCCTTTAATAACATGGACTTGATCCTGTAGTTTTCTGTATTTAGATGGCATTGAAGAAGAATACAGCTAATATAGTCCTTTTAATAACATGGGCTTGATCCTGTAGTTTTCTGTATTTATATGGCATTGAAGAAGGATACAGCTAATGAACTGGTCCCTTTAATGGACTTGATCCTGTAGTTTTCTGTATTTAGATGGCATTGAAGAAGGATACAGCTAATGAACTGTACAGTCCCTTTACTAACATGGACTTGATCCTGTAGTTTTCTGTATTTAGATGGCATTGAAGAAGAATACAGCTAATGACCTGTACAGTCCATTTAATAACATGGACTTGATCCTGTAGTTTTCTGTAATTTGATGGCATTGAAGAAGGATACAACTAATGAACTGTACAGTCCAAATGGAGGTAATCAAATCCCTTAAGTTAGACAGAGCTCCTGGTATAGATAATGTCACGCCCTCAATGTTAAAAAGTGCGAGCACATCTTTTATAGGGAAATTGACTGATGTAGTGAATGAATCCCTGGAGGAGGGTAAGGTTCCAGCCTCCCTTCTAGTGGGTAAAATGACCCTTATTGACAAAAAAGAACCGTCACTAGAGGTGGCTAAGAAACGCCCCATTACAGTTTCAAGTGTGATGCTCAGTATGGTTACCAAAATAGTCCAGAAACGAATGGATTCCATCTGTGAAAGGGAAGGCTTCTATGGACCGGTGCAGTATGGGTTCAGAAGCAGAAAGTCAACAGTCGACTGTGTGTTTATGATACTGGCCGCATTACGTAAGGCAAAAAGGAAGCACCAGTCAATTTCTTTGGCTTTCTGTGATATTGCGAAAGCTTATGACTCAGTTTGCCGGGAACTACTCTACACAAAGCTTCGGAGTATTGGTTTTGGAGGGAGGGTAGTGTCCCTTATTCGGTCGATGTATTTCAATGACTGTGTGCGGATTAACATAGCACATGGATTGACGGAACCGTTGTTTTTCACCCAAGGGGTTAAGCAAGGGTGCAGCCTATCCCCTTTACTGTTCGCTCTTTATATTGCGTCCCTAGGGCTAGCTCTGGACAGTTCTAAGCTTGGGGTCAGGCTAGGAAAAGCTATGATAACAGCTATCCTTTTCGCGGACGACCTGCTCTTGCTATCTAGAACCCCTAAGAGAGGAATGAATAAGCTTCTTAGAATTGTTTCAAGATTCTGCACGGACATGCACATGAAGCTTGCCACCTCTAAGACCTACATCCTTACCAATGCCCCAAATGAGACTTCTTGGAAGGTCGATAACGTCACTATTGAAGAGATTTTAGTGGCCAAGTATTTAGGGGTGACTATCCAGGTACGCGGCAGGTCTATGATTGGGGTGTATGAGAAGGACATGATCAGGAAGGCCACTAATTATGCTTACGCCATAATGAACATATCAAGGGGAGCCCTTGATAGGGCCATGGTTGCCAAGAGACTCTGGGAGTCGTGCGCCATCCCTTCAATCCTGTATTGTGTGGAGGCTGCAATTCTTAAGAAAGCTACTATTGTAGAGCTAGAAAGACTACAATGCATGGTAGGTAGGTTTATCCTGCAGATACCTCACTCATCCTCTAAGGTACTCACCTGGATGGATGCGGGCCTCATGCCTATGGCACACAGAATTCAGACCAGACAAGCTCTGTTCATCTGAAGTATTCTGAAATCCAAGTTCAATACGCTTCTATTGGAGGTGTTACGGGAACTGCTGGATCACCCTACAGACCCTTGGGTGAAATCCTGGATGGAGATTCAGAGGGAGGTTGGGTCCATTGCAATGTTCTCAAGCAGAAAGGAGTTGCAGAAAGCAATGTCAGATAGAGCTGTGAGATTTGTGGTATCAACCAAAAGAGGTCATTCCTCTGCTGTTGCAGCCTCCCAGCCGTGGAAGTGGTTCCGACTTCAGGGTTTTGTGAACGATTCCAGGGCGAGTAGGACTCTGTGCAGGGTTCGGGCTGGTAACGCAGAGCTAGGTAACAGATACAAGGATAGATACGGCTGTACCCATGTTTTGTGCCCATGGTGTCTCTCAAAAGGTGTCCGTGCCAGGCTAGTAGAGTCTCACGTGGTCCTTATCTGCCCATGTGTAGCGGCACAGCGTAGGGATTTTGGGATTGCAGATTTTCACTCAAGCTATGCCGGTCATGGTAAGAAACCTCTATGGCAGATTCTCAGGGCTTATCTTGGGGGGGATGGGTCAGACCAAGTAGTCTTACTTGAAAGAGGGAGGAAAATGGCAGTGTTATTGGAGTCATGGCTGGTTAAAAGTCATGAAGGTGATCTGTAGGCCGATAGCTTTCAAGGTGGGTTTTTTGTCAAACAATCTTAAATCTTATATCTAATGTTTAAACCATTATCAAATAGTAATCTAATAAGCTTTTTATTAACTTCATACTGGGGTAGTACCGAGATGGACTACTCTGGGGGACTGTTAGTGTGCAGTTGGGCGGTGACTTAAGTCATTGGTCTGTACTTCGACAGTTGGCCACACTAGACAGTGTGTCACCAATTGGTACATTAATAGCCATTGTGGCTATTTTTGATGAGGTCTCAGCCCTGACTTCTACGGAATGATGGTTGATTGTTTGTTTGTTTGTTTGTTTGTAGTTTTCTGTATTAAGATGGCATTGAAGAAGGATACAGCTAATGAACAACATGGACTTGATCCTGTAGTTTTCTGTATTTAGTTTGCATTGAAGAAGGATTCAGCTAATGAACTGTACAGTCCCTTTAACAACATGGACTTGATCCTGCATGTAGTTTTCTGTATTTAGATGGCATTTAAGAAGGATACAACTAATGAATTGTACAGTCCCTTTAATAACATGGACTTGATCCTGTAGTTTTCTGTATTTAGATGGCATTAAAGAAGGATACAGCTAATATACTGTACAGTCACTGTAATAACATGGACTTGATCCTGTAGTTTTCTGTATTTAGATGGCATTGAAGAAGGATACAGCTAATATACTGTACAGTCACTTTAATAACATGGACTTGATCCTGTAGTTTTCTGTATTTAGATGGCATTAAAGAAGGATACAGCTAAATAACTGTACAGTTCCTTTATCAACATGGACTTGGTCCTGTAGTTTTCTGTATTTAGATGGCATTGAAGAAGGATACAGCTAAAAAACTGTACAGTCCTTCTAATAACATGGACTTGATCCTGTAGTTTTCTGTATTTAGATGGCATTGAAGAAGGATACAGCTAATGAACAACATGGACTTGATCCTGTAGTTTTCTGTATTTAGTTTGCATTGAAGAAGGATACAGCTAATGAACTGTACAGTCCATTTAACAATATGAGCTTGATCCTGTAGTTTTCTGTATTTAGATGGCATTGAAGAAGGATACAGCTAATGAACTCAGCTTGGATAGTGTTGGCGGTGTCTTTGTTATTCTAATTGCAGGAACCAGCATACTTGAGAAAATAATTAAAATTTCAATTACATTTTTTTTCAAATACCCCCCTCCCCCCGTCCGGCATGATACACTGCTCTGATAGTTTTTTGTTGTAATAATAAAAGATAAGTTTACACTATGTTAATTAAATATATTTTTTCTTTCTAATGATTTATTTTTTTACATTAATTTCATCTAGCCTCCCCTTTTATTTTAAACAAAGTTATTACCTTCAAACTAGTGATGTGCATTCAGTTTGCTCGTTTTTCCCCTTTATTTTCTTTTGTGTCGTTTTTTCCCTAAATTTTCTTTTGGGTCGTTTTTCCCCTATGTTTTCTTTTGGGTCAAAATTTGGTATTGTTTAAGATGAGCAAATGTTTCTAAAATTATTGTTTATTATTGATTTTTTCTCTTTCACTTTGCCAAAATATTAGCCTGACAGAAAATGTTTCCAAAACAAAATCCAAAAAACTTGTTTTAACGCAAATTTTTGGAGTTTTTAAAAATTTTTCTTAAGAATAAAGTTATTGCAGAGTTTAATAAAAGTAAATAGCAAATTACAGTTTTGAAGTCATGGAAGTTTTTTAAACGATTCAAAACGATTAGGCTTAAAGAATGCTTGCTGGACTAGGGATGGGGATTGCCTGCTTGATATCAGTTCTAGAGTTTTGTTGGAAGTCTGGACGTGTAGAAAGTAAAGTCAACGTTAAACACAGGAAATATATCATTTTAATTATTAGAGTGAGGAAAGATATGACCCTCCATTTACTAGAGGCATATCTAATCACAACGGTTCCTATAAAAGCGATGTATGATCAAATATGAATTAGATATCCATGTTTATCAATTTTAAAAACTGATTCTTCTATTTTTGGTTTCTCCACAAAAGTGAATTGCTAATTTCTGTTGATGGAAAATAATGGGAATCATAAAAATTAAAAAAATTTTTAATCTTTGAAGTTGTTAATTGTATTTGTCCTGCTACTTGAAATGACAAAGACAATCCTATAATGCAGAATCCTTCAGCTAAAGTCACAGTTTGTTTTTAATGAAAACAAAATGTCTATTTGCATATTTTTGATTTTTCATAAATGGTTTTTAGTCTGGAAACAAACAAATTGTTTATATAATTTTAATTCATTCAATTTTGCCTCAAGATAAATTGTATTTTATAATTTTTTTAAAAATTGTAATTGATTTTATAATCTTTATTCTATTCATAAATTAAGAAGTTTTGTAGTTGATGATATATTTACTTTATACAGTGCTTTGGTTGTGCAAGCCCTCTCCCATACTAACTCCAATATGTTCAAGATTGCAGGAATACATCAAGAAGCAGCTATTTGTAATCATTCACAGGTCAGGCTTGAATATGTAATCATTCACAGGCCAGGCTTAGAATATGTAATCATTAACGGGTCAGACTTAGAATATGCAATCATTCACAGGTTGGATTTAGAATATGTAATCATTCTCATGTCATATTTAGAATATGTAATCATTCTCATGTCAGATTTAGAATATGTAATCATTCACAGGACAGACTTAGAATATGCAATCATTCACAGGTCGGATTTAGAATATGTAATCATTCTCATGTCAGATTTAGAATATGTAATCATTCACAGGTCAGACTTAGAATATGTAATCATTAACGGATCAGATTCAGAATATGCAATCATTCACAGGTCAGATTTAGAATATGTAATCATTCACAGGTCAGATTTAGAATATGTAATCACTAGCCTTAGAGGCCGCTTCGCGTCCATCTTCTAAATTAATTGTGAACATGTTCTCTTTGTGTACATCGTTAAACAAAACAAAAACAATTCGCGGATTTTCACAAAAAAAATTTTGTGGATTTTCAAAATTTTAAAAAACTTAATGGAGATCGAATTTTGATGGAGACAAATATTTAAAATTTCAATCATTCATAAACCTTCCCTGGGGTCCCTATATGTCCCACAAAAAATTTGGGCCCGATCGGTTCAGCCGTTTTGACGTTTATTGGATACAAACAGACAGACAAGCCAAATTTATATATATAGATTCACAGGTCATATTTATGATATGTAATCATTCACATGTAAGATTTAGAATATGTAATCATTCTCAGGTAAGATTTAGAATATGTAATCATTCTCATGTAAGGTTTAGAAGATGTAATCATTCACAAGTCAGATTTAAATATGTTATCATACACAAGGCGGATTTAGAAGATATCATTCACAAGGCAGATTTAAATATGTAATCATACACAAGGCGGATTTAGAAGATGTAATCATTCACAAGGCAGATTTAAATATGTAATCATACACAAGGCAGATTTAAATATGTAATCAAACACTAGGCAGATTTAGAAAATGTAATCATTTACAAGACAAATTTAGAATATGTAATGATTATTTAAGAAAATATACAAAAGTTCAATTAATAAAAAAATTTTTAATAATATAATTTTCTATGAAGAATGATGAAAGTTGGCCTCAAGTTTTAGAGGAGAAGAAAACTAAGATTAAATCTATCTCACAAGCAGTCACTGCACTAGATGCTTTAGGTATTTTTTTCAAACTACCTTCTGGGATATTTTGTTATTATTATCAGCTTATAGGAACTGAGCGTGTAATTCAATGTTAAACCCTCTTAGCAAAAGTGGGATTTTTCTCGGCAGTAGAAATGCTTAAGCCACTGTTGTAGAAAATCCACAATCGGAAATAATCCACAATTGGAAATAATCCACAATTGGAAATAATCCACAATTAAAAATAATCCAAAATTGAAAATAATCCACAACTGAAAATAATCCATGATTGAAAATAATCCACAATTAAAAATAATCCAAAATTGAAAATAATCCACAATTGAAAATAATCCAAAATTGAAAATAATCCACAATTGAAAATAGTCCACAATTGAAAATAGCCCACAATTGAAAATAATCCACAATTGAAAATAGTCCACAATTGAAAATAGCCCACAATTGAAAATAATCCACAATTGATAATAATCCACAATTGAAATTAATCCACAAGAAAATAGTCCACAATTGAAAATAGTCCACAATTGAAAATAGTCCACAATTGAAAATAGTCCACAATTGAAAATAGTCCACAATTGAAAATAGTCTCCACAAGAAAATAATCCACAATTGAAAATAGTCCACAATTGAAAATAATCCACAATTGAAAATAGTCCACAATTGAAAATAATCCACTATTGTAGAAAATCCACAATTGAAAATAACCACCTCTCCAAATTACAAACATTGTATTGTCTAACAAATACTTGGATCAGACAAAGTTTTTAAGGGTACTGTTGTGAATCGGGCATTGCAATCTTTGCATGGAGGATCAATTGAAATTATACTTTCAATACCTTAGAGCTGAAATAACTTTATTAATGTTTAAAAATAGAATCCATGGGAATTTTTATGAGAGTAAATGACATTCCTTTGTAAAGAGCTAGGTTTAACATAGACCTGCATAGGCAAGTTTTTTGATTAAATTCAATGATAACCGTTGCATACCATAAAAAAAATGTTATAATGTAAAGATGATTTAAAAAGAAAAACTTTTTTTTTCTCAGGATATCGTCGGAACATGAGAGGGTTGCCTGATAAAGATTCCACGACCGTTAGGAAAAGAAATCCTCTGGGTAAATCTAAATCATAGATGTTCAACCTTTTTCCTTTCCCAATGTTTTGTATTTAAGACCAATTTTGCCTACAAAACATCAAGAGTGAAGCATCTAGCGAGGGATGTTTTTTAAGCAAAATTTGTGGAGGGAACCCGTAGGGTTTTATAAAATTTGTAATATCCCAAAAAAGTATTTGTACATAATTTTCACGAAAACTTGGAGGAATCATAGGTCGGTATTCTTAGTGAAAAGGAACATTTGGAGTCTTAAGCATTCTTTGAGATAAAAACCGAAAGTTAAATTTTTTTTTTTTTTTTCAAATTCCATGAAAATAAAACAATGTGTTTATTTAGTTCCTAATGACAATAGACTCAGTAGAAGTAAACAAAGTGTACTGCACGAAACCAACACAAACAAGGTTGGTCAAATTTAAATAATTTTATCAATGGATCAGGATCAGGATCAGGATCAATCTTCCTCCGTTGTTGTACATTTCAATTTAATATATCGATCAATTGATGGATTGATTTCTAAATATTTGAATTGATTTACCCTTATGTTTCTTTGTTCACAATAATTCCGATGCTGTAAAGTATGATCCCTATAGATCTTATGTTTAGAATGATATGGTCCTATATTGTAAGTCCTTTGTATTAAATGCTCATTGATCCCTATGATCCTATGTTAAGAATTATCCCTAAATTCCCATTTTTAGAATGTTCCCAATGATCTTATATTTAGAATAATCTCTATGGTTCTATATTTAGAATGATTCCTATAATCCCATTTTTTGAATGATGCTTATGATCTTATTTTTAGAATTATCCCTTTTGTCCTTTATTATGAATGATCCCTAATCCTATGTTTAGAATGATCTCTATAATGCCATTTTAAAATTGATCCTTAAGATCTTGCATTTAGAATTGTCCCTGTGAGCCTATGTTTAAAATAATCACTTTGATCTTACATTTGGAATGATCCCTATAATCCCATTTTTAAAATGAACCTTATAATCTAATATTTAGAATGATCCCTATGGTCCAATGAGTGGATCCAATCTGATCTGCTATAGTGATCAGGGTCGAAATCAGGATCTAGATCTAGATTTGGATCCTGAAGTAAGTAAAGATTTAAACATTTTTTAAATTAATGGGAGTGTTCGCAAAAAATGAAAGGGGGTATGATCCCTAATTGAATTCGGTTTCGATCGGTACTAATTTTACTTCAGTTCAGGCTATTTACAGAAAATGGTTTAAAACACTTATAGTGCCAAATAGCCTAGAATCTATAAAAATTCACTTTATTGCGTTATTCCATTCAAATTGTTAAATATTTCAATTGAATTTAAAACTAATCATTTTTATTTTATTTGGATTTAATTCGGGGCATTCTCATTCTTTATTCATGTTAAAAATATAAAATAACTTTGTTTTTATTTGTGTGATGAATATAATATGATTATAATTTCTTCATGATTTGTGATGAATCTTGTTATCCTTGTTCTATTATTATTGATGATGATACTGTAAGCAGATTATCAAATCAGAGCCAATACACCAAACAAATATAAATATAAGCAATATATTTATATTTAAAATTTATCAAATTTATAAAAATACGTTGCCCAAATTTTGTGCGGGACCTCGCATGAACCCATGTTAAAGTTTAAGGATGCTCTGAGTTACAAAAGTTGTATCCAAAAGCTTCTGATTTTTGTGAATTTAAGATGCGTGAAAAAATATTGAAAAATCCGCAAACTTTTTTTGTCACAGATATTAAAAAATTTTAGTAGAGGATGGATGAGTAACGCCCTAAAATCCCAGTATAAAATTAAAAATAATTATGATGCAAATTTATTTTTGATTGAATAATAAATTAATTTTATATAAACAATATAAATTTATTATTTAAACAAACTTGGAAATATGTTTCCTGAGATGGAATTTAAAGAATTTGAGCCGCGGTTTAAATCCGCCAAAACCCGGTTTAAATTAAGCGCCGGCTTAAATCTTGAAACATTTGATACAATTTTAAGTGGAACCAACCATATTTAAACCGCGGCTTAAATTTAAACCGCCGCTCAAATTCTTCAAATTCGGCCACTGTTATTCTGCAGTAGACAATACGCAAGTCACTTTTGTAAAGTTACCATAATTAAAAATAATTCACACTTAATCTTGACAAAGCTCTTAAAGGTACTGTTGTGAATCGTGCATTTCCATATTTGCGTGGAAGTCACTTGAATTTACTCTTACAGACATGGTACCCCAGCATATACTATACCCCCCTCCCTTCCCTTCCATTGCGCCTTTGATGGGTTGGAGAAATGTTTTGTTTAAATTTAGGACAGTTCTGAGAGTGAATCCTACAAGTTCACCAAACCAGAAGGATGCTACAGGCATACAAGGTAAAAGTTAGTTTACATTACACTATGACGTTGGATCCGGAAACTAGCTTTTTTATAATATTTTGTAAAAAATGACAAGGAATGTTAACAGTGCTTTAATAAGACAGGAAAGCCAAGCCTTTGGATATTTTCTAAATATTGTTCAGTTTACTTAGTTTTGATTCTACTTCTTATGTGCTATTTTCAAAATCTATGAAATATTCAGATATCCAGTAAACTTGTTCAACGTGTGATACAAAAGAAAATCTAAACTTTTAATTTGTAAACAAAAACTCTTTTCTGTCCGATATCATCGATTTTTTGTTGTAAAAAAGAGCAAGAAGTTTACAAATGGCCAATTTTGAAAACAAATTAGTTTAATATTACTTTATTTCTACAGAGGCCGAAGCCATGACGACCTACGAGGGTTAAAATCAGCTGATGACTGTGGACCCCTCTCCTCCCACTCCTACTGTGATCTCCACTGCTCCAACAGACACATTACTTATTCATCCAATAGAAAGCTCTTTGATAGTTTTGATTGCTGATAATTCAAATTGTTAGATAAAACTTAGAGGACTCTATTTTCAAATTACCACTTAATGTATAGAGCTGCAATAATGAATCCCAACTTTACTCATTATCTGAGCAGCAGTGACAAAGATATTTTCCGTTTTACTCTCTCAAAAAGTGTTAAACGGAAAGTACTTTGCTCTGATGCAAAAGTTACTGTTATAGAGAAACAACAAATAACAATTTTTAGATAAAAAGCACTAGAATATGTTTATATGAACAGAGCTGAAAACTTTAGAATGGTGGATATCGGGATTAATGTTTGATCCACTCTTTTTCTTAATATCGAGATTAAATATTGCTTGTTCTCCTCTCATTTTTAATCTCCAGATTAATTATCCGATCAGGATTAAGGATATCCCATTCTAAAGTTTTCACCTCAGATGAAGTGTACTGTTGTGAATCAGGAATACCACTCTTCGTACAGAGGGCCACCTATATTTTCATCGTCAGTCCCTTTATATTGGAAAGTATTTTATAACTTTGCAACTAATACAAGTGTAGCTTACAATGCACAAAATGGCGTATATTTTTTTTCTCCGCTTGTGTATTTGATCTTCAACGAATATTTGCCTAAAATAAGAAATCTTTCTGATTTTCATATTCTTTACCAGAGATATATTTAACTAGGCTTCCGTGCTACTCTGCGCCCATCTTTGATTTTAACTTTTAATTGCTGCTCTATCTTTTATCTTCTTAAAATATCAAACATTAACAAAAAATACGCGAATTTATTAATTTTTTTCGTAGAATTATTATGAGCATTCTAAAACCTTCCAAGGGGTCATGTGAGGTTCCAAAAAAATGGACCGGGTTGGTGCAGCCGTTGAAGGTTCTAAAAACATGAAAAAATTGTTAATAAGAAAATATTGCAAAATGAAAGGTAAAAGAATCGAAGAATTTGGGTGGAAATTAAACGTATCTCTTTCATGATTTTGAGATTTTATAAAATATTATTAAGTTAATTTTCTTTTATATTTTATAGCAAATGCAACACACATTATAATGTGTGTCCTCCCACTGGAATATGAACACTTAAAGTAAATTATAAACAATTGTGCTTTTTCTTATAGAAACATTTTGCATAATTACTCCTAATATTTATTTTGAAATTTTAAATTGGCAATATTTCTAATAATACTAATAAAATTCTCTGTAAGCTTTTTAATTGCATTTATATTTACAACATAAATACATGCACTTTAGATACTTGTTATATATAATAAACTAGGCTTTTAGGGCGCTTCGCGCCCATCTTCTATTTCATTTGTAAACAATTTTTCTATGTATACACTGTAAAAAATCGCGGATTTTATTAATAAAATTTCGTGGATTTCCAAATTTTGAATTTCCACGATCCATAAACCTTCCCAGGGGTCATGTGTTGTCTTACACAAAATTTGGGCCCGATCGGTTTTTCCGTTTTAACGTTTATTGTATACAAACAGACAGAGTATATATATATATGTAGATATAGATTGGTTGATAGATCTTGTTATTTAGTGATTTACATTATTAAATACGTATCGTAAAATGGTTTTATCTGGACTTATATAATTGTTATTAATTCAATAATTTAGAAAAATAAATATTGTTGGTTATTTGATAGTAAAATTTATTCTCGCGTGGACCGGATAATCAACGAGCATTAGAACCAAGGAGTATAGAATAGAAGGGAGATACAACTGACGCGGCCCGCCCTACCATATGTATATACATGCTTTTCAGACGGGTACTCCATTTGTATAAGAAATATTCAGAAGAGGTTATTGTAATGTATACGCGGTAATTGTACATCAGACAATTATTTCTTATTCAAATAAAGTACCGTCTGCAAAGCATGTATAATGATATGGTAGGGTGGGCCGCGTCAGTTGTATCTCCCTTCTATTCCATACTCCTTGATTAGAACTGAGGATTTGAAATATGGGTTGTGTACACTTTTTCTAGTTTTAACACCGATATAGGACTAGGAATAGGAGTCTAGTTTTATTAAAAAAATCAAATATTGTAATTAATTATTAACAATATTTACGCAGGATAAAATCCTGTTGCTTCTGTGTTATGAGTATCTTAAAAAAGAACAAAAATTCGAAATTTTCGCTGTTTTTTAATTATGTTTAAGAAATCATTTTAAAAACATTTATTTGATTTGTTCAAAGAAATATTGGTTTTTAAGTTTTATCTTACTCCAGATTGATGAGAGAGAGGGAAGGTGGGGGGGGGGGGTAACAAACCAAAATTTATAAACAAGAAAAAATATTAAATTGAGAAAGTTGTCTTAACTCCAGCTTGTTTGCCAAACAATTAAGAATGAGGAATGAAAAATAAGAGAAACAAATAAAAGATTTTATATAAGAACTAATTTTTAAAATCAGAATGGTTTTTGAAGCTAGTTGTATCTCAATATTGTTTCCTTTCTCGGAAATTTATCGTTTTTTGTTTATTTTTAATAAATCCCTAAATTTTCGATTGCCACAGAGGTCAAAACTTTTAATGGTTATTGGTTAATCCACTGAAGGGACTGTGAGCGTATTTTCAATTGAACCTCCTCGCAGAGATGTCAATGCCCGATCCAAAACGGTACCCTCGTTTTGCTGATTAAACTGTGTTTGATCAGGATAATTGTTCCATTGCTTCTTATAAATAAGAAGTTGGCAAGTCACTTTACCAGAGAAACCGCAATTGAGAATAAAAAGGCTTAAAAAAACAAAAGCATGAATATCTTGATCAGACTAAGCTTTTAATGGTTCCGTTGTAAATCGGGCATTTTCATATTTTTAAATAGAGGGTCTCTTAAAGATTCGCTTACAGTCCCTTGAAGAAAGCATCAGATACGTACCACATAGATTCAGCCTCCTTATAAACAGTCTCATCAATTTTTAAGACTGGGTTGACTTTGAAGTGTCACAACGCCCTAAGCTTAGATTTTTCCGCTCTAACTCACTTATGCTTTTCTGTAGCCCTTTACATGTACATTTTAGCACTGTAAAGCACTTCTTGTTAGATTTGGTTTTTTAGAAGTAATTGGCAAAATTCTCAACGATTTTTGCTTGAGAGCGTGAGACCATTAAATCGCAGTGATACGTGTTCTTTTTGGTGACGGATCTTAATATCTTTTCTTTTAAGGGAGTGCTCTCGAAAATGAAAGGGGGTATAGGCTTACATCGAAAAATAAGCGCTTTTGATCGCTACTAATTTGACTTTTATCTGTTGCGTATGTGAGGAAAAAATTGTTAAAAAAGATTCATTCCAAAGAACGTAGCGTAGCGTCCATTCAAATTCAGAAAGTTGCAACATTCAACTCGGATCGTAAAAAATTCAATTTAATTACAAACAAGTCATTGAAATACTACAACCAATAATCATCGACAATTTTTCGACGCATTCGTATATATATTTCATAATATTTATACTTTTTATGATCAGATAGTTACTTTTAAAAACATTAATTCCTGTTTTTTGGAGGATTTTTGGCAATGAAGACGACATTTTCATATTTTCCAGGAATGTTCGAAAATCCAGCGCCAGCAAAATATCATGAATCAAAAATATGAAATATTAACTATATACGAATAGGTCGAAAAATAATCGATGACTAATGTTTGAAATATCTAAATAATTTTGACTTAAGTTGATTATTTTACGATCCGAGTTGAATGTTGCAACTTTCTGAATTTGTATAGACGCTACGTTTTTCGGTATGAGTCGTTTTTATTAATTTTCTCCTTATAGACGATACAGATAGATGTAAGATTAGTAACGATCAAAAGCGCTTATTTTTAGCCGTAAGCCTATACCCCTTTTCATTTTTGCGAACACTCCCTTTAAGTTGAATGAAAAATAAACAAAAAGTGAAATATAAAAACTATCTCTGGATTTTATTATCTTTCATTTCTTTTTATGTATTTCATATTTAAATTCAATATTCAGATTTATTCCTGGGTTTAAAACCACAAAGCGTTAGATTCTGAGACAGACAGGATGGAAAGAAGAAGATGAAAACATTGACAGACAGACGTCAGACAATGCAGTAAAAAACAATGAATATGAATGAATGTCATAAATTCAGAACAATAAGACCTTTTATCTAAAATCTAAAACAAAACATTATTCTGCTACAGTGCTACCAACAAAGGATGAGACTGTTAAGATGACCTGAAAATCTAAAACAAAACATTATTCTGCTACAGTGCTACCATCAAAGGATGAGACTGTTAAGATGACCTGAAAATCTAAAACAAAACATTATTCTAAAACAGTGCTACCATCAAAGGATGAGACTGTTAAGATGACCTGAAAATCTTTAAATATGAAAATTCTAAAACAGTGCTACCATCAAAGGATGAGACTGTTAAGATGACCTGAAAATCTTTAAATATGAAAATTCTAAAACGTTTGATTATGACTTCTTTTCTTTTTACAGAATTTTTCACGATAAAACAAAGAAAGGGAAAGAGAATCATAAATATAACGAAACAGAGTCTGAATTTAATGAATTTAAGCCGCGTCTCAAATCCCCCCAAGACCGGTTTCAATTGAGCGCCGGCTTAAATCTTGAAAAATTGAATACAGTTTTAAGTGAAACCTTAACCATCTTTAAATTCGGCCTGAGACAGTATAATTTCCGTTTACTCGTGTCTCAAGCCTCATGCTTTGTGGGTAACCCTGTTCTTCAGTGAGAACCAGAAAACTCAAATTATGACTTTAATGCAATGCAAATAAAGCACAGTTATTGTGCAACGTAAACAGACCCATTTTACTTGATAAGTGAGATAATAACTTTAAAAAGTTATTTTCTTTGAAACAACATCAAATGCACTTCAGTATTGTTTTAACTTCTTCCTATTCTACAGTTTTCTGGTTATCACTGTACCATTAATAGATCAGATATGGGTACAAGGTACTAATGCAAGGAAAGTTAATTGCGGTCGCATATACTCTGCGTACATATTGAAACCAGTTCTCTCTGGGCGGAATTTGTAAACAAGAATAGATGCATCATCCGAGGAGGATAAAAACATTATTTTTGATAATTTTGAAAATTCACATTACAGTTTTCTAAAACCAGAATATTTCATAGATTATTTTTGTGAAATGGATTCCATGTGAGCTACTTCGACATCCGTCTTGTGTTACTTTTCCGCCCAAAGACAGTACACTGCAGTACAAAAATGCGTACACCTCTGAAATCACTTTCCTTGCATTAGTACTATGGGTGGATACATAAAATGATAATAATTAGAATTTAAAATAGTTTTGATTTCTTATATTAAAATCACAAAAAAACAATAGTTTATTTTTTCTTTGCCACGTAAAAAATTGAGTTTTCCGTTTTCTCTACCCGTCGCACAAATAAATTATTTTTCATCATACAATTTATTTTGCTCTATTTTAGCTTGTTATGTAACCCCGTGAACAGTCCTATTTAATCCTGAAGGGTTTGATGGATTGGTTCAGTTATGTAACCACGTAAACAGTCCTATTTAATCCTGAAGGGTTTGATAAATGGGTCCAGTTATGTAACCTCGTGAACAGTCCTATTTAACCCTGAAGGGTTTGATAAATTGGTCCAGTTATGTAACCCCGTGTACAGTCCTATTTAATCCTGAAGGGTTTGATAGATTGGTCCAGTTATGTAACCCCGTGTACAGTCCTATTTAATCCTGAAGGGTTTGATAGATTTGTCCTGTTATGTAACCCTGTAAGTACAGTCCTATTTAATCCTGAAGGGTTTGATAGATTGGTCCAGTTATGTAACCCCGTGTACAGTCCTATTTAATCCTGAAGGGTTTGATAGATTTGTCCTGTTATGTAACCCTGTAAACAGTCCTATTTAATCCTGAAGGGTTTGATAGATTTGTCCTGTTATGTAACCCTGTTAACATTGAATAGACCTACTGACCGTGATTCTATTAATCATGAACATTATACGTTACATACTCATCCTTTTTATAATATATCCAACCATCTAAATATCTATCTTATTAGCTATCTATCCAACCATCTAAATATCTACCTTATTAGCTATCTATCCAACCATCTAAATATCTATCTTATTATCTATCTATCTAACCATCTAAATATCTATCTTATTAGCTATCTATCCAACTATCTAAATATCTACCTTATTAGCTATCTATCCAACCATTTAAATATCTACCTTATTAGCTATCTATCCAAACATTTAAATATCTACCTTATTAGCTATCTATCAAACCATTTAAATATCTACCTTATTAGCTATCTATCCAAACATTTAAATATCTTTCTTATTCGCTATCTATCCAACAATCTAAATATTTATCTTATTAGCTATCTATCAAACCATCTATATATCTATCTTACTAGCTATATATCCAACCATCTAAATATCTTTCTTTTTAGCTATCTATCTAACTTACTATCTTTATATGTAAACTACATAACTATTTATTTAACCTATAGGTATCTATCTAACTATCTATTTATCTAATTAGCTATAACTAGATCTCTGTCTAACTAGCTATTTATCTAAATAGCTCTCTGTGTAACTAGCTCTTTGTCTAACTAAAGTCGACTTTGAGCTCAAACTCAGTTATTTTAGATCTTTAAACGATTTAAATGTCTTTAATGAATCATATAAAAAATTACTCTACAATACTGCAATCTCAGTTAAACCACCAGACATTGCCGGTCACTCCCTTTAAACGGAAATTTTAAGTGGGTGTAAATAAAGAGATTCATCTTAAACTCAGTTTGTTTGCCAAAAAAGCTAGAGATGGAGAACGAAAAATAATAGAACAATGGGAGAAGCTGAAAAGCCTATCCGTCTATATTTAGCTAAACAAAAATATGCTAAAAGTAAAAATAAATTACCACAAAATACTTTAAAGGTTTTAACAATTCAAAACTGTATTCTGTAAACTTCAGTTTTTATTCAACTCTGCGAAATGTTCATTTTTAGAGAAAGGAAAGAAAAAATTATGCATAGTGAGGGAAAGCAAAAGATGTTTAAATAAACGATTTTGAAATTTGTAAAACGTTTTATATATTGTTATGTTTTATATATTGTTATGTTTTATATATTGTTATGTTTTATATATTGTTATGTTTTAAAACATATAAAAACCTTTTATATGGAACAAAAAGATCTACAAAATCTAAAGCATTGCAGAATTTTGCTTTTCTACAAGTTTCCTTTTTTTCATTATTCAAAATTTCGACAATCACATAAAATTCATGGAATTAACGGAAGAAAAGAACGGTTAAAGAACGGTTGTTTCCAGTAAGTTTACTTCCGTTTCGCAATATATTTATAAATAATAAGATTTTGTAAACCCATTACCACTTTTATGCTAAAAATCTCTTTTTCTTTTGGGTATTTTATTTAAACATTACATAATTACAGTCTGACAGTGACATAACAATATACAGTTTCAAAGCACTGCTTTTAATAGGATTAATATTGAGTAAGTCGATTGAGCGTCACTCATATTGCCAGCAAATTTTTTTCTGCCAAAAAATCTGGATTATTTTTAATTTTCAATTTTCATAGAGAAAACTTTGATATAGCAAAATCTTAAAAGTAGGCCTGACTAATCAGCATAGTATTTTAATTGTAACAAAAAAAAACAAATTTTTTGTCAATCACTAAAATCAATCTAAATCTTGAATTTCCAAAATATTTCAAAAGTATTTTTAAATTCTGACACTTATTGTAGCAATTTGTAATTATCGTGAATTTGCTCTAAAAAAAGGATCCCCCCCCCCCCCCCTCCCTCTTTTCTTGGTGTATTTTTGCAATCACTTTTATTTTTTATTGAAGAAGAAAACTGTTGATTTGATCCACTTTACTCAAATAAATAAAGAATGAAAGAAATATTGAGCTTTGATTAATAACATTGATTTTGTGCAACAGTTAAAGACACTTAGCAGGTTGGACTGTCACAGGAAACATTTTTGCTCAAGTCGGAAAAAAGTCATTTAGCCGACTCATGTCTTTCCGATGTCACAACTCCACTCTTCTCTGACGAAATCTGACTTATTTGTCGGAAAAGAAATGTTTCCTGGGAGCGCAATATCAATGCACCCAAACTTATGATTTTGAACGTCGACTATGCACTCAATCTCAGTAATTATACATCGAGGAAACGTTTTATATTTCTCAAATGAATCCTAAAGAATTTGTCCAAGACACTGCAGACTCAGTTAAACTACCTTACATGGCCGGTCTGTCCCTTTAAGGATCCAAATTTAGGATTGTTTAATTCAAGGAAAGGCTCCGAAACCCCGGATCACCCTTTTTTAGAACTCTACAGTTCTTACCGTTAAACTCTAAATTAGCCATACATCGAAAGAATTCGTCAAATGTCGTATTCTTCACTTTCTGATAATGGAATGTTGAAGATATTTAGTTTTTTTAATTAATTGATAATAAAGAGCTCTTTAAAACTCCCGCATATTCATGGCTATTTATTTATTTTCACAAATACTGAGATTTACGTAAAATAGTATAATATCCATTGAAAAATTGTCAAGATGACATTTTATAAATTCTTATATATATTCACACATAATTTGCATAAACGTAATCAAAACTATATGTAGTTGGCGATAGAAAAATAGATACAAATCTATTCATCTACATAGATATATATATATATTTATATCTACATATTCAATATTCATGTATCTATCTATCTATCTATCTATCTATCTATCTATCCTATTTAACGACATGAATATATATTCAGATTGATCTAAAGAGAATAAACGCTTGACAACCGAATCATTTGTTGATAGATACATTATATACTCAACATCCCCTTTCCACCAAAACTCCCTGTCCTTCAATTGCGAGTATAAGAGTAAAGGAGAAAGGGGAGTGAGGTTTGTTTAAGTTTAGCTATAATGATTTGTTATTGTTTTAATGAAAACAGGTTTTAGCAGTCCCAATATGTCACAATAAAATGTGTACACAACCCCTATCCTCCTCTCCTTACTTCCACATATCTTTGAGCCGGATAATTGAAAGAGTTTCGTGGAACGAAACTCCCGAGTTTATTTTTTAAATCTAAATGCATTTGCGAAAATTTTGATTTTAGAAATCAGAAAACTAGAGAATTTAGATAATTAAACTACATGAGATATTTCTTCACAAAATTATTTGTATCTACAAAACTGCCAGACCCCATTCTTGAAACCGGGTTTCTGATACTGGGTTTCAATACTTCATTTCATGCATAAAAGTGGACTGCAGCAGTTTTTGACAGAATATGAAGAAAACATAAACTGGCATCTAACGATTTTGAAATTTCAAACTCAGACTTATGGTTGTTAATAGTTTTTAAAACCGTTAAAAAACGATAGTTTTTCGTTTTTAACGAATAAAATTTTTGTTTTGAACTTTTAAAAAAGGAAACGACTATACGATCGTTTCATGACATTTAACATCAATTCTTTTTACAGTATGGTTTGCAACAAGCGAAAAATTTTGCGAATTTAATGAAGCGAAAAATGTTTTCGCGAACAGTCATTAAAAACCGTTAACGATCGTCAAAAATAAAAAAGACCTACCAACGAACCGACGAACTAAAACTAAAAAAATACTACTTCGTTTTTTAATTTTCAAAAACTATCGTTTTTGAAAACGACCGTTTTGTTTTTCGTTTTTCTACATAGTTACCATAACGATACGATCGTTTTTCCGAAAAGTGAAACCAACCTTCCCTAGTCTGCAGTTGTTGGTAACAGTAGTAGCGTAATTTTTTCATTAACTTAGAAATGTCACCAAGTAAACTGTTGAAACTAAAGCATTCAAAATTTTAGAAATAGTTCAGGATGAAATTATAAAATTATCATTTTAAGTGAAAAGATAAAAAGACATGATCATTTATCTTTTTTTCTGGGCATCACTGTTGCAACTTGCAAGCTCCCATCACTGAAATATTACTTTTCCAAAAACGTATATTTTTCCTTGCATCATATATATATATACATATATATATAACTATAAAGCAATATATATATATATAAATACGATAATATCATGATAATGAATCGGTCAAGTGTTTATCAAGATGTACAACACCCCCTGATCTGATGTTAATTTGATAAAATTTTAATTAGAAATTATCTGATTCGTCCTCCATACTCAGCAGAATACAGAGGTAGGTCGCCGGGTTTAAAAAATTAAAAGGACTGTTTTTTATTTTTGATAATAATTGTTTAGACTGTAAAACAACAAAAAAAATTTTTTTTGCGGATTTAAAATATAATTTCGTGGATTTTCAAAATTTTATTTGATTTAATTTTTATTTTGTTGGAGGCAAGATTTTGAAATTTTGATCATCTTTAAACCTTCCTTGGGGACATGTAAGGTACGACACCTACGTGGGCCCGATCGGTTCAGCCGTTTTGACGTTTATCGGATACAAACGGACAGACAGAAGGACAGACAAGCAAAATGCATTTAAAATAAAAAATAAAAATAAGGTTATTTTTTAAGTGTTAAGATGGTTCAATTATAAAAGACCAAAACTCAATTGAATTGAAATAGAAGAAACCAAACGCATATTGCACTGGTTAGTCCAGGGTGATATACACATTCCACGCACCTCTGCCCCTTTAGTAAAAGTAAATTCAACCTATATGAAACATAAAGTCTCACCGCGTCAACCTTGTTTCACCAGCTAGTCCTGTCCATAGAGTATGTAGAGTACAGTACAAACTAGGACCGAAGAGGTTGACCCGGTTTGGAAATTCAGATGTACAACGGTGGCTCGTGATTCCTATGAAATTAACTGGTGCATCATCTGGAATGCATGTGCCAGTGCCTTTGCCCATACTTTAACCTTACTGGCTTGCCAATACTTTTTGTAGCTCTGGACATTAATGTTTCAAAGATACACTGGGGTTTTATCTAGATTTAGTTATCAACGAGTATTTGGCAAAATCCTGAGAGTCACTCAGTTTTATCTCACTCAAATCGATTTCAAAACTTCAAACGTCTGAGAATTGTAAGGTGTGTAAAAAAAATATTTACATTTTTGGGTGAAAACCCAAGCAATTAATTTTTACTATTATAAACGATGCATTTTTGTAGAGTTAAAAAAGTGTATGATAGTGTTATTTTTTTGTTATTGCTATTGTTACCACAACATCTACTTTTATGCAGTCAAAGTGAAAAAAAAATGAATTAAAAAAAATACTTTTCATAGGAATTTAAGCAGTTATAGCTAATTTATTACTAATTTTAAAAACCCCTTTTGAAATGCATTAATTAAGTTTACGTAAAAAATCGGCTATGAAAACTTTGTTCTAAATCCAAATTGATTGGATAAATTTTAAAAGCGAAATTATATTGCTAAACCCTAATATTCAATTAATATTGCCATTGCATAAATCAGTTGTCTTTTTTTTTACTTGTATTAATTAATTTATTTATCTTTTTAGCTGGCATCCAGTGGCCGAATTTAAAAAATTTAAGCGGCGGTTTAAATTTAAACCGCGGCTTAAATATGGTTGGTTCCACTTAAAATTGTATCAAATGTTTAAAGATTTAAGCCGGCGCTTAATTTAAAGCGGGTTTTGGCAGATTTAAACCGCGGCTCAAATTCTTTAAATTCCATCTCAGGTCGATTTAATTGATCCAGTTTGTAAGTGTCATAAATTTTAAAGTACATAAAACAGAAAAATAAAAAGTCAAACTAATTTTTGTTTAAATTCAACTTATGTGGAATGATATGACAAATACAGTGAAAGATATGAGAAAAAAACGTCAAAACGACTAATCGGAATGTCAGAATGAAAAGTGCAAATTAAAATATGTAGTAAAACAAATCCTGATCTATATTAGCAGTTAACAGTACAACGAAAGTGATGAATTATACATCTAAAGGACTGTAAAGTGATGAATTATACATCTAAAGGACTGTAAAGTGATGAATTATACATCTAAAGGGACTGTAAGCCTTATTTCAAGTAACTCTCCGTGCAAAGATGACAATGCCCGATTTACAACAGTACCCTTGAAGCTTTTATCTGCAGATCTATGGTGCATTGATGATATTATCTTTTTTTAGGTTTGAATGTGTTAAATTCATATATATTTTTTGCAGCAAAAATGCTTAAGTAGTTTTTATAGAAAATCACAAATAAAAATGAAAAGATTTTGAAATTATAAACATTGATGTCTAAATCAACCTTCATCAGTCAAAGCTTTTCAGGGTACCGTTGTAAATCGGGAATTTTCATCTTTGCATGAAGAGACACCAGGAGGGATGATAGTTCTCTACCTGTGTGCTCAGTTAGCTGTACTGTACACTTACAACTGTTTACTAATAATGATATACCATGGGTTAGGCCAGAATCTCCTTATAATAAACAAATACGCAGTACGCTCCGGTATAGTTGATGGCCTATATAATTAGTTAAGGATTAGCGTACATTATCACTCTATACACTATAACCTCGTTGAGAGACACTTGATGTTACGCTGGCAGTTCCTTTAATTATCGTGACTTATTTATATTTATAACTATACAAAAATATAATAGTTTGAAGAACAAGATTCAGGTTTTATTGATTTTAGAAAGTTTTCCATCTTGTTGAAGTAGTATCTAAGTTCATTGTAAATATCTAAAAGTTTCTGCACCTCTTGTTAAAGGATATCGATGTTTTGCGGAGTAAATATAAAATGTTAAAACTTTTCCGGATTTCTAGAGTGTTAGATGCCAAATATATCTCACACTTATACAGGAATTGAGTCTTTGGCACACCTTTGGTCTTCTAATCCCTATATCTTTGAAACTCAATTTTGCGACCTTAGATATTTAAATCTATAAATTTTATAAATTCTAGACCAAATACTCTAATAAAATCTCTCTGACATCGGATTGCAAAGATACAGGTATTAACAATCAAGATTTCTTTAACAACAAAAATAAAACAAAACTATTTTGTAGTGCAGTGCCTAAAACAATGGGCTAAGTTAAATTTCGAATTTCGAATAATGTTTTTTTATCCGATGGTTCTAAACTATACCTTCAATATCCAAAAAATATACTACATACATAGATAGAACATTTTTTTTCGCAAGGTTTCACAACAAAATTCAAATAATTTGGAATTATATATTTTGAAGTATTATCAAAAATAAGATATTAAACAAAAAACATTAAACAAGTGCGATATCGATTGTTTGATAACAATATATTTTTATGAACTTACGATGTTAAGTTTAACCCCAATCTAGGGGGTTATTTGTATAAAGGATAAATGGCTATAAAAGTCCAGAGTTGTCGACAAAAAACTGTTAAAAATGTTAAAACTTTGACTATTTTATGAAACTTGTTTATTTATATACAATTATATGCGTGATTTTAAATGTCCACCCTTACCAAAGAGAATAGAATATATATTAGAGGGGAACTTATACAATCCCCCGGTATGAATTTTGTCAGTCCCTTTGAGCCTGAAAAGGGAGTTCAAAGTGTACAAATCATGTAAATGTTCACAAATTATATGCAGTAGAGTACATTAATACAGTATGTTCCCTAGACTATCCATTTCAATTTCAAATTTTTTAAAGCTTTAAAATAAACTTTATAAAATGAATTAGGTAAATAAAAAAACATCATTTGATTTATGGTTATAACGGAAAATCATCGTTTGTAAAGTTAAAGGCATAGAGTCTATGTGAAATGATCATTGGTCAACTATGAAACCAGCCTATTTCATAATTTGGTTTTCTTTTAACATTAATTTTAGATTTTCTATAAAATGATGTTCCAGGGCCCAAAAGGTTATATAGCACAAATATGTGAAGTAAACCTGCAGTGTGGAAACAGTACAAACAAATGGCCGTTTTGCACTTTTTTCTAGTAAATTCCACTCTGATATATATTCTATTCTCTTTGCCCCTTACATAGAAGACACTGGCTGATACCACAGTTCCCTTTAAAAGCTTGTATGAATTGAATTAGATTTTCTTTGTTTTTCTAAATTTTTTTTTTTCATTATAGTGTGTTTCCCCATGCATTTCTTGTTTATAAGAAACACTGGAGAAATTATTAGAATCAAACACTTTTCGAGTGAGAAAAAGAACCTGGTTTCCACATTTCTAATCAGATTAGGGGTTCAAGGGCAGAATCAATTGAAATTACGCTTACCGTCCCTTTGAACTGTATTCTTTATCCATCAAATTCTTTTATCACAAGTCAGTAGAAAGGAACTGAGTTTTTGCCACAAACTCAAATGGTATGGTCCCTATTCTAAGCAACCTGTAGGAGTAAACCTTTGATATTTTAAACTTAGATTATTTGATGTAACATAATTTATAGTTTGAAATATGTTCAAATGGCATGGGATTGCAAATATATAAGGATTAGCAAATTAGAATTTGTGGCAAAGATTCAATTCCTTTGATAAATAGATTTATTATAATACATTGTTTTAAGATTAAGATGCAGTGTAAGAACATCATAAATCTCGTCTTTATCTGTACTTCGATGTTCTTTGGAGGACTCTCCCTCTCCTTACTTTCTCCTTTCTACCCTCACGAGGTAACTTACTCTTTGTACTTTCTCCTTTCTACCGTCGCAAGATAACATTTCTCTTTGAACTTTCTCCTTTCTGCCGTCGCAAGATAACATTTTTCTTTGTACTTTCTCCTTTCTGCCGTCGCAAGATAATATTTCTCTTTGTACTTTCTCCTTTCTACTGTCACAAGATAACATTTCTCTTTGTACCTTTTCCTTTCTACTGTCGCAAGATAACATTTCTCTTTGTACTTTCTCCTTTCTGCCGTCGCAAGATGATATTTCTATTTGTACTTTCTCCTTTCTACCGTCGCAAGATAACATTTCTCTTTGCACTTTCTCCTTTCTGCCGTCGCAAGATAACATTTCTCTTTGTACTTTCTCCTTTCTACCCTCAAGAGGTAAACTTTTCCTTCTTACTTTCTCCGTTTTACTCTATTCAGGTAAACCTTCTCTTTATACACTCTCCATTCTACCATCTTCAGGTAAACCTTCTCTTTATACACTCTCCGTTCTACCATCTTCAGGTAAACCTTCTCTTTATACACTCTCCGTTCTACCATCTTCAGGTAAACCTTCTCTTTATACACTCTCCGTTCTACCATCTTCAGGTAAACCTTCTCTTTATACACTCTCCGTTCTACCATCTTCAGGTAAACCTTCTCTTTATACACTCTCAGTTCTACCATCTTCAGGTAAACCTTCTCTTTATACACTCTCCGTTTTACTCACTTCAGGTAAACCTTCTCTTTATACACTCTCCGTTCCACTCTCTTCAGATAAACCTTCTCTTTATACACTCTCCATTCTACCCTCTTCAGGTAAACCTTCTCTTTACACTTTCTTCTTTCTACCCTCACAAGGTAGGTTTTTTCTTTGTACTTTCTTCATTTAACCCTCATCGAGGTAAATTTTCTCTTTAAACTTTCTCCTTTCTACCGTCGCAAGATAACCTCTTCTTTGTTCTTTCTCATTTCAACCCTCTTTAGGTAAACTTTCTAATTTTAATTTCTCCTTTCGATCCTCACGAGATAAACTTTCTCTTTGTACTTTCTCCTTTCTAATTGTAGCTCCATAAAATAAGAAAATATCACTTTTTGAATACTTGAGTACTGAGTAGCTTATCAGAAAAAGAAGTTGTGGTCTAAAGGATTTAAAACTGAAATGAAATTTGTTTTATAATTTGATGGTTTAGAGGAACTGCAAACGTAATTCTAAATGACCCACCATTTACAACCTTATTTACCCTTCAAACCATGGAGTTATCCATGCTTTTATATATATTTTGACTTCTCTTAAAAAGGAAACTTTGCTGATATATGCTGAGGAAAAAGGTCTTTTTAAAAAAATTTACATTTTCAGTATTCTCTCCAGAGAAAATGTATTTTTTTTAAAATTTGACATCCCAGTCCAAATGGGGGTCACTTTACAGTTCCTTAAAGTGAGTGTTCGCGAAAAATGAAATGGGGTGTAGGCTTACGGCGAAAAATAAGCGCTTTTGATTGCTTCTAATCCTACTTCTATCTGTTGCGTCCATACGGAGGAAATTGTTAAAAAGAACTCACACTGAAGAACGCAGCGTCAATACAAATTCGGAAAGATGCAACATTCAACTCTGATCGTAAACAAATCAATTTAATTCCAAACAAATCATTCAGATATTACAAACAGTAGTCATCGATTATTTTTCGACGCATTCGTATATAGTTAATATTTCATAACATTCTTGATTTTTTTTTAATAATTTTCGCTGGCGCTGGATTTTCGAACATTCCTGGAAAATGTGAAAATGTCGTCTTCATTATCAAAAATCCTCGAAACAGGAATACGTGTTTTCAAAAGTAACTCTCAGATCATGAAGAATACAAAATATTATGAAATATCAATTATTTTAGTCACTGCCTACAGCTTATCATATCTGCTCTACTGCAGGCCCTGAAGAAGGGTGTAAGTGTTACAAAATCTGGTCTAGTGGTTGGGGCAGTTTTCATAACAACAGTTCTCTGCACACCTTTATGCGGCAAATTTGTAAGTTTTATTCAAAACAAATTTTTTCTTTTTTAAATTTATTGATTAATAAATGGTTTTTTAATTTTTATTTCATATTTTTCCCCTAACTTACTTCTAATTGTATGATTTTAGATTCAAAAGTTGGGAGCTAAGAACTTGCTAATTATTGGATCTATAATCTGTGCACTAGGAAATATACTGTTTGGGTAAGAATTATTTGGATTAAATAGACATGGAAAAAAATCCTTCAGCGGACTCCCCCTGCTTAAAATCAACCCTCTAGTGGGGGTTTCTAATTCACAACGGTACCCTCAAATCTTTGTCTGATAAGGAATCATTTTCAACTGTGCTTTTTCAAAAGTGTCCTTCATTGACATAGGAGGGTCTCGTTGTAAATCAGACATGCCATTCTACAAATGGAGGGTCACTTAAAACTACGCTTACAGTCCCTTTAATAAATTCTATTTTAGATTTATTGGTTATGTTGAAGAACAAACTCTGTTTTTCGTTCTCTCTGTTCTCACAAGAATATTTACAGCTGTAGGACAGTTGAGATGGATATCGTTTTTTTCAACGAACCAAATGTTTTGTGCTAAAGGGTGTCGATTAGAAAAGAAAAAAACGTACAATTGACAAACAAAATGGATCTTTCAGAAAAATGAAAAAATGTTTTTTTTTATACGAACGAAAAAAAAACACAAAAACGAATGGTTTAAAATCGTTCAAACAAACTTGAAACGGCAAACGTTATTACTGAAAAACGAATTTTCAAAAAATAACTATTGTTTTTTTTTCTCGAGCAAACAATTTTCTTGGAACAAATTTTTGAAAAATTATCGTTATTTTTACTGAAAGAACGATTGTATTGAACGAATGATTTTACTAAACGATCGTTCACTGAGAAAACGAACGAAGTAAAACGAAAATGAACGCAAACTTTGAGAACGAAATTAATTTTTTTTTGAACGATTGAAAAAAACGAAATGTAACGTGTCCATCTCTAAATAGGAGAAGCAGCAATAACAGCTACTTGCTACCCTCTAGCTGCTTACCAAGTTTCAAAACAAAATGAGGGAAAAGCAATGGTAACATTAATTTCTAATATATCACTCTCATTTCTAAATTGTGCTAAATCTTAGAGTCGTTCTAGTTGTAAACTTGATATTATCACGTTCTAGTTGTAAACTTGATATTATCACGTTCTAGTTGTAAACTTGATATTATCACGTTCTAGTTGTAAACTTGATATTATCACGTTCTAGTTGTAAACTTGATATTATCACGTTCTAGTTGTAAACTTGATATTATCACGTTCTAGTTGTAAACTTGATATTATCAATTTCTGCAAAATCACTCTCAAATCTTAAAATGTTAAATTCAAACTTTTTAGAAAAATATTTTGGAGGATTTTTTTTAAAAGATATTGTCAAATGAAAAAAAATTAAAATTTATTTGATTAAACATGAAATGAATTTAAAATAAGTGGTTTTTAAATCGGAATGGAAAAGTTTCAGTAAAGGAATCGAGTCTTTGCCAAAAAACCCTGTATCATTGCAACCCGATGTCGAAACAACTATAATTTTATAAACTATAAATGCTCTCAGATTAGATAGTCTAAGTTTGAAATATCAAAGGTTTACACCATCAGGTTGCAAAGACATAGGGATTAGAAAATTACAGGCGAAAACTCACTTCCTTCACAAGCTCCCATTTCACATTTCACAGGCTAATTTGGAAATTGCATATTTGGGAAGTTGCCCTTGAAGAGTTGCCACTTGGGAAAATACCGTTGAAAAGTTGCCACTTGGGAAAATACCCTTGAAGAGTTGTCACTTGGGAAAATACTCTTGAAGAGTTTCCACTTGGGAAAAATACCGTTGAAAAGTTGCCACTTGGGAAAATACCCTTGAAGAGTTGTCACTTGAGAACCATTGAAGAGTTGTCACTTGAGAAAATACTCTTGAAGAGTTTTCACTTGGGAAAATACTCTTGAAGAGTTTTCACTTGGGAAAATACTCTTGAAGAGTTGCCGATTGGGAAAATACTCTTGAAGAGTTGTCACTTGAGAAAATACCCTTGAAGAGTTGTCACTTGAGAAAATATCCTTGAAGAGTTGTCACTTGGGAAAATACTCTTGAAGAGGTGTCACTTGGGAAAATACCCTTGAAGAGTTGCCACTTGGGAAAATACTCTTGAAGAGTTGCCACTTGGGAAAATACCGTTGAAAAGTTGCCACTTGGGAAAATACCCTTAATGAGTTGTCACTCGAGAAAATACCCTTGAAGAGTTGTCACTTGGGAAAATACTCTTGAAGAGTTGTCACTTGAGAAAATACCCTTGAAGAGTTGCTTCTTGGGAAAATACTCTTGAAGAGTTGCCACTTGGGAAAATACCGTTGAAAAGTTACCACTTGGGAAAATATTCTTGAAGAGTTGTCACTTGGGAAAATACCCTTGAAGAGTTGTCACTTGAGAAAATACCCTTGAAGAGATGTCACTTGGGAAAATACTCTTGAAGAGTTGCCGCTTGGGAAAATAGATTTGTGAAAGTACAAAAATCCTTAATTTAGGCGGTTGCGGAAGCTTTTTTTGGAGTTGGTACGATGCTGGGGGCATCTGTTGGTGGTATTTTGTACGATCTGGCAGGATTCTCAATTCCTTTCTATGTCTGTGGAGGAATACTGTTAGCCTCCACACTGATATCCATCTGCTGCTTTGATGATACAAATGTGATTCTAGAGTCTGGAAACAATACTAGAGATGGTAGGATATAATTTAAAGATGATAGGATACAATATAGAAACGGTATGTTATAATATATAGATGGTATGGTATACAAGAGAATACAAGAGATGGTATGATATACAAGATTATACAAGAGATGATATGATATACAAGAGTATACAAGAGATGGCAGGATATACAAGAGTATTCAAGAGATTGTATGATATACAAAAGTATACAAGAGATGGTAGGATATACAAGAGTATACAAGAGATGGTAGGATATACAAGAGTATACAAGAGATGGTAGGATATACAAGATTATTCAAGAGATGGTATGATATACAAGAGCATACAAGAGATGGTAGGATATACAAGAGAATACAAGAGATGGTATGATATACAAGATTATACAAGAGATGATATGATATACAAGAGTATACAAGAGATGGTAGGATATACAAAAGTATTCTAGAAAGTGATTATTATATTTATTAAATATAAAACAGCTGGCAAAAAAAATGTTCTACAATTGCAAGAATTTCTGTAGATTGATAGGGATAAGTCCAACATCCTTCATCAGTCAAAGGTTTCAAGGGTAGTGTGGTGAATCGGACACGCCAATCTACAAATGAAGGGTTAATTTAAAATACGCCAACAGTTCCTTTAAAGAGGAATTTTCTAATATGACAAATATTCTTTAAATTACTTAAAGAAAAGAAATAATGCATTACAAAGATCATAACGCTGAAATTTTATTAAAAGAATTCACACCAGAATAGTTTTTGAAAGAAATTGAGTCTTTGCCACGAACTTATATTTCATATCCTTATTTCTAATTGCTACACAATGTCGTAGACCGTAGATACTTCTGTTAGATCATATAATATAAGTCTAAAATATCAAAGGTTACAAAGATGAAGGGCTAAGACAACTTCAGTTTGTGGCAATGGCTCAATTTCTTTATTAAATTACTATATGTGAGATGTATTAAATAGTTTGTATGAAATGTTTTCTTTTAGTTACTTGGGTTGAGGTGCTAAGCTGTCCAGGTTTGTTTATTGGATTGTTTGGATTAATCTTCGCTGGATGTGCTAGATCTTGGTATGCGGCCTCCCTGGAACCTTTCTTAAACAAAAAGGTATTTTTTGGTATTTAAAAAAAATTCCCAGTTTTCAATCATTTTTGATCCGTTCTAGTCTATGACTTCCATTAGACCAGAACAGATTCTTAAAACATTTCAAACGATTTTTTTGTATTAGTAATTTTTAAAGTTTTTTTTTCATTTTTAATTCCTTTTTGATCCGTTCTAGTCTAACTTCCCTTAAACTATTCATTAAATCTAAACGTATTTTTGGTATATCAATTTTTTTTCTTCCCTTTTTCAATCCTTTTGAATCATTCTGGTCTAATGTATTTCAGACTTCAGCCTGTTTAAGTCATCGTCAAATTGAACCTTATATAATATTAGGCACTAGCTTGGGAACCAAGCTATGTCTGGAGTTTTCCCTATTAAAGTTGACCCACACAACTTAGATTCTCTAAAGGAAGCTACTTTTGTAATTGTAAAATCGATTTGTATACACGGATACATTTATTTTAGCAATAAACTTTATCTATCTCTCTATTTTTTCCCGCCGTTTACCCGCACTTGGTCATAAATTACGAGTATAGCTATTTTTCCCAATAACAGTTGACCCACACAACTTAGATTCTTTAAACCAAGCTTAGAAAATTCCCGTGGTTCTACTGAGTTCCCCAATCAAAATTTTAGGGCAAATTGTTCGAGGGGTTTATGAGTTATGATCAGATATCCAAACAGAGATTGCTAGTTTATATACAGTGAGAACCAGAAAACTTTGGAAAAAGAAGGTTACTGCTAGACTCACGTTACAACTTTCAATAGTCTAATGAACATGAGACACAGCAATTGTGCAGTGTAAACAGACCCGTTAACGTTAATGAGGGATCCAATAATTTGATTGTATTTGGTTTGGTAACATCATTTAATAAACCAAAATATTGCTTTAATGTCGTCTTTGTTTCTAGTTTGGTTTGACCTCCGGACAGTGTGGTTTAGTCTTTATGGCTCCCGGTCTTACATACACAATATTTACACCCATTTTTGGCATTTTTATAGGTAATTATATATAATATATGATATTGATATCAACCAGGCTCAACCGTTGAGTTGATATCAACCTGGCTCGGCCGTTGAGTTGATATCGACCAGGCTCAACCGTTGAGTTGATATCAACCAGGCAAAACCGTTGAGTTGATATCGACCAGGCACGCTCAACCGTTGAGTTGATATCGACCAGGTTCAACCGTTGAGTTGATATCGACCAGGCTCAACCATTGAGTTGATATCGACCAGGCTCAACCGTTGAGTTGATATCGACCAACGATTTAATGATGTATACTAGAGCCTTATATCGTTCTCGTTTTGTTTTGTAGAATGTTTTTCCAAAACAAAAAAAGAACCATTCGATCTATAACACAAAGAAAACAATTCCAAATTTGACTATATTAATTCTATATTATAGCTCACACGTTTGTTTAAAATACAAAAATCTCATTGGCGGCGTATTTTAAACATTCCTCTCAATCTTTTTTTTTCTTTACAATCTTTTTTTCTTTCGACACCCTGCATATACCGAATTACCCACTTTATGGAACTAACAGTGTCAGTAAACTTTTATTTAGGACTCCCTCTTTTCTAAATAGTAAAATAAGCATCATGGTAGAATACTTAATTCAACCTTGGATACGCCATTTTTACAGATTTTCATGTCGTCTTTACAGTCTCATTCTAAGTAGATAACCACCTGTATATCGCGCTTTAATGTTGATTTAGAATATTGAATCGAGTTTTAAAAATTCCTGATTTTTCTTCAGAAAATTTGGGAGATTTTTAAAAGTGCACAAACACATTTGTTTACCCCTATAAACAGTCTGGGGCCTCCACCTGTAGTTTGCTGTCCTAGCACTCTTTTTTTTTGTTAAATTTTTTTTTATTTATAGGGTAGGGTACAGGATGGAAAAAATCTAAAATAGCCCATAACTTTTTGTGACTAAAGCTATAGATTTAAAACGATAGTTTTAAAAGCCCTTGAAAAATACATTGATTTGTTTAAAGCAAAAAAATATTTTTTTTCAACCCTCGCTAGCACTCAAACTATTAAAATTATCGGTCTAATTTTTTTTCTTTGAGCAGGCCTTGAAAAATTGGGCTATAAACATGCATTTCAACCCTATAACTATTCTCTAAGGTCTTTTTCTAAGGGAAGATAGATTCAGACCTCCAAGCCTTTATAGGGTTAAGTAACAGATAATTATTTTGGAAATTGACCTCTGGACAGTGCGAACAGTGCTCAAAAAAAACTTAATAATCTGACACTTTACCTAAAATTTAATTGCTTTTACAACTTTATAATAATATTTGAAGATCGTGGATTTCACAGCATGAAGGTTATGATCATTGGCAACGTAGTAATCCTTCTCTCCTTCTTTTTTATGGGACCCATTCCTCAGCTTGAGACTTTAGGTAGGACATTTTTTTAAAGGGTCAGACCAGCTATGTAAGGTAGTTGAACTGAGTATGCAATGTTGTGGAAAGCTTCTTTATGATTCATTTGAGTCGACATATAAAACTTTTTAAAGAGTTTGATTGCAAATTCGACTTTCAAAACTCCTACTTCGGGGGTGGATACGTTTTCAGAATCTTTTTTTTAAATCATTAAATAACGGAAACAAAAAATGTAAACAAAACGCTACAGGAAACTAATTAGTTGTTTAGGAACCGGTTGAAAAATCAAAATTAATCTTATCATCGAAAATAAGTAATCTTGTTCAATTATTAGTTTCTATTTTCTCATTATTCACAAAGATGTTCTTCAGATTTTCTGGATTTATTATTAAAAAGACGACATTTGAAGAATTTGAAGAAATCTGCGAATAAATTCAAAGAAAATAAGAAATTCAATAAAATGATGAAAATGAAATAATTGATTATAGCATCATTTTTCGTCGTCGTTATTTAATAATTAAAAAAAACGGTTCTGAAAACATATCCACACCCAAAGTAGAGTTTTGAACGTCGAATTTGCGCTTAAACTCAGGATTTACAGATCTTTAAAAATTTTTATTTGTATCAAATGAATCCTAAAGAATTTGTTCACAACACTGCATACTCAGTTCAACTACTTTACATAGTCAGTCTGTCCCTTTAAATCTTTTCCTTCATTTTATCAAATGAAGACTTGAAGATAATCTTATCAATTGTTATGAAATGTAATGTTTATGCAACATATTTCAAATATCAGGTTCAAACCTCTGGTTAACTGTACTTTCTATTGGAGTTCAAGGACTAGGAACAGCAGGAACATTCTTAGGGGCTCTTCTTCTTATGATGAAAGGAACTGGGTAAGTATTCTGATCATGATTAACGGAACTGGGCAAGTTTCTGCTCATAATGAAAGGAACTGGGTAAGTATTCTGCTCAAGATGATGAAAGGAACTGGGTAACTTGGTAAGTATTCTGCTAAAGTTGATGAAAGGAACTGGGCAAGTATCTGCTCATGATGAAAGGAACTTGGTAAGTATTCTTCTTAAGATGATGAAAGAAACTGGGCAAGTTTCTGCTCATGATGAAAGGAACTGGGTAAGTATTCTGATCATGATTAACGGAACTGGGCAAGTTTCTGCTCATGATGAAAGGAACCGGGATAAATCTTCTAATCATTTTAAAAGAAACTGAATAAGTCTTCTACTCGTGATGAAAGAAACTGGGTAAGTTTTCTGCTTAAGATAATGAAAGAAACTGGATAAGTCTTCTTTCTGCTCAAGATGAAAAAAACTGGGTAAGTCTTGTTCTTAGGATGAAACGAACTGGGTAAGTATTTTGCTTTTAATAAAATGAACAGGGTAAGTTTCGCCTTTCTAATGATAATTGACTAGAAGTTTACTTTAGGTCTGATGCAAGTTTTTTAATATTGGTTGGTAACCCTGCTATTTTTTAGACTTGGTGGACTGCCTGACACTGAGCAAGTGAAAGGAATGGTATCAAGCCTATGGCTCCTGGGAGTTTGCTTAGGAAGCTATATTGGAGCAACCATTGGGAGTGCGGTCTTTGATCATTTTAGCTTTGAAGAAAGTACTTTCTTCGAATGCTGTTTAATGGCGCTAAATGTAAGTTATTTTAACAGAAAATAATTTCGTAGATTTATAATAAAAAAAGATTTATAATAGAAATAGAAAAATTATGATAAAAATTATATTTCTTTATTGCCAAATTCTCAAGTTATTGACATTGCTCAATATATTTTCATGAGAACTTAAAGATGAAGAAGTTATAGGAAAATATATTTAAAAATTTTACAGTAAAACCCATGTTAGAATAAAAAGACGACAATAGAAACATCATCTTAATTTCACCTTAGACAAACCAGACTTAGATGGGTTTGGTTTTTACAATTTGAATCCAATCTCGTTTTAGTCAATAATTAAACATTCTTTAAACTTATACTTTTCTAAATACAAAACATCCACCGACAAAAACAAAGAAATAAAGAAAAAAGAGAAAAGATTATTTTTAAAAGGTCAAATTGTGTTTGAAAGTCACGGCTTGCTGAGACAAGCACCGAACTGTAAAATCAGCGTGATAAGATAGTGTACACAATATGTGATCATTCGATTATTAAAGATCAGAACTTTAGTTTAAAGGTCGTCTTCATATTCAACAGCTTTAGGGGTCTCACTACATAAACATTGATTGTGACATTTTATTTTTCTTATCGTTCTTCTGTCCCAATGTTTTTTCACGGTAAATGTATTTTAAATGTGTTTAACTAAAAAGTCAAAAAAAGCTTTTCTTACAGTTACATGGTATCCCAGAAAGAAATTGAACAGTTACTGAAACGAATAAATTATTATTTTTTAAAATTATAAATGCATGTTTTTGTTTCTTTGTTTTATCCGTTTGTTTTTAATTGTTTCAAATCTTGATTGTTTAATTTTGTCTTAGATTGGAGTCTTGTTGGCTGTTTTTATAAGTCAAAGGTATTTATTTTAACTGTATCTATGTTTCATATCTTTATAATTACAAGTCATAAGTTCTACTTTGAACGATGCTTACTCCATATTTTTATTAGCTGTGTCAAAAGAAGATTAATTTCAAATCATCACATTAACGTAATTTGATAATGTATGATTTTTTTTTACTTTTTTCTATTATCACACGCCTCTGAATGCCTTATTTTATCCATTGTTGTCGTCGATTATATCAATACAAGAAAGACGACTTTCTATTTCCGTCTGATCTTATATTCCAATTTTCCAAGAGCAGAGCCAAAAAATGTAAGCAAAGAGAAGTTTTCAATTAACCCCTTTAAGTGCTTTTTAGGGATCAAAGCGTTATCAATAAACGGTCGTCTTCATTGTATTGGTAAAATCGTCGACCACAAATGTACAGGGTGTCCGAAAAAAAATGGGAATTCAGTGATGAATTCGATATCGTCTTTGTTATGAATTATCATTGTAATACCTAATTCCAAAAGTCATAATGTCTGCTAGAGTTTATTTAATGAAAAGGGTAAAAGACTGTAAAGATAGGCCTATAATGTCTCCGCAAGATGAACAGTGAAGACAGACAAGTTTACTCTGTTTGTATACTGCAATTTTCTTGTTTTACTAAGTACAACCGTATGCAGTCAAAACATAAACAAACAAAATGTGAACATAGCAGACGAAACTTTTACAGATCACAGCTTTCTCAATAGGTATCACCATACTAAATCAAAAAATTATTTGAAAAGACGATATCGAATTCGTCGCTGAATTCCCATGTTTTTTGGGACACCCTGTATGAAAAGTATAACTGTTTAGAGTAAGCATATCCTTAAAGTATGAAAATGATGATAGACAGCCAATACTGTTCAGAGAGGAGACAATTAGGTAGGATTTGCAGAGGGTGACCATCTTTAATATCATAGATTAATAACAATACAGATAGAACACTAGATGTTGTCTTCTAAAGATTAAGGGGTTTTACGTTCACAATAACCCTGAGGTAGAAGCCCAATGGAGTTACGCGCATGTCGCGTTGAATGACGAGACAGAGAGAGAGAGCATGGGCTTAACTCCTTTGGGCTTCTGCCGCAGGGTTATTGTAAACGAAAAACCCCTTAATCTTGAAAAGACGACATCTAGTGTTCTATCTGTATTGTTATTGATTAAGTGTGATTTTTTACTTCGATTAGAAACTTTTCATCAATTTACATAGAAAATCTACGAACATCGTAGAAGAAAAATCTTAGATTTAAAACTAATTTGTAAAAATGCAAACCCGATTTTAGCAGGGAGGAAGAAGAAAGAATCTGCGGAGAATAATCAGCTGAATAATGAACTTCACAATAAATCGCTTTCTGTTTTGTATTTTCCTGCAATAAATTGTTGAATTAAATGTGTTGCCTAAATATACACTGCAGACCAATTTTTAATTGTTTTTGATTTACGAGTTATTCATAAAACGATAAAAATGAATTGTCTTAAATATTTTCCTAATCCGGGAATATTAAAATGTAGTCTGATTTATTTTTATAAAAATATCGATGTCTGTTTTATTCTTTGTACTGTATGTACAAAATTTGGACCTTCCGCAATATTTTTTTACTATATAAATCGTAATAATAGCAAAAATTGCGAGGTAATGAAATTTATTTTCATAATAAATAATAAACGATTAATTATTATGCTGCTTTATAAATGGAGTCTCATTTGAAAACACGAGTACAGTCCCAACAATGTTTGTGTGTAATGTGTAAGTTAGTTGATCAATGTTATCTACAGTCTACATTTTTATAATATGTATGATAACAGGTTCCAATAAACTTCTGCTTAGTCGAGCTGAAAACAGATAGAACAGTTCTCTGTAAAGAACACGGGAATAGTAAACTAATATAGAGATTCCAGGATACCAGTATACCAGGATACCAGGATACCAGGATACCAGGATATCAAGATATCAGTATGTAATAAATATCGGGTAACGCAATATTCTGTAAACCTGCAGTACGTTGTACATTATTAATTATCTATGTTTGTAAACTTCTACTTAAAAACCATGATTCATTTGAACTGTGTTTCAAATAATATGTATCATAATTAGCTTAATCATGTGATATTATAATGATGTACATCTTATTTGCGCCTATTTTAACTGTGCTGTAAACATGATTGCTTTAATCATGTAATACAAATAACAACATATAAATTGTAATTAGGTCATTTAACTTTAACTTGTAACATATAAACCTTAAATACACAAGTTGATATAGAGACTCCATACTGTGTACTGGAGTGGCGTTGATAGTTCACAGGATTGAAGCCGTGTGGACCGTGTCCTAGTTGAAAAAGGAGATCAGTATATTAGTACACCAGGAGATCAGGATATCTAAATATCAGGGTACCAGGATATCAAGATATTAGGATATCAGGATACCAATATATCAGTATACCAGGATATCAAGATATCTATAAACCAGGAGATTTGGATATCAGGATACCAGGATATCTAAATATTAGGGTACCAGGATATCAAGATATCAGGATACCAGGATTTCAGGATATCAGGATACCAGGATATCAATATATCAGGATACCAGGATATCAGGATATAAGGATATCAGGATATCAAGATATCAGGAAACCAGGATATCAGGATATCAGGATATCTGGATATCAAGATATCAGGATATCAGGATATCAGGATATTAGGATTTCAGGATATCAGGATATCAGGATATCAAGATATCAGGAAACCAGGTTATCAGGATATCAGGATATCAGGATATCAGGATATCAGGATATCAGGATATCAGGATATCAGGATATCAGGATATCAGGAAACCTTAAGGATACCGGGATACCAGGATACGAGGATACCAGGATACCAGGGATACCAGGGAAAACAGGGATACCAAGGATACCAAGGATACTAGGGATTCCAGGGATACCAGGGATATCAGGGATTTAAGGAATACCAAGGATACCAGGGACACCCGGAATACCAGGGATACCAGGGATACTAGGATACCAGGGATACCAGGAATAACAGGGGTACTAGGGATACCAGGGATATCAGGATACCAGGGATAGCAGGTACACCAGGATACATGGAATACAAGGGATACCAGGGATTCCAGGGATACCAGGGATACCAGGGATACCAGGGATACCAGGGATACCAGGGATACCAGTTCTAGGGATACCAGGGATACCAGGGATATCAGAGATATAAGGGATAGCAAGGATAGCAGGGATACCAGGGATACCAGGATACCAGGGATACCAGGAATACGAGAGATACGAGGGATACCAGGGAGACCAGGAATACGAGGGATAGCAGGGATGATAGCAGGGATAGCAGGGATAGCAGGGATAGCAGGGATAGCAGGGATAGCAGGGATAGCAGGGATACCAGGAATAACAGGAAAACCAGGGATACCAGGGATACCAGGAATACCAGGAACACCAGGGATACTAGGGATACCAGGGATACCAGGGATACCAGGGATACCAGGGATACCAGGGATGCCAGGGATACCAGGGATACCAGGGATACCAGGATACCAGGGATACCAGGGATACCAGGGATACCAGGGACACCAGGGATACCAGTGACAATATACCATAACCAAATATTTAAAGAATAACAAGTTTATATCTATTTAAGAATTCTAATAAAACTGTCAAAAGACTCGAGATTGACATAATATTAGCATATTTGTCATGTTTATAGGCGCAAACATCAAACAAACAAAACAGAATACAAGAATTCCATAGATTTAAAAATTTTTATTTGATTTGAAAATCTTTTTTTCAAAGATCAAAATCGACCATCAATTATTCTTTCTACTATCATGTTTGGTGGGATACCCGTAGATCAATCTTCCTTTTTCAAAACTTAAAAGTATCCTGCTTTGCTTCCAAAAATTCCATCCATGCAAAATCAAAGATTTCCAATTATTGTTTAAAACATTTGAACATATTGCAGACCTGGGACCGATTTTAATCAATTTGAACTACCTCCTGCCGGTTCAAATTTCAAATTTAATGAATAAATTGAATACAAGTTTTAAGTAATTTTTACATTATCATTCTTTATGGTGAACACTGCATTATTCAGTTAAACCGAGAAAAAGCTGAATGAAAGATGTCTTCATTTAGTCATTGAATTGAATTAAAATTGATTTAATTTTTTGCACAAGGTGTACCACGAAATATGGCAGTAGCAAGACGCCTCGAAAATGTTGTCAGCCTTTTTTGTGCTGTCAATATGACCAGAGATATTGAGAATTTTGATCAGATTTCAATTTTGTTAAAGTGAGTGACCGGCAATGGTGGTTGAACTGAATATGTATAGTATTGTTGAGACATTTTTTAGGATTCCTTTGAGACATATAATACGTTTCTATGACGTATATTTACTGAGTTTGAGTGCAAAGTCGACGTTAAAAATCATGAATTTGGGCCGGTACGTTTTCAGAATCGGTTTTTTTAATCATTAAAGAACGACAACAAAAATGTAGAACAAATTATAAAGTAAACTAATTAATTCTTTAGGAACAGGTTGACTTTCTGCAAATTTCTGGAATTTTTATTGTAAAGAAGAATTTGTAGAAATCTTCGAACAAATTCATGAGAAAATAAGAAATTCAATATAATGAGGAAAACGAAATAATTGATTATAACATTGATTTATTGGCAAGATTCTTTTGAGAAATATGTTACTAAACACCTAAGTTTACTGCATAATTTTTACTTTTTTTTCATTGTCGTTAGTTAATAATTTAAATAAAAACTGATTCTGAAAACGTACCCGGACCCAAATTCATGATTTTAAAAGTTGACTTTGCACTCAACCTCAGTAATTATACATCGTGCAAATGTTTTTTATGTCTCAAATGAATCCTAAAAAATGTTTCCACAATACTGCATACTCAGTTTAACTACAATACATTGCTGGTCTCTCCCTTTAAAAAACCAGAATTGTCAAAATCTGAATGAAATTCTTTATGTCTGAACAAGAACAAGAAAGACAGACCACATTTTGGAAATGGCAGGACTTTTGTGATTATTTTCATTGGAATTTTACTTCAAAAATTATGTTGACAAATATGAATGCAGCAAATTATACCAAAAATCAAAACGACCTTATAGTCAGTCATGTTTAGTAAAGTTAAACCCTAAATGATCCATACATCGAAAGAATTTATCAAATCTCGTCTTAAAAATTTTTCAATGGGTCTCATAATATTTTACGTAAATTTGCAAGAATAAAATAAATAGCCATGAGTATGCGGGAACAGTTTTAAAGAGCTCCATGTAATCGTTTAGTTAAAAACTAAATATCTGCAACATTTAATTATCAGAAAGTGCAGAATATACGAAATTTGATGAATTTTTTCGATGTATGGTTTACTGTATGACACCCAATATATCTTTTGTAACTTATAATTTTGAGTAAGGTGGATTTATATTAATCGAAGCCGTTACAAATATAATTATGAAATGTTAACTGCATTTCTCAAATAATTAAAAGAATATTACTTTTGTATTCCGCTTTTTCAGGATATGACAATTTTAAGCTCGTCTCTTAATTCCCGTGTTTATTGGGACACCCCTGATATAAAACAGCAATCTCTGTTTGTATATCTGTTTGGATGTCGGATCATAACTCATGAACCCCTTGACCGATTTTCCTCAAATTTTGATTTCAGAACTCGGTTGTAGAACCTGCACGGAAATTGGTGTTTAGCTCACGGTTGAAGAGTTCCGAATTGAGTGATGTGAGAAAACGTTAACAAAGAAAGTTTAGATTCCAGGCAGAGCTGGGTTGCAAACCTAGTTGATATATTGCTAAAGTGAACAATTGGAATAAAAAATAAAAAATAACGGCTAATAGTACAAATTCTAATCTAGTCAAATATACGTTTTTAAAAGTTTCAGGAAAACGATTCTGAAGAGTAAGACGACATTTGATGTAACGACATTTGATGTAACGACATTTTTAATCTAAAGAATTGATTATCATTAAAATAAAGTTCTTCGCTCATATATATATGTATATATAAATATATAT